ATAACAAAAAAAAAAAAAATTATTATCTATGGATATTTTATAAATGTACATACTTATACTATACTTATGTTTATTAAAACTCGTACGAGGGTAGATTAAAAAGTTCATGGATTCAATAGTTTGTCTCATAGTGCTATACTCGTCGTTATCTTGTTAGCCACGTTTTGTAGCCCAATCAGCCAAAAACCAAGCTACTCAACTGCAGCAACCTATTTTATGTAAAACCTATGTTAATGAAAAGTTACGGCTGCGTGGAAAACATATGATTATGTTATGGTTTTTCAGCTTTGAAGATAATCGATTAAAATAACTCCATTACCATCCCCAAAAAAAACAACGCCATCACTGGCCCAGCCTCGAAAATAGTTTTGGTTTTTTTTATAATTCTCCGTTTACAATAAACTGTTTGGACTATTTTTATGTTTCGGCACATGATAGAGTATCCAAGTTTCGTCTACAATAACTAATAGACGCCGAAACTCAAATATATTACGCATAAACTGAGCTTTGTTTTATTCCTTCGGGCATCTCTCTCATGCCTAAATGTTGATTTATTTTATCATGCCACATGCCAGCACAGAGAATACAACTCATCTATGATTTACGTTGGCGTATAATTATGCTCCCACGAAGGTCAGGCTCGGCGATTTCATCATATGACAAGCGCTCATACACTACTGGGTTAAGTGATCAGCACTTCTCGCGCGATCTTGTTTTTGTTCAAAATATCATCTCTCTGACACCAACTAGCATAATCGAATCGCTCTTATAGAACATGACACAGATCACTAAAGCCATCAAAAAAAATGGACCACTATTTACTACTAGACCTAATATACTCGTATATGTATATGTAGATTATTATTATTATTTTTTTCATTCAATAGAAATTTTTATTTTTACGAGTGTTATTCCATTTCCATGCGAACAGTGCAACTCGGTTACGATTCTAAATCAACTCGTTACCAAGCATTATTTTATTCGCTATACTAAGACGACATCTACTTTTCTTTAGTATTATGCCGAGCTCACAGGGCCGCAAAGTGTCGAGTACAGCTTTGTCTGGTAGTATGCAGCTCAAACAGATATTTTTTTTTTAATTTAATTTAAGTTCAGAGCAATTAGTTAATCTCGAGAAGTGATAATTGACGTCATGTACAAATCTTTCCGAAAAAAAAAGGTTCGTGAGGGATTACTTGGACCTTGAATACTAACGACGGCGAATACCGTAGACACTATATACCGATGAACTGTAAGGGATATGTGACTACGAATTAAGAGACCCCGGCTGCGCCCAATGAATGAAAATATTTGACTTTAAAAGTATTCCATGTGCTCTTAGCCGTTTCCACTCCGTTAGAAAGATCACTTCAAGAATGAAATGTCTTCTCTTGGTGTTACCAATCGCCATCGGTCTGTAATGAAAAGTGGTGTGTTATTGTTAAGTCTGATGTAAAGGAATAAGCGCCAAGCTTCAAGATATCTTCAATTAAAATCTGGGTGTCATTAGTAAAAAAAAAAGTTGCTCAAAAATGAAATTGCAAATGGACAACTAGCGCTATCCGCAATTTTTTTCTATGGATAGCAGGAGACTGGACTTAGCGCGCGCTTACAACAACTTAGGTTCTAAACCAAGTGGATATTTGGGTCCCTAAAGCATAAAACATTACTCACCAAACTTATTAAACTATGTCACTCGTTGCTGAATCATTGCCATACGACCCATTTCTAAAAATATCCATAACGAGTGACGGAAAGTGGATTACTTACTTTCGTTAACATAATCCAATGGTCATAAGGCATACAAGTCCGCGGCGAGTATTCAAAAACAAAAAATCTTACTTTTTGAGTAGTGCGCTTACAAAGAAATAGATAAGGTTGAAGTGACTGATCCAGAGAGAATCCTATGTAGGCATAGTGCTTGCCATGCCGCAATATATTCAATATCCGGATTAATTGACCGCTCCGCAATCGCTCAAGCATGTCGCAAATCTGCAAATGCGTTTAGTATCAATATCTGTGAACTCTTTTGAATTGCTAAACGTACGCGACCCGGGAGATTTCAGTCTCAGCCTTGCAAAGACGGGACAGCAGATTGTTTCATCGCCTCCTGAAGACAATTACGTACCATGAAATGGAAAGTAGCTTTCCGGACCGTACGCGAGCAAAAATTACTACAAACTCAATAGAAAAAACTTAAGACAACTGCACTAATGTTGGACGTATTTCAGAATATTTTCTTGGATATTTGGTTTCAAAGGAAATGTTATATTTACGCCGCTATCCATGAAGTCTACTATTAATCATTCATATAAATCATCAAAGCAGAATTAACCTTTTAATTGGAAAACCCTTGTGACGCTATAAAATATGTATATACATATTTTTGTATGAAGATTACATATTTATCACAATAAATGTTTTAATTATTGTACATCATATAATCAGTTCATCTGTAGGCGTACTTAAATCTATCCTCTTGTTGCCCTCGTTGGTTATCTGTAACATTTTTGATTGATATACTTTGCTACTTTACTTTCAAGAACTGCTACAATTGCTCACCAGTAGTTATAATTCAATTAAAACCATTAATTCTTCTCAATCTACGTAAATTAGTTTAACCTTTTTATATATGTAAATATTTCTGTATGGTTATGGACTAAATGATAGCGTGGAACAATAAACATTTAGTGTGTCCGGTGAGCCGAAAGGTCAGTAAAATTTCCAACGAGAGAACGCAATTTGGATATAAACGAGGGCGCGTTTTAAATCGAAGTGGTCTTTGACCAATCAAAAAGAATGCGAAAGAAAAGCTTGAGTGGACCAAGTACTAATCTGGTTAATGGAGAATATAATTGTCCAACTACCTAAGAAGTCGATAAATGTTTAAAGAATTTAAAGAGACTGTATCGGTTACACGTTCGTTCCACCTCAAAAAAGTGCAGCCAAAGACCCGAATGTATCAATTTATCGACGTTCTCAAGAGCTGTACTATCTTATGGCATATTATGCCGTATTTAGAACTTTAAGTAACATCATCCGTATAAAGTCCAGCTTACACAGCAACTGAAATCGGCTGACCATTCACAACGTTGTACGTTCGTCGCTTGTGTGATTGAACTACAAGCAGTGGACGGCGATTTTTCGGTTAAAATTTTCATAGGTGCTCAGGCACATTTTTCTCTCGAGAGATACGCATAAGCGAAATTGCCCTATTTAGGACTCTGCTAATCCTCAAATAAATAAATTTACTGTCTGATTCGCTCTTTGGTCTGGATACGAGATTAGGACCTTACTTCTTGTGGTTCAACAAGTGAGAGTCACATGCCACATAACACGATCTAATATGACTCTATTGCGAGAGAAATTTGCGTGATCTCTCGTCTTGACGATATCCATTGACCATCGAGATCGTGCGAAAGGCCATGTTTAATGCCAACTTTTAAACTTTATAATAAAAGAGAGATTTAATGAAAATAACTTTTTTTAATTCATTTTATTCACGTTTATTTTCGAAATGGGAAGTTATTTCCGTCCTTACTGACATTTCTCACCGAACAGAGCTAATATGGCATTGTTAATTCTTTCGTTCCACATTGACATCTAACATACAATTATATGATATTCTGTATCACTTAAATATTTAAAGCCCACTTCGTATGCTAATAGCTGCTGCACAAGCTCAACTCAAGTTAAGCGCAAGCAACAAAAACCGTTAGTTTAATGTTTTAGTCATTTTGCTCAATTGGCGGCCCACTGGCCCACTCAAGTCGCAAATATTATGAACTTAAATACATTTCATACATTATGGAAGCATGCATCAAAGAGAGAGAGAGAGAGGGGTATTTAGAAGTAGTGATGATAGCGGTACGAGTAAAACTAAAAAAAAAAAAAAAACAGAGTTCATGAACGCCATCTAGTAATCGAGTCAGTGTGGGGCCAGTAAGTCAGTGAGCCGAAGCGCCGGCCGTGACCACAGCTGGTTGATCGATTGCACTATTAGACACTCATGCAGTGTGTTCGGTGTTTGGCAGCCATAGCCGTTGACGATTTAACAGTTTTACTGGCTCTACTTTACGTATTCGCGTCTTCTCGTCTCCGCGTACTGGATGTATGGCAACTGTTGAGCTCGTAATCTTAGGCACGCGTACGTAGCTAACATTGAAACCGGTCAACCGGTACGTTTTGATGTCTTCTTTTAAGTAGTCTAACGACATGCCACAATTACTCTACCTCGCCTTATGACGACTGTCTTGCTTTTATTTGCTCAGAGAATTCTTGTTCTAATTATTGCACAATATTTTCGCGGAATTTCTTGCCCCGTTGGGTTGATGCGTGCGTTTCATCATGCCCGTTTCTTGTTGCTATGGTTGTTTATGGTTTCTTTGAGCACAATAACGGTATAGTTGAGGCTCATTTCATGCTCGCTTATTATTTAGTTATTCGCGCATGCGCTTGTTATAGCTACATACATAAATACTATGAATGGAGTGTGTGACCACTCTCCGCTTGTTAATGATGGGTCTGGCGGTAGACTAACCTAATGACATGAAACTGCATTGGCAATTGTCACACCTTGAGAGGTCGAGTTCTTCTCATAAAATTGCATTAGACATTGGTTAGCACTTAACGGTCAAAATCTTCATCGTGCAAATAGCGTTTTGATCCTTTCAGAACAAACTTAATTTCTCAATCCAGCCGTGCAACTTATTGCGAAGATTTAAAATAAAGTTTCCATGTGGTTTTACCGCGGTGTTTTGGAGAGGACTTAGAGCAAACTGTCGGTCGCTCCAGTTGTTGGATAAACTTCAAGACTCACGCCACAAACTGCAATAGGAACTTGGCTAACAAGGCGTCAGTCTTATGTATATATCTTGTCTCGTTTTCAGGTCTGCCCAACGAGATTATCCTTTCCGTCGTAGACCGTGCCTAGTTTTTTAAATTTTTGCACATGATTTTTTATATTTGATCTGGTTTTAAAAACTGCCTCTCTTTTTCAGGACACTCGTCTTGAGCTCGAACTCAAGGAAGAGAAGTTGGCGTCGCTACAGCGTGAACTGGAGGAGATGACTTTCGGTGGCAGCACCGAAGAGGAAATCGCACAGCTCCGTCGTTCTAAGAATGAATTGGATCGACGTGTCAAAGAGCAGGAGGAGGAACTGGATGAGATGGCCGGGCAAGTGCAATTACTTGAGCAGGCTAAGCTACGATTGGAAATGTCATTGGAAACAATGCGTAAGGAGGCGCGACGCGAGGCGCAACAACGCGATGATGAGTTGGAGGAGGCACGCAACAGCTCATACAAGAAGATTAAAGGTGAGGCGAATAATAAATTGCTCCATTCATACCACATATGTTACTAAAATATCTTATTTATCTACTATTTCGTACAGCTTTGGAGTGCCAATTAGAGACTGAGCATGAAGAACGCACATTGCTGCTCCGCGAGAAACATGAACTCGAAAGACGTCTTTCTTCGATGGAAGATCAAGACCGCATGGATCGGCAAGCCGAAGAGGCCGCTACACAGAAACTAAAACGCGATCTACGTAAATACAAAGCATTGCTGAAGGACGCACAAGCGCAATTAGAGCGCTCCAAGGCAGAGACTCCAGGCAAAGCACTTATAAGACAACTACGTAATCAACTTGAGGATGCCGAATCGGCGCGCACACTTGTCATGAAGGCACGTCAATCTGCCGAAGCTGAGCTCGCCGAAGTGCAAGCCATGTTCGAGGAGTCACAGAAGGGACGCAATGATGCAGAAGAACGTGCCAATGTTGCGCATCGTGATCGTGCCGAATTGCAGGCACAAATCGAGGAGAACGAAGAGGAGCTTGCTGAGTTGATGAAGAAATACAGTGCAGCGGTTAAACAGCTAAATACCGAACAGATCGCAGCTTCGGAGTATGAGTTCAAGTTATCCGAATTGGAAGCCGAACGCAACAATCTGAAGGAGACAGTGAGCGAGTTGCAACAGCGTTTGGAAGTCGTCGAGAATATGGCGGATCCATCGACAGCGATGCTCTCGAAGCGGTGAGTAGTATGAGAAATGATTGAATTTTTCATGTGTTCGCATTTGCAATATATATATATATATATATATATATATATATATACCTAACTGTATTTCTTTCATAGTTTGGAACTGCGCACCAAAGAACTCGAGTCCCGCCTAGATCTCGAACAAGCCACACGCACGCGTCTTGAAACGCAAGTAGCGCGCCTCAAAGAGACGCTCGAGAAAGTACAGAATGACGTTGCGCAAGCGAAGTCACGTGAGATGCAAGCACAAGATGCGCTTAAGAAATCACAAAAGAGTTTGCGTGATATGCGCGAAGAATATCATGTGGCGGCGGGACGAGAGCAAGAGTCTGTGGCAAAACGCAAAGATCTCGAGAAGAAATTGGAGCAAGTGGAATCGGAATCGTCAGCTTTGAAGAATGACTTGCGTCTGGCGTTGCAACGAATTGCCGATTTGCAGCAGGCAATGGAGGAAGGTGATGACGACGTAAGCGATAGGTCAGTAGACTAAATTTATTAAATCGAAGTCAAAGATAATTAAGTTTGTTATAATTTTTGCAAATTTCAGTGATGATTCACGCAGCACGGATGGTTCGCTTAGTGATTTGGAGGAGCGTTTGCGACCTATCAAAGTGAAACGCACCACCAATGGCGAATTAATGAGTCCAAGCTCAACTAAAACATTGGTGCATGAAAAGGATGACAACAGTCCGAGGTAAGCGGTGTTCTGTCATTTATATGTGTGTGTGTGTATTTGTAAAAATATACATTTATTTAGCTAAAAAATATTTAGTAGCTTGGTATAACTGTTAGATAAATAACTTTAAGGAAAGATAAAAATTCAAGAGAGTTGTTTCCGAGAGAGGACAATAATATTCATCCCTTTGAGAGTTCAGTGCAGCCGAGAAAAAGAAACTTTCTGCCAGATGCAAGTCAGATACTTCCCCAACAGGGAAGATTGGGCAGAAGAGGAAGAGGAGCAGAAGAAGGCAACCGGCAATACTGAAGATATCCTTATCCATACTGATGGCTCCAAATGCGGTGCAGGTGCAGGGTTCTTCCATGACCGCCCCACTAGCCGAGGTAGCTTCAAACTAAATGACTACAAATTTATTTTCGTATCAGAGATTATTACATTTTAACACCGTAAATATGACTTGGGTCCCAAGTCACACGAATGTAGAAGGTTATGAAAAGTTGAATGAAAAGCCTCGCGCTGGCGCCACTCTCAATGCTGTCACTATCATTTGCTACAGACTTTTCAGCGTCTTCAAGTATTGTTTAAAACAGTGGGACATAGGAGAGAGCTTAAGGTCCTGAAACAATTCCAACGTATGGCGTGCCACTAAACCAAGCGGGCAGCCAAACCAAATATTTCCTAGCACTAAACAAAAGAGAAATTATGTTGTTGTTGTTGTTGTTGTTGTTGTTGTTGTTGTTGTTGTAACCGCAAAAATATTCCCCAAAGTCCTTGGCCGAATAAAAATCCGAGTCGTTCCGGTATAAAGACCCGACTATCGCGGGAACTATTGGATTTTAGTCGCCTCTTACGACAGCCATGCCTTAGCGCGGGTAAATTCTTGAATCCCTAACCCGCAGGGGAGAATTTATCATTCTTCTAGGTGTACTGACGCAACATCTACCTGTAAACATAATATTCAAGATCGAACTGGAGAGAATCGGTAGAGTGTATAACATGCACAGAGCAGGTTAAAACGCTGGAGCATTACCTATGCGAAATCTTTCACGGTGCTCCGAGCTTCAGTTTTATGGAGATAAGTACACATGGGTAGGAAAAACTAAACTATTAAATCGAACGAACTGGTCGCAATAGTATAATTGGGATACGCAGGGCATCACAATAAGCATATTCCATGGCTTAGGTGGGACTGACCGCCCTCAGGTCATTAACTTTAACCAACCAGATAATTTCAAAGGCAAAAAGAAATATGATAACCTCTTCGAGCTTGTTGAGTGTATACTAATGAGTTTGCAAGAGCTACTGAATGATTTCCACAAAATTAGGGTGATTTAAATGAGAAGCAGGGTGAAAGATTTTTCATCATAATCTTCTAGAAAAATGTTTTGAATAGAAATTTTGTTAAATAACAAAATATATACATAGATTTACGGTATTTTGTTTATCAAAACCCATTTGAAAACTTAGAGCTCTTAACAATCTCCTAGTATTTTTTTTTCATAGTCAGAGCCATAGAAATACCCAAAACAGAAAAAATTAAAGGAAAGTATACAGTTAAATTTAAAAAACTATTTTATTTCATTTTTTCTAAAATGGCTTACATTTTTAATTCATAAAGGAGATGTCCATATACGAATATATTGAAAATCATTACTAAAAAAAACTAAATCGCGAAAACAAATGGTTGTATGTAGACGCCAAGATATGATTGATTTTACACCTATCAAGAACATGAAATAATATTTATATCAACTTTGCTACGAAGTATGAAGTCATAGAAGGAGCATAGATATAACCATCAAACTTTAAGTTAAGTTGATCTACCCATAATCGTCTATATGTTTGAACTTAAACTAGTCTTTAGTATGAGGGTGTATTTTTGTAATGTATTGGCGGCTGTGGTTGCCGAGTGGTTAGCATTGCGTACTGCAGCTCGAAAGGCTGGGGCTCAAATCCTGGTGTCGTATTAACTTTAAAGATTTATACAAAATTAATTTAAATATAAAATGAAGTTCAATTTTCTAATTGCGTACGCGCCTCGGCTGAGACTGTCAACCCCTTCGAGTGTATTTCTTACATGCAATAAAGGCACCTCATAAAAAACCATCAGCCGTTCGCAGGCGGCTTAGTATAAACTGTAGGTCCCACCATTTGTTGGAAATACAGCGGCTACAAAGCGGAATCGACAGAATCAGTAGACTAGTATCACATAGCTCCCATACCAAACCGATTTGTTGATATAATTTACTCTGGGTCATAAATACTTCAATGTAGTTAATATGGAGATGAAAATATTATAACTATTCTAAGCTCATAGATTAACATATAGACCCCATACTAACGCTTTGCTCAGAAAGGATATTGAGTCAAAAATCCGTCAGCAAATACAACTATGAGCATGAAACTTATTCTTCTCACGTAAATTCAAATAGATATGCCCCCGAAAACCATCGAAACCTAAGGACTATGTCATATAGCCTCCTTCAACTGATTTTTAGAATACGAGTTTTTGATTCAAATCGTCGAAAAAAAAGGCATACAATAAATGTATCATCATGAAAGGCGTCAAAGCCTCGGCAGAGCACTGCACTTATTTCTTGCTTTTTTTTCTTTTTTTTTACCACACTTTAGGTGATTACTAATCATATTTTTTATATAATGACAGTTATACCACGCTATGCGCTAATTAATTAATTTTAAAAACTATTTCTTAAGCAAATATAAATATTTAACACATAGGCTATATTTGTATATTTTAAATTTTATCGATATTATTTGATTCTAATCAAGTATTCCACTTATACACCATCACCTCAACACCCAACCAACAAACAAACACCATTCCATTCCTGCTACTGCCAATACTACCACCACCACCATCAACTTCCGCCACTACTAATCGGTTTTCGGTATACTAAAAATAAATTAAAAAAAAAAATCATTCTCATATTATCACCCAAACACTCATTAACGCATCCTGGCACGCTTACTCTGTATACAATCCATTACGGTTTTATTTATGGAATTTGTTTGTTATATTTTATATATTTATTTTTTCTGTGCTACCATATTATTGTTATTATTTATTCATTTTGTTTTAATGCACTTTTATAAATTTCATTCACAATCATTCCCTTTTACCCACCACCACCACTTTGTTTCGTGATCCGCTTTCCGATATACGTTTTGTGTGTATACAAAAACAAAAGCTTTTTCTTATTGTAGAATCACATTGACCTCACCATCATCACCGCATATACATAAATTGGCACGACAGGCGATAGCCGAGGATGCAGCGAAGGCGGAGGACAAGGTAGCCACTGCAACGACGACTACGGCAAATAGTATTAGCAGGCAACCAGGCGGCGCAGGCTTGAAGAATGGTGAGGCTTGAAGAGAGCTATCATGTACCAAGGAGCAGCAATAAAATGTGAAAGAATGCTGAAAGCAAATGTGTGTGTTGCTAAGTTTCACATAATTTTAAATTTTGGTATGAGTAAGGGGAAATTAAAAAAAAAAAAAAAAAAACAAAGCAAAGAAAATAAGAAATTGTATCGCAAAAACAGCAAGAAAAACACTTGCATATGTGGTGTGTTTAGTCGGAACCAGAAAGGAAAGAACCTGAAGGCAATTTTATATTTGAATGTAAGAATTTTATAAAGAAAAAAAAAGAAACAGCAGTAAAACGGCGAAAACCTAATGAAGAGGAGTAAGCATGCAAGTAAATGGACGAAAATACGAAAAGAGTGTTTCCGAAAGAAATGGCAATCCATTGACACGTAGAGTCTGAGCAACAATTTTGTTTTTTAAAAAAGCAAAATATGATTATAAAAGAAGTTAAACAACAACACCAAATACGGCATAGCACTCATTAAAAAATTGAATAAGACAAAGAAAAAAAAAAATTTTAATATTTTGATACATAAAAATTTTGAAGAAAAAAAGTAAACTTTACTACTATTGCTAATACAAAATATTAAAATGAAAATAAAATAAAATATTTAATGGAAAACTCAAATTACATATAACAATGACACTTAGTCCAACAAAATCTTAGTCAAAGAAAAGAAAACAAAAAATATTTTAAATTCATGCTTACATACACACACAATACATACATACATGTAATAGCTGATTAGTAATATTGAGTTAGCAAAATGATGTTGGAAGGTACTACTATCTACTATTACTTTAGCAAAACAATTTTTTTTTGTTTTTTTTTTTCTTTTTTTGGAGAGCTGTACTAATGAGCGACAACAATAATTAGCCGGTTAAATGTGTGAGAGTGAGAGGTGTAGAATCACAGAGACAGAGTTTCATACGTAATATCACCTGATGACAAGTATTCTACAAGGATATAAGAACACCAGCATACAAATTAGTTAAGCTCAATCATACTGAAGTGCGTGCTTATTCCCGCTAAGTTTTCGTCTCAATTATACCCCCACTGAACAATATAACAAACCTACAAAAAATAAATAAAAAAAAGAAGCAAATTATATGAATTTTTCGTTGGAAGAATAATGCATATACAATAATAAATGTATGTGCATAATATGTATTTATGTTATAATTTATTTTTAAACAAACACAGAAACACAACGAAATGTTAAATAATTATACACATGTATATTTAAGTAATTGGAAGCGTTAAAGTGGCTGCTGCTTCAATTATTTTGTCTAAATGTACAACTTTATCCGTATCAAACATACGTGTATACATATATTCGTATGTGTAAATTTTCTTTTGAAAATCCAAAAAAAAAAGCTGTATTTCGAGTATAGCATTTTGAACGCTGGCAGCGCTTTGACACTTCCAAATGTTAAGTTTTTCTTTTTAATATTTCACACATACTTTTTTATTACATATTTTCTTTTCTTCTTCTTTTGTATATGTTTTACACAATTGATCATTTTATTATTGTTCGAATGATTAACGTTCATACATATACATACATATATGCCGTTTTAATATGATACATACATACACGTACATATATTTCTATGCTATTTTTTGATTATGTTTAATATTATTTAATTATTGTATCATTTAAGTATGTTTTTTTATTTAATAAAATGATTTAATGTAATTAATTTCTTTAACGGTTATATTTACAATTAAAATAAATATATGAAAATTATACAATTGAAATCAAAGTCTTCTCACTTATATATGTATATATAATACTTACGAGTATGTTCTTTTTTTATTGTAAAATTGATCTAAACATCATATCCAGTATATTCGCCATTGAATTACTTACTTAAAATATGTATGTAGATACATATAAAGAAAGGGTGATCCATTTCAAGGCTCCCTACTTCTTTAAAGGAAAAAATTTGAAGGGGAATATTTTTGTTATCAACCGGCTCACAAACCACTCAAAACCGTTTTTTTTTCTGGATGAAATGGCAGCTTCTGAATCTCTTTCGGTTTCTCTTCGTCCAAAATGCGGCAATTTTCTCGTTTACATTGAGCCATAAATTGGCCTCTTCGGTGAATAAAATTTGTCTTGAAAACTTCGGATGTTCTTGGAATTTTACAAGAACCCATAGAACGAAGCGATTTCGCTTGAGAAGATCGAGCGTCTTTAGTTCTTGCACAAGCTATATTCTTTAGATATAAGATCTATATAAGATCTCGACGTAAAATTCCCAGTCGTTTCATGCATCAGACCGAGTTGCTGGGAATGGCACCGAATGAACTATTCATGGTCTTCTCGTACAATCTCGAAGCGGCGAAGATATTTAAAAACAATTTTGTGTATGTATGTATGTACAGCCGATGGGAATGTCAACCCACGGTCCTCGGCTCTTGCCACCCCCTGCTATCCACTGGGCTACACAAAATCTCTCCCGTAAATCCTTATGGCGTCCGCAATAGCACTCCTGACTACCATGCGAAAGGTAATGGGTTTGATTCCTGGCCAGACCATCATCCAAAGTTATCGAAAATTAATTCGCTAAAAAAGTGCATGACATAATGCATCACACTTCATTGACCGTTCGTGAATTTTTGGACCAAAACAAAACTGTAATTCTACTCCAGCTTCCATATTTGACGAATATGACTTCAATTGCGTTTGGAAGAAGTGCTGTCCCTTGCACATACAGCCCTATTCTGCATTTCGACTCGAATCGAAATTCTCTCCATTCGGCAGTTTTGGTATTCTGCCTTCCGTTCCGTTTCGATTATTCTTCTAAATTTACGACTATTTCCAAAGCTATTTATGCTGAATATCGATCAAACTAACGTTTAAACCCGGTTTATGTATGTGGCAATTTAGTTAGTAGCGAAAAGCGGTTCGATTTGATATTTTTGAAAAATTACCTATTACAAAGTTACCGAAAAAAGAAGTACCCCCACCACACTTCTTCATACGTTGGGTATGTTTGGGTTGGAAGGAGTTTACTCAACTACAATCAAATATACAGACCTAAATTCTGTCAGTACTACTCAGTTCACGAGCGGCAGCTCTAGCTCTTGGTCTGCTATAAATGGTGTTTGGATTCAGATAGCATCACGCATGAGAAGAGAGTCTATGAAAATGTTGATTGACTTTCTCTGAATGGTGTTAAGGGCCTGTGGTAAGCCATCGTGTAGAGCGGTTCGGTTCTAAGATACTGTATAGATTCCTTAAAATCGAATAATCTGTGGGTCAGCTTCCAATAGGTGCCAGTTGGGAAGATGCCTTTGGGAGCGATCCAGCAAATTACGCTTGGACAGCATAACATCATGCTCTTTAATTGGAAGCATAGATGTTTTACTGTTTAAGTGGTGGTAGAGCCCATGGAAGTATCTGCAACGGCCAAAAGCTACCTGGAAACACTGAAATGAGGGGTCTTACCTCACCTGCCATATTCTCCAGACTACTGACTCTTTCGACGGATGCAAAACGATTTAGGGCGTCTTTTAAGGAAATCGAGGAATGGCTTAATGATTGGATCGTGAGCAGAGAGGACTCATGTTTTAGAGATGGTATTCGAAAATTTTCAGAGTGACGGCAAAAAGTAGTCGCTTAAAGTCGACAATACTTAAATGTAAAGAAATAAACACAAAATATCTGTATGTACTTTTTTCTTTTTTATCTTTCATTGAAAAACATATATATATATATATAATTGGCACTTTGTAACCGCTGAAGCGATTTTCAGCCAAGCTCCTCCTCCAATTTGTGATTCAGCGCCTTAGTGTATTTTCAACAAATGGAGGTTTATATAGGTTTATATAAAGGTTTATACTAAGCCGCCTCCGACCGGTTGATAGTTTTTTTCACGAGGAGCCTTTATTTCATGTCTGAAATTCACTAGGAGGGGTGGACATTCGCTGCCGAGAGGCGAGCGCAATTACAAAATTTAACTTAATTTTTCATTTAAATTAATTTTCTATAAATTTTGAATGTTGATCGTACCAAGATTTTAACTCGAGCCTTCCTGCAATATGCAATGCTAACCACTCGGCTACCGCGGTCGCCAGCAGGTAGTTTTACTTCTATAAAATACCGTTAGTTGAATTAATATGACTATTCTTTAATATTTTAGTATGAAGTATGTTATACGAAAAGTAGTTTTGATCAAAATTTATTTTCATAAAAAATATTGCTCCTGATCCAAAGCTACTCAACAAACGCGTAGATAACATTCCGCTTCGTTAACAAGAAAAATTAACTCAACGAAATGGAATCGTTTCGGTCATGGAATCAAAACGAAATGGGATCGGTAACTTTAATTTTAAAATGGCTATTCGCTATGATTAAACAGCATACTTTTTAACGTTTGACACTAACTGTTAACGATTTAACATTAACGACAGTTTTTCGTTTGGAGTAAAAATAAAAGAAATTTCTTTTAATAACTAATTCAACGTTAATAATTCCAAATGTTTCAACCGAAACGATAGAAATTTATCGATTCACGTGAATTTATCGTTTCGATGCAACCTTGCTCTGATCAAGTGAACCGGAAAAATGTAAAATATTCAACAATTCCACTATAAAAAGCTGCCCACTACACCAATAAAAAGTTTGACAGGATTTTATGACAATTTATTAAATATTCCAAGACAACTAAAACCCAAAAAAATCCTTTGGAAAAATGTTTAAAACAAATTTAGATTAGGTTCAGAACAGTAATATCTCTGTTAGTTATGCGAAATGAAATTTCAAAGTAGAAAATAGGTTGATCGACATTATTTAGTTATTGTGAACCTTTCCATTGCAACAATAGTATTTTAAGAAATCGTGGACTAGGGCAATTTTATAGAAACAACTTGGTCTTGTGCCATATATATATGGATAATGGAAAATATTTCAAAAGTCTCCAACTCTTTTGAATTTGAATTGTACGCCTACAGGCCTATTCTGTCGAGGTAACAAAACTTACCTAGGTATTAATATTTGCCATTCAGTAAATTTTGTTACCATTTCGTATTCTGAGCTCACTGTTACCCTGTAAATTTTGTTACCAGCGAAATAGGAGGTAACGAAATATCTGCTGTTTGATTTTGTGCTGTAAATTTGAGAAAAAGTAAAAAATCCAAAATGGGTTGGCATATTTTAGGCCTGGAATTCATTGAAGATGAAGAAAAAAGTGTAAAAAGCCGTATTTTAAGAAGTTTTCGAGACTGAAAAATATCACATTAATTTGTAAGATAACGTTTTCATTCAGCTTTTTTTGTTATCCAGGCATATTTTCCATAGTTAGGTTCAAATATTTATGATTTAATAAACAAATTAATAAAACTTTTTATTTTTTTTTGTGCACCGTCTTCCATTTAGATGTGAATATTTTTCTTTTTACTTTATCAACTGGCAGTGCTGCCAAATTTTTTTCAAACATTGTAACCAGTGCGCCAGAATACCAAATTCAACTTCGGGTGTTAAAGAAAAGTAACAAAACTTACTTTACCGGTAACAGTGAGAATAGGCCTGCTAATATAATATAATACCAATATTAATCTCCTCAGCCCTTGCTTTGAATAGCTTGTTTACAATCAGTTTAACATAAATTAGAAAAAGCAAACCTAAATGAAATTGAAGTAAAAATCCAAGTCCTCGAGTAAAATATTTGTTTGTAAATTTTGAAAAATAAATTATGTAGAAATCAAGATGAAATTCTTGCTATTAATGTAGTTTATATATAATCTAATTAAACCTAAACACATAATAACTTCTCTAATGCAATAATCTTATACAAATATTTAACAAAAAAAAATGTAATAAAATATATTGTTATTAAAGCGAAAGTTGTTTCATTTCAATAGACTTGGTAGAAATCTTGTATTTGAATTTATTGTTTTCATAAAACTAAGGCCCGTTTTCTGACTTTTCGTCTGCAGTCGAAGGCTTGAGCTGGAAAATAATACGAGCCGCAGAGCTGAATGGAGAAGGTACAATCTTCTAAAAGAGCCTACAACTGGTGGCGAACGCTGTTGATATCGACATCATTGGCGTCAGCAACCGTCCGCGAGTTCTGCTCTCTCCGGACGTAATGCTGGCGAAGTTTTTATTATTGGGTTCAAATTATTTCGGTCCGTTATGGTTGTTTTTAAAAAAGTATTTTTTTTTTTATTGAAAAGCAAGTAAAAAATACATCATTCAAAGTGTTAACCGTTAAGGTGGCAACTATTTTCCATCTATCTCTCTGATAATGTTTGATTATCATCTCTACGAAATGAGTTCGCTTTGCCCTCGTCCCAATCTTAGATTTCTTCAAAAATCCGCACGTCGACCCCCCTAAATCGTGCTGTATACGTCGAAGAAGCCAATAGTCGGAAAGAGCAAGATCTGGAGATAACTACGGATGAGTTAAGACCTTCCATCTCAGCGTTTCCATGTAGTTTTTGGCAATTACAGCCACATGGAGCCAAGCGTTGTCATGTTGCAAAATCACCTCACCATGCCGTTCAGTTGTTTCTGGCCGTTTTTCATGGAACACACAAAGTCGATAAAGTTTCGCATCATTAATTTTGCCTGATTTACCCGGATCGTGGTTCAGTAAAATCTCAAATTTTTCATCTTCAAATTTCTCGGCGCTAAAATCACCAACTTTTGAAACATCAAAACCACTCTCTGCCTGCCTTATCGGTCGGTGTAAATTCAGCATAAACTTCCACAAGCATTCGAAGGGCTTCACCTGCACTTTTCTTCCAATTAAAACTTCCCGCAAATCCTGGCATTTTCGAAGAGGCAAAAATCAATGTTGTTGTCAGAAACAGACGCTGATTCAATATATCTCTTGGAGTCTTAGAGTGATTCAATATCAGTCAACGCCGGTTGAAACAGAAAAAGAGAAAGACCTGCACTCTGTTTCAAAGGTCAGGGGGAGAAGGACTTGGCTCAACTCAGTATTTGCAATTGGCATCAAACAGCTTACGCCAATAAAGTATTTTCGAAATACATACAAATGTATTATGTATACAACGATATCCTAGTTATTGTGCTGAATTACGAACCACTAAAACTAGCGGAAGAAAATCTGCTTTAAGTTCTGTTGTTATTCATACCGTAACAGGGTAAGGCGACTTCCACACCATTTAGGAAGAAACTTTGAATACACTTGTTCGTATTAGAAACTAACAAAAGATTCATGTGGACTGACAGGCAATCAAAAACTTTGATATAACATTCAAAATAGAACTTCCAAGGTACACCCCCACCACAAGTTAGAACTTTGTTACGCACACGTACTGCTATTGTACTTAGCTTGAGGATGTGTATGCACTTTTATAGTGAACAACGAAGGATTGGAAAACTTTCACTGGCGATGGGCTGACTTTGAAATTCTACACTTCAACGTACAAACATACTTTTTGAAAGTCATCGTGCTCAAGTCATGAATGGCGGATGATGTCCGTACACACGGGGCATATCCAGAAAGTAAGTGTAATGTATTTTTGTATGCTTTCAAATTGTTTATCTAAACACAAACATTACATGATACTTTCTAGAGGGTACATAATGTTGTTGTTGTTGTTGTAACCGCAAAATTATTCCCCAAAGTCCTGTTTGGGGAATGTTGCGGGATTGACAGTCCTTGGCCGGATAAATATCCGGGTCGTTCCGGTTCCAATAGTTCGCGGGAACTATTGGTTTTTAGTCGCCTCTTACAACAGGCCTGCCTTACCGCGGGTAAATTCTTGAGTCCCTAACCCGCAGGGGGTAGAGGGTACATCATAATTGTGTTCGTTGACTGGATAGGCAGTAACAATTTTTACTGAATTTTACTGAGTCCTGCTCGGTGAAAACTCAGTAAAATTCTTTCTTTGCGAGAGGAAGACATCTTCTTAGCTCAATTTTCACTGAAATTTCTCAACGAACACTGCTAATGTGATCTATTACTCTCTACGATGCCTTCCTCCAAGTAGTTCCCCGTCAACACATTCGGTCACCTTTCCACCTTTTCCTTTACCTCTTCGTCGGCTTGAAAACATTTTTCCACCGATGTGCAGCGCTTCAGGAAGGTAAAGAGATAATAATTTGAAGGTGGTAGATTCGAGAAGTAAGCAGGATCATTCAGGATATCCCATTTTAACGAGACGAGTAATTCCTTCGTGGCGTTGGCCGTGTATGGTCTGGTATTGCACTGCAGCGTGCAGACTCTAGCACTTGTACACACTACGATTTAATACCATTATCAATCTCAAATGGAGACTTTCCTTTCGAAACTAGATTGCGCATGTTGCGATTTATTTCACACTTGGCTGAAGATTGGATTGACCTTGTTCACGAAACGTGCTATCGTGTTGACAGTTCCCAACGTAGCGATCTCGAACCAGCCCCATACGCTACACTACCGTGTGTTGCTTATATAACGGCAGCTGAATCTCTCTGTCAGTGAAAGCCTAAATGCACTTACTTTCTGGATATGCCTCGTACGAGTATGTGTGTCGTCAGCCCGCGTATTTGTACAAGCCTGAGTTTTATGAATGATTGAAGTGTACATGATATCAATGTCAATAAAAAAACTAACGTTGTGACGTCGGAAAGGAAACGAAAAACAATAAGTACATACATGCATACCGTTTGCAGAAATAACAATAAAAATTGGCTTTTTTGCAAAGCAATGAAAGGTGCAACGCAATCGAAAATCAACCGCAAGCACGCAAGGACAATGAGAAAAACGCCCACAAAGGTCATGTGCCGCAAGGAGCGGCGAAATACTCCGACATAGATAGAGAGCCATGTACACATAGAGAGAAAGAGAAGGGAAATGTCATAATACACCTGTTGTTGGATTTATTATTAAACAATGCGAATAAATAACCTTACGCTGACTGGAAGCAACAGGTCCTTTATTGCTTCTGCGAATTATAGAAGGCGAAATGATTTTCGTGTGTCGTCGGAACGCCATAAAATAATTTATACGAAGGCAAAAATATATGTATATGTGCACATATATATATACAGTGCATAAAAAAAATTATGATAAATCCACATTCTAAACGAAGCGAGCATTAAATTAATGTTGGCCGCAATGCCGCAGGATTGACATAGTTCACAAGAATGTAACCTAAACACTTGCGAAATTATCAGAGCGTTACGAGTATGGAAACATCCAAGTGATGTTGCATGCCACTGTTATTTTTTAATTATACTACTTCATAGAAATGCTTACCGCCTACAGACATACTCCACACATTCCAGCAGGCATTTCGTGGCTCCTTTCATGTTTTAATTAACACGACAGTGATTACAGTCCCCGCTGTTGCAACACCCAAGAACAACATGAAGTGCTATGTGCATACATACGTGAATTTATGCACATACACGTATATACAGATAGACATATCTACGTGGCAACTTTCCGCTCTGCCTGTGTTCTGCACCTCGATGTCTGACTGCTGTCTCAAAAACACAATAACATTATCGATCAAACAACAAAACTCTCATTTGTGATATTTTTGGCCAATTTACTCGTATATGGGGCTGTCAATGTGGATTTAACAGGTTTTATGCACAAAATTTTCATCACAGTCGCGTATTGAATTTCAGCAAAAGTGGCCGGAAAACACGGAAAAAGTAAAATCGTGGCCTAAATTTTTAGTTTTGGGCTCTAAAAGTGCCTAATGCAAATCACAATTAAGTGTTCAAATTATTTCAGATTTCAATAAAATTCGTTAAAATGGATGATCGTACGATTGACTCCATTTTTGCGGGTTCTCTGGAATCCCTGCCGCCAGTTAGTTCGAAAATTGTACGCATTTTTACGAGTTCTACATTCACGGGTGTGTTATTTGTTGTTGCATTGTTCTGTTCTTATTGGCGAAGATTGCATAAGCTGCAAAGAGTCGCCTTTGGGCCTTGAAAATTAAATGGAATTTCATTTGTTTAGATACCACTATGGAACGGAATACATTGATGGCGAAATGTTATCCACGTATTAAGGATTATTGCCGTGAAAAGCATGGTCTGGAGTTTCAGGTAAGAATGTTTTGGACGCCTGGATCTATCTGATTTATTTAGTATATTATGAAATTAATTTTTAAAGCGATTATTTGTACTTTTTACGCCTGACATAGAATTTCATTTATTGAATTTTCCTTTAAAAAAAAAGAAATTATTTTAAATATATTTTTTTCTGTAAACTAGTAACCTCAATGCCAGTTGAAATTTCGAAATTTTGGTGAAAATTTTAAAAATTATTGGAGTACAAATTAATTCAGTCCGTTTTTTGTGTTCAAACCGTGTTTTTTATTGGAAGAAGTAAAAACTACAAACAACAATGTATTGTCCGTCGAATCGACTACCTTTTCCCATCTTTCTGGTAATTTTCGAAAACCATCTCTAAAAAAAATAGTACTCTTTGTCCTCGTCCCAATCGTTAGGCATTCTTCGATATCTTCAAAAGATCCGAACTGGTGACATCCCAAAACGTTTTGTATCCGTCGAAAAAGCCAGTATTCGAATGGTACAAATCCTGTAGATTACGGCAGGTGAGGTAAGCGCTTTCATTTCAGCATGTTCAGGTAGTTTTTGACCGTTACAGACACGTGGGGCGCGAGCGTTGTCAAGTTGCATAATCAGCTTGTCATTCCCTCGATCATTTCAGGCCGATTTTCATGCACTATACGGCTCAAACGCATTAGTACAACACACCTGCGTAGTCCCACCATAGAGCATAATGTAGACGTTGACGGAACGGGTTCACCTGGCGGGGGTTATCGTAGTATATTTTTGATTGATTTCCAGAGTAATGATTCCGCTCGCGCAAGTAATCGCCCGCTGCGCTGAATAAACGGTCGACATCAGCGGAGTCGGTAATTCGAGCAGCCATGGATCAGCTTCGCACCACATTTACTCTAATGCGCTGTCTTAGAGGCGCAGCGAAACGTTATTTCTGCTGTGTAGGAGAGTATCGAAAAAGACCATAACGCGGAAGCATCCTATTTTGCGGCTTATGCAAGAATTGAAGCCAACGACTATCAAGAACATCGCAAATTTGGCGAATGTGTCGAAAACAAGCGAAGAAGCTCAATTTTGTAGAATGATTATGTTAATAAACCATACTCACGATAATCCCCAAGCCATTGTTCCTCAAAAAATCTGTGTCTGGTGTGCTCTATGGGCAGAGGAAATCATTAGCCCCTATTTCTTCAAAATGAAGCCGACCATAATGATACAGTCAATAAGAATCGCTATAAAGGCATAAATGATATGTGGTTGACCTTTGGTTCAAAGAAGACGGCGCTACAAACAATTAATTGAAGAAGACTTTTGGTGAGCGCATTATCTCGCTTCGTGTGCCTGTGCCGTGGCCTCCAAGATAGAGCGATTCAACACATCTGGAATATTTTTTGTGAGGTTATGTGAAGTTGCGTATTTACGCAGATGGACCCGAAGTCATCTTAAAAACGTAAATGGCGAATCCTTATCTTTAGGATGAACCTACAATCCATCCATCCATTGAATAATTTCCCATTTTTTACTTTGAAAATTTTCTTATCCCGTTCACGTTTGATCTTCTTCCGATTTCTAATTGTGTTTCCCAAAAAGGAACGAGATCCTTTTAAGACAGTGATACATATATTCCTTTTACCTTTTTTTCCGAAAAAAATTTCTTCCTTTCTTCATCCTTTCTTAATATTTTTACAGGTTGTCGACATGCGTTGGGGTGTTCGCGATGAAGCTACCGACGATCACATGACCACGGAATTATGTATGCGCGAAATTCAGAATTGTCAGCGACTTTCTATGGGTCCGAACTTCATTGTGTTTTTGGGTCAAAAATATGGCTATCGGCCAATACCGACTTACATTGTCTCATCGGAATTGCAATTGATTTGTGAAGAACTCACTTCGATGGGTGTTGATCGGGCGCTACTAGATTTGTGGTATAAAAAGGATAGCAATGCTGTGCCTCCAATGTCGGTTTTGCAACCGATCTCATCGATTTTGATAAACTTCAATAATAAGGTGAGATGTTATGGAAATTATGAGCAAATCGTAGATTTTATTGTATTAAAGTGATAAGAGCCGTTCGAAGACGGCTTAGGAAAACCGTCAAAACGCACATCGGAGGCAAAAGTTAAGCTGAAAATCGTTTCATATATTGAATAAAAAAGGGATTTGTCCAGAATGACGGATCAACTCACAGCCTAAACCATTGATAGTAAGGATTTGAAATTTTAGGTGTACTTCCGGTGTAACACGTAGGCATCGATATTGGAAGTGGACCTGAAACCGATCTATTCGAAAAAATCGCATTTACAGTTCGATTTGCTTGATATTTAGATTAAAAAAGGTGTATTTTAAGAGTCCTCAAGCTGTTGAAGACGCGATAGTAGATGAAGTTCACAAGCCAAAATTTAAATAAATCAAAACTTCTGCTGCTCGAAGATAAATAAGCGTCTGACCGCTCTGAATAAGTCAAAAGGAATCTCGGCCAATAAAAACTAAACTGAATAGAAAGGTAGAGAGATATCCGACAAAATCACAGCGGAAAAAAAACTCATGCTCCGCTATAGAATTTTATTATGTTTCTCTCCTTGTGAACTCTAAAAGACTCCCTATGCTTTCTCTGCGAATGCAAATCCATTTGTGTTTTGCGACATGAAGTAACTCGGTATTTTTTTCTTTAGCGTGTTCCGAAGCTACAAGCTGAGGATCAAGCAGTTTGGTGGGATACCCTCAATAAAATGCAAAAATTACTTAGAAAAGCTGCAGCTTCTTTGGGGGCTAGTGGAAAGATGGATAAGGAATGTGTACACAACTATTTCATGTCAGGTAAAACTTCGCGTACGCTGGTATATTTGAGAAACCTAACCTATCTAACTCCTTCTGCGAACTTTAGTTACTGAACGTGAGGTCATCAACGGCATATTGGACGTGAAGAATACCAAAAATCATTGCTTAGCTTATGTGCGTTACATCAACAATATCAACTTGCAAAATCTGAAGAAAGCTTCGCTTTTTGTGGATATCATAAATCGGAGTTTGGATACGGAATCGGCTAAATTGCTGGGCGACTTACGTGACGTGCGTTTGCCGAACAAAATCGAATCGAGCAATATGCAGAAGTAGGTTGCATTGCCAATTAATCTCTCACGATTTCATTCATGCTTTACTCTCTCCTACTTTAAGATATACTGTTGAGTGGATAGGTCGCGAGGGTCTGGATATTGAAACGCACGAGGAGTATCTTAATCACTTCATTTCACATTTCTACAAGAACATCGTCAAGTTGGTGGATCGTGCAATGCGCAAAGAAGACTCCAGTGCACAGGGGCAGATAGTGACTGAAATCCTACAGCATTTGCACGCTTGTAATAATTCGGTAAAAGTTTTCTATGGACGTGAAGATAATTTAGAACATATCAAGCGCTATATGCTGGGGGATTCAGATAAACCACTTGTCCTTTATGGCGAAGGAGGTTGTGGCAAAACGTCGATGTTGGCAAAAAGCGCTTCGCTCGTCGCAACTGAATGGTTTGCTGATAAACGGCCCATCAATGTGATACGCTTCTTGGGTACGACACCGGATTCGAGTGCCCTGACACCGACATTAATTTCGATTTGTCAGCAGGTGAGTATGTGGTGGGTTTTGGGAGATCATTGCCATACATTTTCAAAAATTGAAATAGTGCAACAAAGTGGAGTTTTTTTTAGTGCTACAAGGTGTGTTCGTTATAACCAAAGAACTTGGAAATATAATTTCTAATTTCTATTCGAAAGAATGTGATTGAATGCATGGATAGTGACGGCGTTTTAGGATGGCCACAATCTTAAATGGCTCCACAGGGCTTATAGATTTTTACGATTGGACTTTGGTTTCGATATATGGTTATGGAATACACATGATTCCTTAGCAGTTAGGTCCCCTTTAGGCAAGTTGTGTTCATTATAGATTTCATTCAAACATTTTCGAGAGTTGCTTCTGGTCGAAATTCAGCTATTTTGGAACTAACTTCACTGACATACCGACATCCTAAGGAAGCTCTATGCTAGTTTTTCATCGCTTATATAACATTTCCATGCTTGTAGAGTACCCAGTGTCATAGCTATTTAATAGACCCGAGATTAATGACGACCAACAGAAAATTGATTTCCACCTCTGTGGAAGTGTGGCCCATCGATCTATATTCCACGTCACGCAGTAGCTAAGGGGTCACACCTCCGAGTGTCCATATTTCTGACATGAAATAAAGGCTCCACATAAAAATCCATTGGCCGTTTGGATGCGATTTAGAATAAACCGAAGGTCTCTCCTTTTGTTGGAAAAACATACACCACAAATTAAAGGAGGAGCTCAGCCGAAAGTTGCTTCAGCGGCTACAAAGTGCCAGTTATTATATATATATATATATATATATATATGCTGCCCTTGAAGTATGAAACAACTTTTATGTTTTTTTGAGCTCAGCGATTTTCGTTTGTTAACAGAAATCCTTCACAGAAAAAGAAAAAATAACGATGCAACCAAGTGTTAACAAAGGACTATGGTGAGTCTGCTATGGGTAAGGTAAGAGTTTACGAGTAAGAGTTTAAGAGCAGCGGTATATGATTTTCCCAGAGGGCCGTTAACATGTTAAGGATGACAAACGCCCAACATATCAGCAACCGATGAAATCGTCGAAAAAATGTATGAAACTGTAAGGAGCTGATTCTTGTTGGTTTATCAACTCAATCATGGCATGACATTTTTGCCCTATGTTTCGAGTATGTAACGCGTGTGAGCATTTTTTTTCCAAAATTGTTGAATTTTAAACGAAAACAGCTGCGCATGGAAATCGCTCAGAAGTCACTAAATGGATTACGATGCAGAATTATTGAAACCTTTGGTTGCAACAAGACGATGCCAATGAAGCAATAAATTTAATGAAGGTGGTAATATATCGCCGCCTGAGGCTAAATATCGAGTGAAAACAGAACGCTCTCCTCCTGCTCCTTCCTACGAAGTGGAGGCCTTCTCCTATCTCTGCTTGCACCGGCGATTTATCGTTCCATCATCGGCGGTATTCGCCGTTGCATAGAACCATAAATCGTTCGCAAAACTTCTCTCGCCTCATCGGATGTCGACATCCTCTTGAAAACCACATAAATAAATAAAACATACCAAAATTAAAATACTCTTTAACGATTTAAATAACAACAAGAGAAAGTAGAAACGATACTCTTTCAGCATATAGATAGTCTGTATAAAAAGACGTGGCGTTAAGAATGTTAAAGGCTCAAAGGTCAGATACAAAATTAGGCAGCAGAACAGTAGCGCAATGGACAAAAGCACTATGTGTACGTGCCATTAAAACAGGGTCCATGCGTTGAGAATATTTTTGTTACAGCAAAATTTATGTTCAAAATTTATTTGCAAATATTTTATAACACTTTGTACTTAATATTTATATTCTAAGACTACTTACTAATGTGCCTCTAATGCAGATATCTTACAACTATATGCTACCGTTCGAGAATATACCCGACGATCTTGTACCTTTAACGGCGCACTTTAAGCAATTACTAACTTATGCAAGCGTGAACCAACCGCTAACCCTGTATCTCGACTCGGTCGATCAGCTGACGGGCACACAAGACTCGAATAAAGTATCGTGGATACCGACCCGTTTGCCACCACACTGTAAGGTGAGTGGGCGTGACAAGCCAACTAAGGCAACGGCATGTCACACCCTTTATAAGACGCTTACCATTTTGTTGTAACTACTCTGCATGTCGCAAATACTATTCTCCTTCTAATGTATATAGTTTAAAGAAAGATGCATGGAAATTATTTTGTATTGCATGTACATATGTACAATATATGTACGAGTATATAGATGCATGTTATATTTGTATGTGAGTAAGTTTAATTGTAAATATGCATGAGCATGTGCTATTGATTGGTTCTGATTGTATAAGTTTTCCAAATTGCTTGACATGGGCTGCTAGGGCCAAGGGAAACTACTTTTTAATTAAACAAAAACTGCAAAAACTTTGTATATACACCCGAAAGTAAATTTTCTATTCAAAATAATTATAACACCACCGAATTCTCCCGCGCACTCTTACGTAAGCCAATCCCCTCAAACTACCCCCAAAGCATGGTAAGCACGCACATAGACCACATAGACCACCACAAACTAATGTCATCTTCCTCTTTCAATTTCCTTCCACAACACAATTTTTCTACCCCACAACACTGTGTACGCACATACATACATACGTAGATCATCATATCCTGCGCCAACGAGGAGTCGAATCCGACCGTTTCCCAGGAGTATTATGTATTGCGCAAGATGATCGATATAGAAGAGAACTTCATCGAGGTAACAGCTCTGGGCGAAGATCTGGCAATGAATGTGATCAAAATGTGGATGAAGACGGCATGTCGCGATTTAAATAATTATCAGTGGCGTTTGGTGGCGAATGCCATAAGCAAATGTTCCTTACCCATATTCGTTAAGCTGGTTTTTGCCGAGATTTGTCGCTGGCGCAGCTATACAAAACCGCAGGAGACACATCTCGCCAACACAGTTATGGACTCGATTATGATGCTCTTTGAACGTATTGAAAAACAGCATGGTCGTATTTTAGTTTTCCACGCTCTGGCCTATATAACCGCCGCCAAATCGGGTCTATCCGAAAGTGAATTGGAGGATCTCATATCGTTGGATGACAAAGTATTGGATGATGTATATCAGTACCATATGCCACCAGTGCGTCGTATACCACCGCTGTTGTGGACACGTATACGTAACGATTTACCCAATTATCTCAGCGAACGCGAAGCGGATGGCGTTAATGTGATGAATTGGTATCATAGACAATTCCGAGATACAGCTAAGGAGCGTTACTTCAAAAATATGAATATGGCTATGTATTTTCATTCGATGATTGCCGATTACTATCTGGGTATTTGGGGTGGTGGTGTGCCGAAGCCGTTTAGGTATACAGAGATACAGCGACATCGTTTCGGCTTAGCGGAGAAGGAGGGTTCAGCGGACAGAAAGGTTCCTATACAGCCATTAGTTTTCACCAGCAAGGATGGCAGTTCAAAGCGTTATAATTTGCGAAAGGTTAGTAAATCAATTTTTCTACGGAGTTAGTTAATATCGAAGTCATCCGCCATCAACTCCGATAGCGCAGCTCGTTTCTTGTTTGTCCCATTGTATGACTTCGATATTAACTACCACAGTAGTGGGTTTTAGGGGGAATGCAAAGAAGTGGCTAGTGTCGTTCCGGTCCTGATGGCAATTAGGACAAACTTTAAGTAGGTCGTGGTCTGGTTGATGGGTCTGCTGCATTATCCAGACCTTAATTGTGCCAGAATTACCCGAGGTAGATTGAGCTCTTAAGATGCTAAGTGTGGTGATTGGATTCTGATAATGCCTTTCACCGAAGATCTCCTCCTGTCCTGTGGTTCTATAAACTGGCACCTGGGAGATTCAGCTTCAAGCAGCTGGCTGCAAAAATTATCTTTGCAATAACATTTCAGCAGATCAATCGTTCCCTCTCTTCGACTTTCGGTGCCGATGGTTATACCGATTGATACCAAGGTACCAAGGGAATTGAACAATTTCGTTTCTTCTGCTTTTACCTGCGGTTACAGTATCGAAAACGTTCTACTGACGTCATAACATAACCAGCCTCGCCGTTTTGTCATTCATCACATCCTTCTATTATTTACGGTAATCGCCCCCGCTTAAACTCAACGGAGAATAGGAAAGTCCAAAAATCCTTCCAATACTGACTCATCAGATGTCCTCATCATTCATTCTTCCGTCTAATATAGCAGGACGGTCTCTAGAGCTCGGTCTTTTGCTTGTCAAGAGAAGAACTTTATTTTCAATTGTCTACTGATTCCAAAAAAGCGTTAGATTTCGAGACTAACTATTATTGCTCTTAAGTAGCTAGACCTTCACGGGGTGAAATCAAACGAAGAAGAAGCGATTATAAAGCACCGCAATAGCCTAAGGACTGTTTAGAAGTCCTGGTCCGACCAACATCCGAAATTTATCTAATTGCGCTAGCACCTCGGCAGGGTATACCTACCACTCCGAGAATGTATTTCTGTAATGAAATAACTGCTGTCATAAAAATTCATCTTCCGCGCGGAGGACAATTAGAATAAACTATAGGTTTCTCCATTTGTTGGAAAACATTAAGATGTTACGGTATTTCCTGTGGCGAAACAAAGAGTATGCTTCATTCCCAGATAAAGTTGAAATGATGAAAGCTATCTTCTTGAGAAAGTAAAGGAAAGGATCTCCATATCTTCTACTCATGTTTTTTTCTCTTTAAAAATGCAATGAATATAAATTTTCTCTAAAACGCTTCCTCTTATTTTTCTATAGTTTGGCGAATTACCATTCCATTTCGTACGTTCGCGACGCTTTAAAGATCTCTTCGAACATGTGCTCTTCAACTATGACTGGTTGCATGCGAAACTTTCAAGTTGCCCACTACAAGCCGTGTTGGCCGACTTCGAAGATGCCTCAGCGAATACGGACAATAAAGAGGCGAAGCGTGAATTGATGTTGGTGGCGGATGCTCTGCGTCTGGGTGGTGCCATACTCGCAGTCTATCCGAATATGTTGTCACCGCAGTTGATAGGTCGCCTACTGCCCGAGATTGGTGGAAATAATAATATTAAAATGTTACTGCGCGCTTGCGATCGCTCTGGACCAAAAGATTGTTCTTTAATACCAGTAAATCATTGTTTGCATACGCCAGGTGGTCCGCTGAAAGTGAGATAATTTTATTTCTGATTACACTAACTTGTTACCTAACTCTTGTTTATTACCAGTACTCTTTGGAAGGTCATCAGTTTGCGGTTTTCGCCTTCTGTCTCACAAGTGATCTTCGTTACATGGTTTCCATTTCCACGCATTTCATAACGTTCGATCTATCAACATCGGATCTGACGCGTGATGTTAACCCAGGTATTGAAGGTATTATGCAACAGCTGGTACTAAGTCCAGACAACAAATGGGCTGCTGCGTACTCCAATAACAATCAGACGGTATTGCTGAATATGCTGTCCAGCGAGTTTGTGGTGATCGACAGTCCGTTCGAGGAGGAAGATGGACCAGTTAGTGGCCTCTATTTGTTAAACCAAAGGTAGTGTTCGTAAGCGGCTTGGGATGTTTGGCCTAGATTTATTGTCATTCTAATTTTTAATTTTACAGTCTCTTTTTAACTTGCAAACTGCGTTGGGCTCAGTTCGATATGCGCGGTAATTTGGTTGATGTACACGATATACCTGGCAATGTGGTTGATTGGGAGATTTTAAGTAAGTTCTTCGCGATTTCATATGTATCATATTGAGTTTTTTCAATAGAGTCTAATATTAAGGCATGGAGTTTCTGCGACCAAACGACTACAACGTTATATTTTGGTCCGGCTCTATTAACGAGACTCGACTCCGTCTGGATTCCTGTCGCCATGAGGCGTACTCGGAACCTCTGATGCTATACAGTGCCATGGCAATCAATAAGGCACGCAATAGGATTTACGCATGCGCAAATGAAAATAATTATCAGGTGAGTCAGATGTGGGGACGAGTGGGTATGTTCAAAGGCTTAGGCAATCCAAAATGTTGAAAGGAAATTGTCTTTTACATATACGAACAGCCGATGGATCTTTATGAGGAGCTTTTATTTTATGTTAGAAGGTTTGGCATTACCCGCCGAGGGGCGAACGCAATTAGAAAAATTTATTTTCTAAAATTTTGGATGTTGATCCGAAAAGGACTCGAAACCTATCCTTCAGAATGGCAGTACGCAATGCTAACCACTCAGCTATCTCGGCCGCGTACTTCTATATGCCTTAAAGCTATTATACAAAAACTACTAATCCCTTTAAGTGGGAGCTTTACTTTGCGGATCGCGAAGCAAACATTTCCAGCTCTACTTCTACCTCATTTCATTCCACTGCATAAGCACTTGCCTTTATATAATCTTGTTATTCGAACAGGTAAGCGTCTTTAGTTTCGACGAAAGTGACTCCTCAGACTCCATCGCCTGGACACTTGAAGACCAATTGCCCAGATTTGAGAATGACGAAAAGGAGATGTTGCTGCAGCTACGCTTAGATCAAGATGATCGAATGCTACTCGGCACTGCTGGCAAAGGTTTTGTTATATGGGATTTCGGCAAGGATGGCGAACGGCTGAGTGAAGATTCCATGTACTTTGCGCTACCACACGGCGTGCGCAATATCACCACGCGCATCATGCAATCCAATTCGATTATGGTCAGTTCTAAAATGGATTATGCTGTGGCGGGTGTGCGTAAGAATCTATATGTCTGGTGTTTGCATTCGCGTCAACTGGCAAAGGTGCTGGATGCGCATTTCGGACGCATCATACAGCTTGAGGCGCTAACCATTGGCAATTGGAATAATGTTGTGACGTCATCTATTGATCGTTCGGTTAAAGTATGGAATATAAATAACATTTTCGAAAAGGTGCACGTGATTGATCGACATGAGCTGCAGATTGACAATATAAGGTGAGTTGAGGATGTTTTCACAGTGTTTTTCTTGTTAAGTTCTTAAAAATTCCTTATGCTTTTTTTTAACTCCACAGCCTATCCGAAGTTGATTTGGGCGTCACAGTTACACGTAGCTGCGTTGGCGTCTGGGATACGCGCTCTGGTCGTTTACTTGCCAAGCTGGCAGATAGTCCTTTGGGCGCAATTGTTACGCACGCGGAAATAACGCCCGACGGTCGTTATATTATTTCCTCAGAGACAGGAAAATTTCTAATATGGAATCGTATTTCCGAACAAGTAATCTATCGCGACGATCAACCGGGTATACAGCAAATAACGCTTATGGATTATGGTTACAAAGTGTTGACGGTGTCGTGTCCGAATATCAATAATAAAGCAGCAGCGGCGTTGGCGGAGGCAGCAGCTGCTGCGGGTGAAGAAAGTAATCGACTGACGGCTATAACTATAGTGCGTTCGGTGCCGGGTAATCAAAAATCTGTCTTAAAAAATATATTTTATAATCCTTGCGTACTTATTCTGCACTTACAGAAGGTACTATACTCTTTCGGTTCGAATATCCCATACGTATGGTGCCTGGCTTGCCATTTAGACAGTCCGTCATATCGGCTGATTCGGCTTATGTGATCGTTTGTACCATAGACAAAGCGAATAAAGACTGTTTGGCGGTATACAGCGCTACTAATGGATCATTTGTTTCGAAAATTTTACTAAAAGGTTGTGCAATTAAGGTGAGTTAACTCTCAGTTTGATATTAATTCACAGCGGAATGATTCTTCTCAAAAAATAAGCTGATTAGTTCAAGTCCCTTTTTTCTATTCTCTTCCTTCGGTTAAGATATTTTTATGACTACATTAATGTTGACTTCTCTGTAGTCCAAGATAGACTAAATCCTCAATTGGTGTCTTAATCGGAGCCATAATGAGTTAACTCTATTTTTTATTGTTGAAATTGAAGTATTAGTTACTCTTAAGAGTAAGGAGGGGAACCTTATTGCGCTACCTAAATAGCTCTATAACATTTTAACAGATGCAACTCATCGTCCAGTAAAAATTCTTGCACATCCTGCTTCTGTCAAAGGGGTCCGTATCTATGAAAGAATAAACCAAAGGTTCCATACATTCAGGTTTAAGATTAATTTTAGGAAATCATAGGCCGGAAGTACCTACAGACTTTCCAATATTCGAAAGGTTATATAACCTCTAACTGCTCTGTCTTTGAGCTAGCTGTAGATATGATAACGGCACATTTTGTTTGTAATCAAACTACAATTGGAATTAGCATGAGAAACGACTCGGCCATTTCTTTCTTTGTGAATGCATTGCCTTATTGAGAAGCTTTTGGCAATTACGCAATGGTAAGCGCACATCCGCGAGCCCTAATACCTACTATTTTTATTCAATGTCCCAGCAATCCTATGCTGGAATTGAACTTTCGAAGTTCTAGAAGCTAATGATAAATAAATTATTAAAAATGGAAAAACTTAAAATCTATAACTAGTTGGGAAGAGAAATGCTCTCTGGACTTTCTTTTAATCTTCTCACAGTGGGTTACACTTTTGGTCTTAAGGTCATGTCAATGAATATTTATTTTTTAACTTTCAGGAGGTGATTTCTTTGGTGCCAATGCCGCACAAAGCCAATCAGGTGGCTGTTATTAGCAGTGAGAAGGGTAGTGTAATGGATATTAAAAGTAAGAAACATGTGCGTTCCATACCTAAATGGGGTGGTTCAATAACGAGAGATGGCAAGAGTGGTCTGTATGCGCCTACAAGGTAATTAATATACTCCTATATACCCTTACATACACAAAAATACGAGTACAATTGCTGACTCAATGGTCATTTCAGGGGCGGCCTAGAGATGCTGGAATTACGCAAAGGCACCACTATCAAGACATTCATACCCAAAGTGGCAGAGGGTGTGTTTTCTGTAATATGCCTCTTCACCGAAAATGACGAGTATGTTTGCTATTATCACAGCGGCCGCAAGACGATACGTGTATTTCGTACTTCCGACACCGAAATGATTGCCAACTATCGCCTGCAAGCAGAGTTGACAGCAATAAAGAGCAGCAAGGATGGACGTTGCATTGTCTTGGGCACCGTCGACGGCTGTATGTCTGTGCTGGCGATTGTCGATCCTCAAAAGGAGGAAATGTTCGAGTATTTGAATCAATTGCCATCGCGTGATGAGAACTGGAAAGCTAAACTGGCAAAGCAGAAGGCGCGTGTCGGTTTTAAGGCCGCCATACGTGTGGCTACCATCTCTTCACGTTTCGATAAGAGTAATAAAAGTTCGCCGGGAAATGGAGAGGCTGGTGAGGTGGATGAAGATGGTAACCCCGTGGAGATTGCATCTGTGGAGTAGTGTACAGTGCAGTTATTGAATATTTTCTTCTCTTCGTAGTATTATAAATGTGCTTCAGGGGTTCATATTCATATACATATGTATGTATGTATGTATGTATGTATGTATGTATGTATGTGAATGTTCCATGAATGCACATGTAGATGCTTTAAGCGCTTTAAGAGCAATATGAAAAGAACGTACAAAGTTATTTGTTATAAATGGTTAAAGATGAGTGATGAAAAAATGTATTTAATAAAATTAGCTGCTTGCTATTAAATGTAATGGAAAAATAGTTTATCCGTATTCGCTTGGTCGTCTATTTAGGTTTGTTATCCGATTGGCACATTCTAAGAAGAAGTCAAATTCAGTCAGCACAATGGATAGCCTTTGCCGTATGAAGGCTTCGCTGGGATGCACTCGTGCTGATATCTGCTGAAAGTATAGTCGCCTACTGAGGAAAGAAAAGCTATCCTAAACCTGTGGACGCTATGTGCTGCCAGTAAGCCTCGAACACCAATCACAGAAAGTCAATCAACACGTTTTTCCTCAATACTCCTCAGGTGAATGGTATTATTGACCTAAAGAACTCCCTAAAGAACTCCATTCAGCACCATAGAACCAAACCTTTGAGCATGACGACTTATCGACAGGTCCTCACGATCATTCGCAGGTAGTTCAAACCCTTTAGTAACTCTCTTTCCGTGAATACTGTGCTCGAAATCCAACCACCACCAACCACAGCAGACGCAGAGTTTGAGGTTTTCCGCGAGACCCGAGTTGTACCGGCGCAATTAAACTCTATATACTATAGCAGACTCAAATCCTACCTATCAAGACTTGATGCTGAACGCAGGCTTAGGATGCAATGAGTTCTCACACGATCGCACGGAAATCTTTGCAAATCTCTTAAACCTAGTCAACTAACTCTTCTCTCAGTTTCACATTAATTTTTCAATCAACTACTGCATGCACATGAACTTAACCTTCAAAATTCGTTTACTCGTTGCGCTGATCGGGGTCACAGGGGTTTCTCAGCTGCAAAAAATGCTTTTTCTATTGTCTTATTAATTCTCCAACATGTCGAGAATATTATCCTAAATATCGAAGGCGATCCGAGTATTAGTGTCGGATATACAACCTTGGTGAGGTGTGCGCTCAAAGACCGGTAGGCTCAGCACATTGAGCTTTAAACGCGTTTTCATCGAAATTGTGTGTTCACAAGTCACAAGTTCTAGAAGACCAATTAACCGATCTTGATGAAATTTCGGGCACAATAAAAAATTTCGCCGAAAATTTTACCAAAATTTACATTTTTTTTTTTAATTTTCCTTCAACCAAACTTTAGTTTGTGGTAATAACTGAAACACGAACTACTCTTTTTCGCCAAAAATGACGTCACAATGGCGGAGCTATGAATATTTTCGTATGAAAACTCCAGAGTTCATTTTCAAATGTATATCGGTTGAGACAGCGAATACTTTGAATAAAATATTAAATTTTTTATAAAAATAAATTGTTGGAAATATAACGTTTTTCCGTCGAATGAAGCCTTCCAATCCCTAAATATTTTGCTGTTTTTTTAAATTAAAACTCTTTTATTATTTAAAACATGTGATCGCATTTATTTGTATACTTTTTCTTAGTTAATTTCAAAATAAAATTATTCAAATATATGTAGGTATAAAAAATGGGGTTCTCCGCAGATAAACTTAGTAAAATTATTATTATAATTAAAATAAAAAAAGATTATTAAATTTAAAATGTCTTTTAAATTAGTAAAAAAAAAATAAATAAATACAATAAAAACAAAATTATAATACAAAAATGAAAATGAGCCGCAGTTAAAAGGTAACATTAAAAGCTTAACAACTAAATATTAGCTACGAACGCTTGCAAATTAGCAGTTATTTTATAAAAGGTAATGAAAGAACTTCTTCTATGGAGTTTCTTCAAGAGCAACATTAGTTCAAATATGTAAATGCAAAAAACAAGTGAAACAAATGTATTTTTAATAACAATAAAAGGTGCCCATTGGCATTTAGTTTTGTTAAGTGTAATTAATGCTTGTATATGTGTATGTACTCGTAAAGTGTATGTGTGTTTGTAAGTGTATGTACTGCTAATCGCAGATGTATATATGTATATTTCTATAAATCGTATGCATTTGTTTTCAATGTATTATTTAATGTGTGTTTTTTTTTTATTTATAATAAATTAAACTTCGACATAACGTGAAAAAATGTATACGAGTATGTTTATAAAATAGAAACTTAGTACAGCTTATAATATTAACAATTAATCATATCTAAGAAATATTAATATTAAAAAATACATATTCAACTTTTTTTTTCTTTTTTTTTGTTGATTTTTGCTTTTGCAATACAACACAATTTGCAGCAAACATTTTTGTTTTCGGTAAAAAAAAAAAATAAACGAAGTTTTAACAGAGTATGACTAACATACATACATACATAATTTGGAAAAGTATGTAAAAAAAAAAAATATATATATATGCAGAAATCAAATTATAATGAGAAATGAAGGCCGATGGTGTGGGTGGTGATGGCGAAGCTTAGTTTACGTTAATTAAAATCAAGAAAAATTTACGAAAAAAGCAAATACAAATTTTATAGAACGTAATTTCATTCCCGATTTAAAATAATTTCTAACTGTCAAAACAATGCTCTTAACTTATTCAACGCTTTTAATAATATATAATACTATTTTCAATTAAGCATACAATGTTGTTATACTAATAAAAACGTATTTAATTTGTTTTCCAATTGGGTTTGTAATTTTTTTCATCTTTTTTTTTTATAGGAGTTACTTCATGATTGGCCTACTTGGAGTTGCTTTACACTTTTTATTTGATACTTTGTGGTATACGCATAGAGAGGACTGATTTTTTGTTTAACACTTGCAAGTATGTGTGTATGTATCCTTAGATTTCTTACAATATGCCGGATACAAGGTGCTTTGAGATTTGTTTATAATAATATTTAAGGTTAGATAGTTAGATGATGGGATGATAGTAAAATATCATTAAGTTTGCACAAATAATGAGTCTTTTCGAAACAAATTATACACACTGCAACTGCTGCAAGAACAAAAGAGAAGCAATCGTCTTTCGTTCAACGATTTTCTAGCATATAATAATATTTCATTAAAATTTAATATCTAAATGTATGCCTTGCATTCGATTTAATTGAGGAACTTAAAAATGTTTGTTTAAATTTTTCCTTTTTGTTTGGAATATACACGGAAACTTTAATTCTTCAGCCTGTGCATTAACTCAATGATAACAATTCAACTAAATTTCTTTTAAATATCTTTCAATCTTTCATTGGCAATTGCATCAAACAAACGCTTTCGATTTCATTCTAATGCTGGCGTCGTCAATTTTGAATGGACTTTGATGGAACTAATGTTCATATTTTTAATTTAATTATGTATTTTTTACGCCTACCCACATCATAAATGAGAGCACACAGCTTAATAAAACAAAGGCGCTTGTTTGTTCTCAGCTTCTTAACACATCTCATTCATAGTTTTTTGTTTTTGCTTAGTATTAGCAAACTAAGTGGTATTGCCTTCTTAATATAAGATATTTGAGATTTTTGAGATTACGCATTGTGAAATTCGTATGTTTAAATAATGATTATATTTTTCTACGGTAAGAAATTTGTATTTAAAAATATTTTTAAATATTCCTTTCGACAAGCAAATTTATTTTTTTTATTTTTAGCTTTCGAAAACGTTTTTTAAGCAAAAATAAATATTACTATTGTAAATCAAAACACAAACAATATTAAATCAATCATATTCATATTATATTCATCACACGGGCGAATTAATGCAATAAAAATTTTTTTTTAAATAAAATAAAAAACAAAATAAACACAACGCCTGCAGACTACCATTACAACTATGCTCCATTTGATAGTTTCTTATTAAATGAGTTAAGAGTATGCTTTTATTGCTCTCCATCGTAAACTTTGATAACCTTACACTATATAATATAAATTACTAACGTAAATTAAATACCATCATTCCGAGCAGAAAACCACCGTCAGTACTGCAAATTATTTATACACACGCCGAATGCTTTCCCTTGTTTCTCTGTTTCCTTTTCATTTAGTTAATGTATACGTAAATTCAACATATTTTCGTTTCTTTCTGCTTTTGTATTCTTATTGAATTAATATTTACTCTCACGGACCAATTTTTATCAACGGAAAACATACGTTCGTGCATTCATTTAAATTTTTTCTATTTTTTGAATATCTTGCCAGTTGCAAACTCATTTTGTTTATTTATTTGCAGTTTCCATTTAATTTAGGGGTTTGTATTTTTTATTCTTCTTTATCTCGTTTGTTGATAATAATTTATGAATATATAGTAAAATTTTCTTTATTAGTAAATACCAGTGTATGCGGGAATGGGGCTGGTGTGTATATATGTTAGGTAGTTGTGTAATAATACAATTAATTGAGAATAATGATTAAATAGTTTCATTTAATATTAGTACTCTGATTTTTAGCTAATTAGTTAATTGTTAGATGCCCACTGCATCTCTTTTGCTTAAATTTTTGCGCAATCCTTTATTTTGCTGTGATCGCTTTAGTTGCCTGTAATGTTCCTCTCTTGTATGTAAATCTTTTTCTTTTTGTTTTTGTAGGTATGTGCTTGCATTTTTTATGTATGTTGCTTTGTATTATTTACTTAAGAACGCTTTACCTCCTCTATTCGGTTATAACTTTTACCGAGCTATATTACTACAAAGCATTTGTATCTCCTAGTGTTTTTATTTTATGTTTCGATCTTCAGAAAAATGTACTATTTCCGCTTCGTCAACCAAAACATTCCAATCAGTCGTTTAACATCGCCTTTTTCGCTTTGTAAGCAAACGAGTTTCTATTCATAAGTTTTGCTTATTGGTGCCATACTTATTCTACTATTCTTCTACCTATGCGTGATTCTCTTTCTTGAACGCGGCCAGTTTGGCTTGTAAGTGCTGCAGGCGATTCGGCGATAGTTCAGGTTTCTAAAAGGACACGAAAGAAAGTGGGACAAATTAATACATAGCATTAAAAAATAAATAAATTGAAACATTTTTTTCTTACATTCGTATCTCTTCGTATAAGCGATGACATCTTCTGTTGCGCATTCATTGAATTCAAATTCAAATTCTCATCCGCCACCTTATTGTCCATGTGCATGGCGTGTGCGCTACTAATGCCGTCAGCATTGCGATTCAGATTTGCCTTTGAAATGAGGTGATTCAATCGATCCATCCAAAAATCTGGATCGGCTGTTTTGGCGCTGCCTGTGCCGCTGCTGGCACCACCACCGCTGCCAGATGTAGTTTGATGTTGGAAATTCGCATCTGTTAGATAAGAATAACGTGATGAGACTGCGCAAATTAACACAAATCGTACAAATGGCGCAGCGCGGCGCGGCGCGGACGAAGGAGTGAAGCAGTGAAGCAGTTTTTTAATGTCGCAAGTGTTTGGTGGTGGAAACAAAGTTTGATTTGCAGTTATAAAAAAAACATTATTGTTGTTGTTGTATGTTATACACGTGTGTTGGTTTTGATGGTTTTGGAATTGTGTTTAGTACATATGTGAAGAAAAAAAATTTTTATATGAGAATTATATTAATTGTTGTCTACAGAGCGACCAATTGCATTTTCGATTTTTCTTTCAAACACAAATATATTAAAAAATCAGTTATTTACATATATAATTTTGAAGATATGAATTTTAACTTTTTACCCACCTACGCGATTATCACCATTTTGCGCACGCTGTAAACCGTCACCCATACCGCCAGATTGCGCCACGGCGCGTTCAATATCAGCCAAACCATCTTCAATGTACTTCTGGAAACTGGGACTGGCGCCTTTAAGGAACGTTGACAGATCGATGTCAGAGTTTTGTACCTAAAGCAATACATAAATGGCAAAAAATAAAAATAAAAAATAAATATATAAAACAAAATCATATCAAATGGTAGGTAGGATAGATTTTTATATTTTGTTACAGTATACCAAATGAAAATTAATTTTAAATACACTCACCTTAAACTCGTAAAGTTTTAACAGTCCTTGCTGCTTTGTATCCTTATCTGAGATTAATTTAAATATATGTGACATTGTCTCATGCGTTTGATTGGAAATGCGTCTGCCATGCACATCCTTAGCTGAACTGGAACGTTGCGGCGAAGAGCTTGGTATGTGACCCTCTTTAGCCAAATTCTAAATACAATTTTCACAACGATACTATTAGTTAGTTCTATTTATTATATTTATTTTGACTAACTCACCTTGAGTATTTTTATCAAATAAGTGTGCAATTCTGAATGTGTCGGTATCTGATTGAGATGATTTAATATGGCATTGCCTTTCACTTTGGCCATATTATGTATAATCGTCTTCACCGTACGTAAAGGCGTATCGGATGGTCGAGTTTGCCACCAACTGCTCGGCAAGGCCAACATAAATTCATGTACTTCCAGTATGACAGCATCATAGTTGAGTTCATTGGTACGTTCGGGCAACATTTTCACATTACGCCAAATACATTTCATCAATAAATCTGTAAACTTGGGCAAGCCCGCTACGGGACAGGTTTCACGCAAGAGACGTATTAATGCACTGGAGAAAAGTGAATAGATAGATATTTTTGATGGTATTTTTAAAAGTAATCAGCACTTTAACCAGCCACACTTACCAATTTAAATTCGTGAAATTTGCTTTGTCCAAGACTTTCAAACAAATGCCATTGATAACCTTATTGTATTGGCCATCATCGCCGGTATTTAACTTCTGATCTGCCATTAGATTCAGCAAAGCGGACATTAAATTCTTAATACAGGCAACGCTCAACGTTTTGCCCAATGTCTTGGAGTGGAAAAATGAATATAGTATGGAAAGAAGCGGTTGGTAAACAACTAACGATTCGGTGATCGGCACTTGTGAAAGATTCTGCAAGTGGATAACATGAAATTAAATACGATTTTGCTAACTTTTAATTTTTACACATACCTTAAACTGTGCCAGCACATTTTGTATGAATATCTCTTCATAGTCGCGAAGTACGGCCTGTTTTTCGGGTGAATCGATAATTTCCGCGAGCTCACTGATGGCAGCGCGAGCCTTTAGGGTATCTACGCTGCTTATTGCCTTAATCATTTTGATTAATTGAGGATCATGTTTCGGTAAAACGTCTACAATACTGTAAATGACGAAAAATTTAAGTAAAATATGTGAAAAAAAATTATAATTATATACATTTGTTCGTGTATAAAACCAAATATAAAATAATTTAAATAATAAACAAAAGAAGCTCAACAACAAAGGACAGTCAGGAGACAATCCCCTTCTCCCCTAATACAACTTAAGCCTTACTTTGGGACTTGATGCAAATTCGTACCGCTACCTCCGCAGGTAACCCCAACACCACCCATGCCACCACCACCACTACCGTAAACGGCCGCATTCAATTGCTGCTGTTGGCGTATATGCTGTGAGGGGCTCATGTATGGCGAACCACTCGCTGCTATGCCCGTTGATGGCGGTGGTGTATTGTGCACACCCTGTTGCATATAATGTGAACGGGATATTAGTTGTTCGAATTTTTCCTCTGGGTATTTAACATTATCACGTGTCGGTATGATTTTTATGGGCTCATAGAGGAGTGACACATCGACTTGCGGCACCTCCACCGGTTTCATTTGATCAACGCGCACCCATCCTCTTTCGATTTCCGATATAACATCTGGATCAAGACCGAAGGGACCGCTTGGCTTGGGTGGTTGATACTGATATTGCGCAGGTGCAGGCTGATCGAAAGTCCTTTAAACGTTGAGTGTAGGAATAGAAAAAAATTAAGATGAGAATGCAATGAATAGTTTATATAGTTTTTAAATCTATCATAAAATGTGTGCATTAAGCCATAGCATCTGATGCAAATTTTCTTTCCTTTTACTTTTGATTTTGTGTAATGCTTTAAACGCACAATCGAACGAAGTGGAAGGAGGTGGAAGGGCGTGTGAGTAGACGCGCTCTTGAATGTGTATGATGGAAATGCATGTACAAATGAACACATATACATATACAATGTAAGTATGTATGTTAATATGCGCAGTTTGAAATATGTACAATATTTACAATGGGAAATATGATGAACGAAATGATAGATAAAAACAATTACAAACATACATATATATTTAATTTAATAAGCTAATAGAAACACTCTATAAATAATTCAATATGAATTTATTGATAATCTAGCAATGCATTGATGTCTGTCACGCCTGCAACTCTCATTACTAAACCCAACACTACAAAAAATGCTAATTAGAGTCTTTATAGTTTTTTTTGAGGTAAAAGTTTCAAAAGTGATTGAATTAAGATTGCTTAAATCATAATTTTCATTATTATTTTTTGGACTTTTTATTTCTAAAAAAAAAAATATAAATATATATATATATCATTGCCAAATAAGTCTCAACAACGATTGGAAAATATTTCAATATTTTTATTTCAAAAGTTTATTTAAATTGTGAAGTTGTTGCATACACTGTTATATTTGTTATTGCTTTGTATTTTAATATATATAAAAACCGGATGAGTGAAAGCACAAAGAACACAAGCGAGATGCGAGAGCAACAAAAACATAAAGCCATCAAAAAAAAAGTAAAAAATAAATCATAATAATTTGAATTTTTGAAAAGAAAATAGCTAAAACATAACCACGAAGCCAAAACTAAAAAAAATCTGAGATTTTACAAATGAATAAATTAATTAAAAAATACGTACATATATACATATGTATGTGTATGTGTAGGAATAAGGGCATAAAATTATAAGAGCAAATGCATTACGCAATAACAATATACGAAAGCGAATAAAAATCATAAAAAATATTAATTAAATCATAGTAAATTACAAGTGGCCTTTTGCAACTTTCCTCGCTGTTGTATTGGCATCCAAGCAAAGATTTCAATACATATATAAAAGATTTAATGAGCTGCATATTATTTCGGTAATTAAATATATAGATTCCAAAGAAGCGTTATGAAATATCATTGATGTATTCATTAAACTCACGAACGAAACCCTTAGAAGAATCAACAAGAAACTCCAATTTGGTTAAAGGAATAGTGAATGCGTTAAACCCAACTAGTGGATGATGCTCACAAAGGATATGTTTATGTTTAGCTGCAATACTTCTTATTTTTAATTTTATTTTTTACATAGTATACTTAATTTTTAAAGATCCAATTATTTCATTTTATATATTTTCATCAAATATAATATAAAAATAGTTAAAGAAATTATATCAGCGTTACACAATCTGCCACTAATTAAAGTTGTTTCTGATGTTATAGATCCATTTCGTTATATATTATAACTTCTTGATGATATAAATTAAAAGGAACATTTTCTGTTAAAAATTGTGTGAAGAAGCCTAAGAAAGTCTGCAAATGATCCAACAATAAATCAAGCCCTATCTCTGTTATCCTAGTGTCTTTTGTTATTCATACGATTGAATGCACTCAATATTATCATATTGGATGCAGTAACCGCCTTAGACGAGCCCATAACGATCGCCTATGTAGCTTTTCAAGCGCTTAAGAACCGAACTTTGCAGAATATGCCAAACAATTAGCTTTTTTTTATTACTTTATGTTTTTAGTTTCTATGCATTGATGTAACAAAGGGATATTTCATGAAATAAAATAATTTAAAGTGTAGTTATTTAAATTTTTGTTACGGAAAAAGCGTAGGTTTGCAAAACAAAAAAAAAAAATAAGAACCCAACACAATACACACAAATACATATATAAAATGAAAAACACACACACACTTGTTGTTAGTAAAAAGGATGAGAACTGTTAGTTGAATATTATAAACGCAGTGAATGCCAGAAAAACACAAAACTTGTTTTGAATTAGTCCAAATACTATATGAAAAAAAAATATAATGAGCAACGAAATAAAAAGCAAATTAAATAAAAAATAATTAAAAGCCAAATAATAAAGTAGAAAATGTTAAAAAGGGAAATTACGCTTGTCTTATGAGCGAAGAGGCGCGCTTGTCTTTTGCATCCGTACTGGCATTTGCTTCATACGCATTCGTTTGCAATTGCACACTAAGGAGGTGAAAATTAAAACATTATTCCATGTTATATTTATATTGGTTATTATCTCAGTTGCGTTAGAGAGCAGCAGAGCAATTAAAAAAAGTGAAGAAAACCAAAATTATAAGAAAATATATGGGTATTAGCAAAACGAGGAAGAAGAGTAAGTAGCGCTACAAATATTATTAAGAGAAATGTACAAGTATTTTGTTTATATTTTTTTCAATGATTTCGTTCTTTCGAATTTTCGTTTTACAGATAGCAATTGTCCAAATAAAATTAGATGTAAACGTTAAAGGCTGTTTCCGAAAGAAAGAAATGAAACTAAATTTAAGCTAAAGAGTAAATAGAGGTTAAACAACGGCTGATGCAATTGAACAATCTTCCAGACTACCAGTATAAGTTCATCATGGTTTCTCGATATTTGTGTACAAAGTAAACCAAATAGCAGTCAACATTGTTTGTAACAGCAATTTAAGCAAAATATTCACATTTGCATAGTCGTTATTTAACTTATTGTCCACTTGTGAATTACACATTTTCTTTTTGTTGAAATTTTTAGCCTGACACGTATTGCCATTTACATATTCACAGCCTCAGCACTCACCTTGCAGCTGGCATTGGCTGCTCGTCGGGTGGCGGTAGTTCATCGCTTATTCCATTCGTTGAAGGTTCATCAATTTCCATGCTATCTTGCTGCACTACTTGTGCGCCCGATTTGACAGCACCCGCACCACCGCCCACACCAGCTGTAGTTGTTGTGTCGGCCGGAGCTGCTGCGGGCTTTCGAGTCTTCTTAGCACGTTTTATACGCTCATCCAACATAGACAAGTCTTTTTCATTTAATTGTCCAATTAGCTTGTAAACCTTCTCGCCAGCCAAGAAATATGCTTGTACAACAGAATTCAATGCAGCATTACGCACAGAATTATCGCGATCGGAAATATGTCGCGCAATTTCTTTCAGCGCTACTTGTTGTGAGGGTTGGCATACCGTTAAGCCATAGTTTTCAATTAAATAACCAAGTTCGTCTAAACACTCGGTACGTTGACGTGCATTCTTGGACTTAAGACCATCCATAACATAGGCAAATACTTTTGTATAGGGATAAACAAGCAATATTTGACGTAGTAATGAGCGTACTCCAACGCGCACCGCATCTTTGGGATCGCCGAGCTTAAATGAATAGGAAGGGATTTAAATAAACACAAGTAACATGTTTCTCCTCTAATGCGTACCTTTAGCAGCAAGTGTGGTATAAATGCGCTACCTTCGTTTTCAGCTAATATATACTCCATTTCGACCAATGTCTGGAAAACCTGATTCAGATACTCAAGGCCCTTCAACAGAACTGAAGGATTTGTATCATAAAAACGCAACGAAAGCCATTTTAATATCAAATCCAGATTGCAGACTAATGCTTTGCTGTTGTTGGGCAAATCTTCGTTCAAAGCCTCTATGACTTTTAAATGATACCTGAAATAGTTCAATCGTACGACAGTTAGAAAAACGTAATGGAATTGCTTTATGAATGTATGAATGCAAAAATTAGAGAAAGAATACAAAAAAAAAATTTATTTTATTTTAAATTAACAAACAAAAACGCAAAAAATATATTGAAGTATTTAACATCAATTATTCCATTACATTAATAAATGGCACAATTACTCACCTAAAGTCATCGTGAAACATGTTAGCCATTAGTCCTTTGTTTACATTGGCCGTGGTCATTTGCTCGCGTAACAGCTCTATAAATTCCTCGCGTGGGGTTGTGAATGTCCACTTTAGTACACGCATTTTCTGTTCATCAATGAGTCGCTGATTTTTGGAATTATTCACTGCCAATAGTGGTGATGTATCAATATCATCATCCTTTTTACGCGACGAGCTGCTAGCTGGTTTATCAACCGCACCTGAAGCACCACTCTTTGCAGCAGCGCTCTTTTGTGCACCCCCGCCCCCACCACGTACCACTTTCTTCACTGGCTCCTCGATGGGGGCCTGCTGTTTGCCTTTTGGTAACGGTTTAACAGGCAGATTAGGGCGTGCTTTGTCTAGTGCCGCTTGTATATCCTTTTTAGATGCCGGTTTTTGCTTATCAAGTGCTTTTACCATATTTTCGAAACCAAGATGTATCATTATGCCCAACACTGCCTCATTGGCATTCTTTCGTACATCCACATTTCGATCACAGACGTGTGCATACAAATGTGGTACCATTGATGTTAGTTCCTCTTTCGGTATCGATTTAGGAGGCAATAGTGGCATATGCTCGGCAAGCCATCCCCAGAGCTCCGATTTTAGAGCCGGAGAACCAGTCTTCAGTGCATCGGCAATCATTTCACTTTCGAAAAACTCCTTGTAGCCGCCCTTTTCACCAAAACTATTGATGCAACTTAATGCTGCGGCACGCACTGCTGGCTTATTGTCGCCCAGCGCATGTAGAAAACCAGGAAATAGTGTACGCACATGATTTTTACAGCCTGAACCCATAGCATTGGCCATCTGCTCACAAATGGACATAGCGGTTTGTGCAATTTTTGCATTTGAGTCAAAAAGGCGAAGCGCTAGGGCTGGCGCTAAGTCACCAATTGTTGGTTTAATCAATTTGGCGTCACTGATAATAGCTTGCAGCTTATTTAGACCTTCATTGCGAGTCTTCCAGTCTTTGTCGGACATCTCTTTTAATAAAGATTCGGTGATCTGTGGTGCGATGTCAATACGTGGTAACATATCAGCCAAATTCACTTGCTCCTGCTGTTCTTCATCATCGCACGCATCATCGTCGGCATCACCAACGTTAGCAGCAGCACTGGCAGCAGATTTCTTAACGCCACGTATTGGTTTTGGTGGCTTTTCGCCTGCATTTTTATCCATTTCTGTTTGAATTTGTGACTTCAGTGCTGGTTTTTCACTATCAAAGAACATCATTAATGTGCTGCCCATGTACATAGACATTGTGCCCAGTAGAGAAATAGCTGCGCCGCGTACAGTGGGATTTGTACTTTGTACTGCTTTGCGTGCATCATCAAGTAGTAGTTTGGGTTGAAATTGGAAGCCAAATTCCAGTATGGCCTTGTTCACCCAATTCAAAGCCTCAGATTGTACTTTTGGTGACTTTTGGTCGAAGGCGAAAGCAAGTACTCGTACCATTATATGCTCCAATTTGGTTGCTTCAGCGAATGCTGTTAGCACATCGGTTGCAGTTGCGCCATTCTTAATATCAGCCAACTTTTCAGTGACTTCATTGACGACCAGATCAATTGTGGTTGTTGTAAGTGGGTAAGTTTCAGCGACAATACGTATAATGTCTAGCTTATGTTTTAGAACTTGGAAATTCATTTCCTGCTAACAAAATGGAATATATTATATGTTAAGGAAAAATAAATGGTTTGAATAGCGAAATCAACTTTACCTTCAAGCCCGGTTTCCGTGCACTTATCGTGCGCACAAGTATTTGAGATACGCCCGCTTGCCTTGTATCAAAATCACCAATTATTTGCAAAAGATTCTCACAAGCGGCCAAACGATTCTTCCAATTGGAATCAATCAAACCAGACAGCACATCGGCCGGCAACAATTCCTCTGCTTTCGCTTGAATTTCTTCCAATGACATTTCACGCTCAGTGGCCAAGACTTTGCTGCTGCTAGCAGATTTAGCAAGTGGCGCACCGCCTCCACCTCCGCCGCCGGCAGCTCGTTTCATCACTGGCTTTTTGCTGCCTGCCGTCGCAGGCCGAGATGCTGCTTTCGGTTCCGAAGAACCGCTCCGTGAAGACGCCCCAGAAGCAGCATTGCCGGCTGAAGATTGAGCTGCTACAGATGCTTTCGAAGTAGGCGCAGTAGCAGGACGTTCTTTTTTGACACCAACCACCTTCACCTTAATCTCAGCCTTCTCCTGGCACTCCTTGATTTTGGCCATTTTAAGTGCATCCACCTCAACCAGGAATGGACCCACAGACTTATCACCCATTAACTTAAGCAATGTGCCTAAAGCTTCAGCTGAGGCATCTCGCACTGTAGGATCAGGCTCATTTAACGTTTTTATCAATGTGGTTACAAGTAATTTGAGTAATTTCTTATTGATTGCAGTAGGTTGAGTGCGTGCAAATGCGCGTGAAAGAAAGGAAGCCGTCTCCGATTTGACACTTGGATTTTTATTACCCAATGATTCGACAATGCTCTCCTGCATTGCTTCCAGGCTCGTCGATGGGTAGATGGCGTCCATGCACTCACGCAGAGCCGCAACAACATTGGCTTTCTTTTCTTTGAATTTTTCCAAGAGCGAAGGAACGCAGGCCTATTGGAGAAAATTTAAATTTAATTTAGTATCGGGGCCAGTTCTAAACATCGCATATATATATATATGTATGTATTATTAATTACCATTGCATATGTGCCGAAACGTTTGCCCAAACCGTTAGCTAACATTGCTAAGCACTTGCCGGCCATTGCGACCAGCACAACGTTGCTGTCTTTTGTGATGACTTTCTTCAGTGTATTCACCAGCACGCCGTATTCGCCGTTCTCCAATTTAGGGTTCTCTGTCAAAAGTTTTTCGAGCGCTTCCAACGATTCCTTTCGAAGCGTCCACTTCTTTTCTTCCAATTTCTCATAGAAATCTTTGGGCATTTTTGAGAGTATATCCACGGGATCGATGAGGTCCATGGGAGCGATAAATTCTTCACCTTCACCATCGTCATCTTCAATGAAAAACAAAGATAGAGAAAAAAACATAAGAATATATAAAATAAATTATAAGTATTAAGTTAATAAAGGTGCAAAAAGTTTCGATTAAAGGTGTGGTAAACTATCAATGAATCTCCAGTAAACAAAATCTTTCAATTGTGGCCAATGTTGCGTGACGAAGTGGCAATTAAATGAGTCAAAGGCATTGCCAAGGCAAGATTTATCGCTTTGTTATATACACATATGGAAAATAATTTATATGTATATACATTTGTATGCATTGGCAGAAATATCTGCAGCTGCTACAATGACAAATATCATATTTCCTAAATCACTTAAGTTAATTTTATTCTTGGTGCTGAGCTCATTAAAGTGGGTGGGTAACCAAAATGCGGAAAAAACACTACAGTTTACTTTGTATACATAAAGTGTTAATGACCCAGAAAATAAGCGATTTCTGATTGATTACTTTATTTAAAAAAAAAAAAAAAAAAAAAAATCCGATGAAAATTTATAGCAATCAAAACATGTCTACCGATATCAATCCCATCACATTTGTAGATGGAACGTTGACGGTGGACAATATCAGCATCGCATCCCTAACCAGTAGCTGACATGCAACGAGAGTATTTATTGATATATAGTAGGAATATAGAATAGAATTAACTAACCAGATGTGATCCCCGAATGAAATATAGTTACACCTGAAATTTATTTGTTCTCATTCTTGAAACATATAAACTCATAGGCACAGTTAAAGACAACGTTTTTTTATATTTTTCTACAAATTATGGTCGATATTTTATCGTCGGCTTTCGCAACTATGACCGATATATGACTATATATTCAGAACTATAGGCTCTTTCTATCTCGTATATTGAAAGGTTTTGTAATGACAATAATTCAAACATTCCATTGTTAGATTGTTCAGGGGGTTCCCGAACTTACCAGCTGTAAGGCAAGCCTGCTGTAACTAAACTAAAATATAATAGATCGATTCGAAAGCAATTTGGAAAATTTTGCGGTTACAATAACAAACAACAAACTTCCTCTTCCAGTTAGCATTTGCCATGTGACGAGTAGACTAGTAATGTAATAGAGCTATCTTAATCCTTTGCCATGGTGATATAATGCTCTTTAGGAATGGATTTTCATTTACTAAACTAGCAGTAGGATTTTCTACAACAACAGAATGTCAAAAACATAGAATCCCATAACGGTTGAAATCTATTTTGGCTACTGTAATTGAAATTAAAACATAATTACCATCGCCTGCATCATCCTGCTCCGCCGCGGCAGCAGAAATTTGCTGTTGTTTTTCCTGTTGTGATTTTAAATATCTGAAATATAATTAGGATGTATAAAATGTACATCATAAATTATCAATTCCAATAGATAAATATATGTATTTATGTACCTTATTGGTTCAGCCTTTTCTCCCTTAAGTTTATCGAACTCATCCTCCAATTCTTTCAGTGTGACTTGTGGCAATGAAGTGATTTGTGGTTTCATTGCAGCGCCAATCCAGCTGGAAACGAAAATTTCAATATTACTTTGTCAATCCATATACAAACGCACAATCTGCTACACTCACCGATAAATCTCGACGGCCAATTGTTTACCTTCGTCACGCACGCTTTTATCACGATCGCTCATTAGAGGCGCTAGTTTTTTAATCAATGGTTTTACACCCACTACCTTGTTGCCGAAATCATGCAGCGCCAATGTTGTAGCCGCAACACAAGCAACAACAATCTTAGGATTCTTATGTTCCATGCCCTTGATGAGCTCCTCTAACACAGCCTCATGTTTTTCAATTTCAATATACATAAGCGTCACTTGCACAGCGAGATCTTTGGTTTTGGCCTTAGGTGCTGCAATGCATTTCTGTACAATACTAGCCATTACATCGCCCACCGTTTTGCCGGCTTGACCACAATTCTCCACAAATATGAGTGCCGCCTCGAGACCTTTTTCTTGTGCGACAACATTGGAATCGGCGACCATCTTTTTGATGAGCCCCATAAATTTCATCCATTCTGAAGACTTTTCATCGTCGATTTCACGAAATATTTTCGCCGCTTCTTCATAGCCATCGACACGAGCCTTCCACAATTTATGTACGCAACGCTCGTCGACGGGCAATTTTTTATATTCTGTATCCTCAGTCATTGCGGCAGAATACAGATATATTGATTAGCCGAAAGAAACAAGGACGGGTATGCTGCTGTGAAGCTGTAGAAATCGCTGAATATTTTGTTTCCTTTTTTAGGATTCTACACGCGTAGATTAGATGAGTATGCGTGTGTTACGATTATACGATGTCGGCTCTGAGTTTCAACCGTCTTTTGTTGCGTCGATATTATTTGTGTAGCTTCAGTTGCAATGCCTGAAATACGAATGAGAGCAACAAATTAGTGGAAAGCTGCTAAATGGGCAAAATCAAATTTAATTGAAAATATATATTTATGTAAGTGTGTGCATTGAAAATTGAAAATGAAAAAATTGTCGAAATGAAATGGAACTTCACATACAATTTACTAGTTCATACATTCATTTCAACGAGTACACCTTAAACCCCTTTCGGGCTCAACCAGAGTAAGAAAAACAAATACTCAAAAAAAAAAAAAAAAAAAAAAAAAAAAAAAAAAAAAAAAAACTAAAAATAAAAAAATAAAAAAAATAAAAAATCATTGAAGCATAATAGCTGTCTTGCCTTACAATGCAGAGTGTGGAATGAGAATGTGCCAATCTTAGCACAAATCATGGAATTTTCTATTTGAGCATGTCTGTTGGTCATTTGACGTATTTGGCTGTTTTTGTAAATTTTATTTTAACGATTGAATAGCAACTATTAACTAGATATATAAGTAAATGGTAAACACAAATCACAAAAAATCACAAATGATTATTTGACTATTATTGAGTATATTAAGGGGGAACCTGGTTTAGAGAGTAAAAAAATCAATTTTTTGAAACTCTTATCTCATTTGATTAGAAATATATTCAGAAATATTTCCAAAAAATTTCAGAGTCGAATTCCTAATCGTTCCGCTCATGAGACTGATAAGCGGGCGCGAGAACTTTGAGCGCAATTTTCTTATTTTTGTGCACACGATTAAAAAAGTTGTAATTGTCGCATTTTCATAAGTGATTCTTTTTTTACAGCTAATAGTGTAGGCTTCTATGTGAACCTACTAACTTTTCCCAAAAAATTATCTTAATTTCTTCAGAAAACGGAAAATTTTTTATAAACAGTCATAAAATAAATAATTTTATACATTTCTTCGAATATCTTAGTCCTAAGCTACAAAAAAAGTATTTGTTTTTATGTTTCAGATGAATTCTACGATCGCTATCGTGTTCACAAAATAGACTCTTCGAGCGAGAAGCGCCACAAACAAATGCGAATTGTCCCTGCTTAACAGTATCAAATAAAGTGAAAGTAATTTTTTTTTGCAAGATTTGTGTATCTATGACCTATTTCAAAAGTACTTGAAACATTTCATACGTAAGGCAATCTAAAACACTGTGCCGAATATCATGCAATTTTTAGCGTACTAAACCAGGTTCCCCCTTAATACTGTGTACATGTGATCCGACCAAACCAAGAAAAGCTTGTCATAAAAGAAACAATGAACTGTAGGTCCCTTCATTTGTTGGAAGAACAACAAGACGCAAAACCAAAAATTGGAGGAGGAACTCGGCCGAAAATCGCTTCAGCGGTTCCAAAGTGCCAATTCATTTTAAAAACCTCCATAAAATTTTTATTTTCTTAACTTTTTTTTTCTTTTTTTTTTTGCAATTTCTTTTTGTAAAAAAAAAAGTTGCGCCAACATTTCGCAATTTCTCCAGTATGCATTTGGTTTTGTGAACTGCCTGGTCGATTATACAGGAATTTCTTAAGGGGTTACATCTAGTTAGGAGACCTAAAAAAAGAGGTTTTTCAAACATTTTTCGCGAGGAAACTTTTAGCTTTATTATTTTGAGCATTTGAACACATATTATGGCACCTTTGAAGAGTAGTTAGAAATTTTGTATTTATAAAAATAATTGTTTTTGAAGCTGCTACAGCAGATCTTCATCTGAAATGAAAAAATCGAACGGATTTCGTTAAAGTAATGTATAATCTTGTGATTAATCGATGGAATAAGCCAAAAAATTTTATTTGACAAAATGACGGCTTTTAAAAAAAATTAAATTTTTCTCCATAATTTTGATCTTGAATTGCGGATTAAAAAAAAACTTTTCATCAGTAATGGAAAAGCTTCGATTAAGTACTAGAAAATATTGTTCAAAACCTGTGTAAAAATTTGAGACTAATCGGTTTAGCCGTTCCCGAGAAATCTTGGTCACTGACTTGAAAAACATAGTTTTGAGAAAAACGAGGCGCCACACCGGCTTACCGCTTTCAAATGCTCTGACGCGTCGTTACAGATATGCCGGTAACTTCCAAACTAACAGTCGGATCGACTTGTAATTTTCAGAGTATTTACTTGAAGACATGTACATTACGAAAATGAAATTTAAAAAAAATCGATTTTTTGAAAATTCTAACTAGATGTAACCTCTTAAGGCAGAACAAGAACACATACAGCAAGTGCAAAACAAATTCGTATAGAAATACGAAATCTCGTTAATTCGGTTCTACCTTATGGCAATAGTTGGAAGTTAAACACAATTTACTTTTATCTATGGTTGACGGAAAAGTATTAATAGAAACAACATCTAAATGGAGGAGAAAGACGTTAAAACCGAAAACTTACAATTTGGTTCTTCGATACTTCACGGGTGGATCAGGTTCTTTGAATGTCTACTCCACTTATCGTATAAATTGTATATAAAAAAGTGGTAAGCTCGAACAGTAAGCGAGAAACTATTAGTTTCCGAAAATAAAGCACCCATTTAAAAATAATTTAAGGATAAAATTGGTCTGATTGTTGACCGAAACCTGACTTTGGGAACTTGGGAGCGATGGCAATACGTCCCGGCGTTTCTATCAAAATCCCAAATATCACCAGCAATTACTAAAGTTGACATAAATTTGATTAAAAAGATGCATACAAAGGTCTAGTTATTTCTAGTGGGCACGATATTGTTGACGTACAGAAGTTTCGTGACTACACCCTAATACAGGAAAATATTTCGTCGAATGTTATCCTTGGTATAACATATCACCAACACTTTACAAATATTTCGTCCCTTTTTCAGAGATAATAATCTACGCCTTGTTGCCAATCGGACAATTATCAGATGAAGCTCAGGAAGCTCGAAAAAAGCAAGACATATTCGAATATTTAGTTTAGTTTAATTAAAAAAAAAAGGATGTAAAGCTAAGTGACCCCGATCAAATTATTTGCGATTTAAGAAACAGCGTAAAACCTGAAATTGGTATAATCGATAAAAAAAAGCATAAATATCAATATTAATCCTGATAAAGTTTCGCTACTGACGTATTAACTTTAACTTTAACTTTAAATATAAAGTTTATATGTTATGATGACGATTTGCAACAACGTACATGCATATATGTATATGTATGTGTAAAAAGAGGCTGCACACGGCAGACTCGCTCGTCGACACAATATAAAAAAAATAAAAAAATTAGCGCAGAAACTGCGTGACTCTCCATTAAATGTAAGGAAACTAACACACACATATGTAAATACATACATATGAATGCACCTATAAATACATCAATGGATGTGAGCATTTCTTAGATGACTTTTGAAGTTGCGAGTGCCAAGAAACCAAATTTAATTCTATTTGAATGCAGTAGAAAAAATGAAAAAAGTAGTTTTCGAGGCTTTACACTTTACGTACCGGCACCAGAACGGCGCACCAAAATAGCATTTGAGAGTAAAATTTGTATGTTTTCATGTACATATGCATTTATGTATGTAGGCTTTATATATTTGTCTGCCACTATGAAAATATGTTGTATTTTATGGAGCGGAATTTTTATGTCGTAAGGGAGATAGAGATGTGTTGCGAAAATGCAGGCAAACAAGTGGCAAAAACAAAAACCAAATACACGTATGCACATATAAATATGTACGACCAAATAAAATATCATTTTGTTGAACGAATATACCTTTTTTATTTTGGTTTATCTTCTAATGAGATGTACCTATTACACCGTAAAAGTTAAAGGCAAACTTTTAATATAACTAGTCAAAATTATAAATTTTACAAAAAAATTTGAAGAGCCTTAAAATAACGAAAAAACGAAAATAAACGGTTGACCCGTTGTAAGTTTGGGTAATTATTTAGAACAGCGGCTTTTGCTAAAACTGTCCAAAAATGATGGGGTTTTTGGCTAAATAGATGTATTTGATGATTATCTTTTCATTAAAAGTGGGGGAAAGCTGAATTTTGCAATAGTTTTATTATTATTAACATTTNTTATTGCTCTTTTTTGAATTTCTTACACAGTATGGCAACATCGCTTTTGCCATACTCTCTCTCATTCCTTGCTCTTTTTTAAATTTCTTACACAGTATGGCAACATCGCTTTAGCCTTGTATTTGTTTGTAATGTATGTGCTAGCGATTTTAGTGTAATTTTAAATGTTAATAACAATAAAACTATTGCACAATTCAGCTTTCCCCCACTTTTAATGAAAAGATAATCATCAAATACATCTATTTAGCCAAAAACCCCATCATTTTTGGACAGTTTTAGCAAAAGCCGCTGTTCTAAATAATTACCTAAGTTTGGAGAAATATGAGTGCAAATATGCATATGTACATATAATACAAAGTATTAGCTATTATATCCCAATTTAACCCAATTTTGACATCACACTCACAAAAGATAATTTTTCACCACCTCTTGACTTGCCCTCTCAAAAAAGTCATCTAACCCCCCCTCTCCCTTTAGTCCAACCCCGTCGAAACAGCTCATTTCCTAGACCTCCCATTAGATGACCTCGGGGACTTAGATTAATCAAACCTGAGCCTAAGCTGGGTTAGCGAACCGCTACAACAACAACAACAGTCACATAGCTATAATAACATTATGAAACTAGGATACTTTCGGTAAAAAAAACTAATCTTACACTGTTGTTGTTTTTGTAGGCGCAAAAAATTTCCCCATACATCAGGATTTTAGAAAAATCTGCGCACCGAACTCGTAGTCAAAATAATCTCACTCTAGTCATTGCTCGAAATAGCACTTGCTTTTCGTCAGTACAGTATATGCAGTGGATGTATGTATTATATGTACATTAACACTCTCTACATATAACCGTTACGGATATTTGGATTAAATTCTATATTATCTGTTTACATATTGTTATAATAATTTTATGTATATTTAAATGTATATAAAATAAAACATAATTTGGTTGCAACTCATAAAGGCTTCGTGCACGCAAAAATACTAATTTCATTTACGAGTTGCCGTTGACGTTGACCAACCGTCAAAGTTGCTTGGCTTCTTTAAAAAATCATCGATTTTGGCATAGCAGCTTGGGACCTATACCAGATTTGTGGCTTTGGCAGCCAAGCAAAATTCAATGGAAGACCAAAATAAGACGACGGAAATGAACATATCGTGTTTTTAATTATGCAAATGCAGGAAAACGCACACAACGACATAAATTTGTTGTTAAATTTATACTGTGAAAGACCTCATTCTAAAACGCCGCCTACTCTACACAACAGCCGGACAAATACACAGACGGGTGTAGAGTCTACCTCGCGATCAAAACAATAACCAAAGTAACTTTTATGTCAACTTATTAAAGCTATGAAGTGGTGGACTGCTGCTGCCTGATATGGGCATTTAACAGATTAACTGAACATTGAACAGAAATTAATATTGGTAGCAAATTCCAGCGGTTATGGTGCGAGCGCCACTGTTCGAAACGAAAACAGAACCACAATATATCGTAGGTTTATTGGCATTGCTGCTTGGTCATCGCATGTCAAGTCATTGCTTCCTAACAACCATATGAATTAATAAAAAAAAAAAACTACAAACGAGATGTTTTTGTTTACTTTGTTGGATTTCTGCCTTGTTGCAGCAGTTTTTTTTAACTTTCAAAGCCGATTTTCAAACTTTGCAGTTATGTTACCCATTGTATTAATCGCCAGCTAATAGGACAATTATCTCAGCGGGTAAGAGAGTATGAAGAATTTGATTTCAGCTCTCACAAAATAATCGGATCGTAAATCAGGGTCAAAAGAAGTTTAATTCAGTTGCCAACTACAAGCTCATGCGTTATAACGTGAGTACAGTTTAGTTTTTTTATTTCAATTCTGGTGTATAATTATTGGTTTTAGAGAAATAATATAAAACGGCATCTTGTCAACTCTGTATGTTTTATCAATTTTTGACAAAAATTCGCTTCCATCACTACGACAACAATATAAATAATCAAACGAAACTGATTGCATATGGCGCCGGCAATTCAGTTAAACATTAGCATTAAAATTGAAGAGTAAAAGAAAATCAGTATAATTATAGATTTGTTTACAAAAGCAATGTAAGTGCTTTAGGCCTGGTCATTCACCTTAGGCACGATTTTATTGTGTTTTTGCACTCTCTGCAATTGATTTCTTCCTCACTTTTATTATTACACTTTTGCATTTTGCTATAACTTTTATTATTACTTTATCTCAAAACATTATTTTTACATAATTTGACCTATAAGAGCAATCCACATTGAAAACACATTCTAATTGGCGTTAAAGCTCGCCGGCTAATGTAGAAATACTAATATATACGTATGTATATGTAAATACTATTTACAATTTATGTTCAAATTTTGATAGTTGTAAAAATTATAGCACCTCAAGTTATGACACAATTTTAGCCTTAAGCACCAATGAGATACTTCTTCCTGTAAGAATAGAATTATCCACCAACAGAAAAATCGTTAAATAATAAGTTGAAAATACACGTACATACAGAACACATAATTTACATGACTGCATAAAATATATTTAATATTTATGTTTATTATTATAATCACTTCAAACTTTGCCCATCAGCAATGATACGTCACTATTAACTGAGGAGGCAAGCCACAAACAAATGTGTTATGGTTAATTAGTTCAAAGGCAAAGCTACAGACAATTAGTAATACGTATCATCAACCCGAAAAACGACACACCTACACGTTAATAAAAGGCACAGTTTTGAGTCATTCCTTAAATAAATACACAGATAAATATTTTTATTTTTCACTGAACGACTTTTCACAACTCACACATAAACAAAATCATAATATAAAGTGTATATGTGGTAAACAGGAGAAAATGACGGGAAACAAGAGGATATATATTGTTACGATTTTACTGAATCAACCTCGATTATTTTCTAGATCCTTCGGGTACGATCTCTGGATTGTTAAATAAAAACTCGCCAACTTAATTTGCAGTTTCTTTCGTTATAAAGATTCTATCTAATGTCCTTTATTTTCTCAGTAATTCACAATTCAATTATACTGCACTTTACTATTTATAATCACTAACATCAACTTTCACAATTTCCTCTACTTAAATGTAATTCCCAACGCGTTCACTTTACGTCTTCACTGATGTTAACGCCAACCAATTTGCTTTGTCACTGCTTGACTTGCAGCTGAGTGTCGCCTTTATATAGCAGTCGGCTGCTCGCAGACGAAAGCGTAGAAGCATCGAATTGTTCGCTATGGAAGGTTCTTGTGTTATCGGCTTCTCTCTTTCATCTGACATTCGCCTCGCACTTTCGCAACAATATATTTAATATTTACTTGTTCTTCACACTATCTCTGTTGTACTAAAAAAGATATGGAAATCTTATTGTACTAATGCTTTGTTATTATTATTAAAATAAATAAATAAAATAAATAAATAAATATATATATAATTACATCATACCAAAAGCAAGCAAAATGCAATTAAAAAAAATAAGCTATTTATAATTTTTAACGTTTATTAGAAATAAAAGAGGACGAAGGATATCCTGCTTTTAGCAATGGCTAAATTTGGCAGCACTTTTTTGTTTGGCACACTCCAACCCTGACTCTTAAAATCGGGCGCCTTTTCTTTCTCTCTCTCTAACATATCTTTTACATTTCGAATTAACGGAATGCCGTTCCCTGTTTTTGTTTCTTCATGCTCCATCAGTACTAAAAGTCTAACAACAAAAACAATGTAAGGGAATTCGACATTTTCCTAGAGGACCAAGCAAAGTAACGAAAATAATAAACATCTGCCGCTTTAGCAAAACACAGCTGACAGCATGCGAACTGTATACACAAATGCCTAACGCGAATTAAAAGATCAAAGATGAAATGCTACACAGCTACAATTCTCTACTTACTGCGCTCAACTATCTTCTAGATGTTGTGTTTTCCAATCTACGTGAAGATGCAGCCGTTATTTGGACGAGTTTTCTTTGTTTTTTTTTTTTTTTACAAAATACAGACTTATCTTGCACTGAGCTATTTGTGCCGACAAACTTATTTTTCGAGTTCACGATTTTCACTTACACAAATAACAGAAACACATACCGTTGAGCCAGCAGAGCCAATGCAGCGGCGTAATAAACTTCGATTTTTCACCAAACAAAAAACTGCCGTTTACTGCTGAACACACGCGCGCACCTGTGTTCACGCTTATTGGAAAAAATCCGCAAAGGCGTAGCAATGCCAAGAAAAATTGATTGTAGAAAACAACACGATTCGTTGTTTGGAGCTTTTTGCAATGAATTGTTAACTGATAGATTTTTTACAAAAACCCTTACTTGCTATTGTACTGTTTTCCGTTGGCTTCAAAAACTTTTCACGAACAAAAAATAAAGCAAAAACCGTAATTGGACGATGAAGAAAATACGTCCATCTTGTATTACTCAGTTTTATTCAATAAATTTTGTTCTGCTCCAAACTGAGTAACTTGGTAGCACTTTGGATTCAGAGTTGGTTTGACTTGTCCCTATTTTCTGTTTTCTGCTAAATTTCACGATGAATAGATTCAAGTATATATTCAACATATATTTTACATATCAGACTTAAATTCAACGCATTTACTGAAATAAGTATTAATTTTAAAACGAATATTTTTACTTAGAGACAAGAATTAAATAAATAGTGTAGCATAATGTTATGTTGGCAGTGCCAAAAATAAAGTAAACTTGGCAGCACTCCCGAAATTCTGGCTTAGGTCATGTCTCCACAGTCAATTTCTGTTGTGCTGACTTCCCAATTATATGTCAGAGCTTATTGCCTGCCATCTACAATCAGATTTTCACTTTGACATTTGAGATTAGGTGAAGATTAAATTATTAAATGAATGAAAACTCTTCCTTTCTTCCTTTTATATTCTCTGAAGCTCTTCTTAATGGGTAATGGTTTTAGTGCAGGAAACATGCGATCGCCCCTCGGCAGTGAATATTAACCACTCCGAGTGTATTTCTGGCATGCAATAAATCTCCTCATGAAAAAGTCATTGGCCGTTCAGAAGCGACTTAGTATAAACTAAGACCTAAAACCACTAATTGGAGAAGGAGCTCGCTTCAATGATATGAATATGCATATAAATGGTTATTTTTGCTTATTTTTTGAAAGTGTGTGTGTGTTCTCCAGCTTGGTCTTATTTAAATTCATTAACAATCGAAAAGTGGATTGTATTGGCTTCTATAGTAACAGCAGAGGTTAATCGGAGCCAGATCAGACGAATGCGATGATTGAGAAGTGAAGAAGCAATGATATGGGATGCAAGTCCAATGTTCTTTTATTCCAAGAGCGAAATAAACTTGGAGGGATTGTTTGCAGTACACTATGTAAAAATTCGAGTTGGTTAAGTGGAGGTCTAGTATGAATAACTAGCACAGTCAGACAGTTCGAGCTCTTCATCTGGTGTGGATGGATTGCGATAACCCCTTTCACTGCAAGAGAGTTAATGAAAGTTGTTTCTGACTTTCTGCATATGGAGTCTAGGGTCTGAGTCCGTAAAATGCTACTTTGGAGATGGGTCTGGTTCATTCGGGTAATAACTGCGGTAACATACTTCATTGGGAATAGTTGTATCTCTATGCATATCATGATCCTCAAGGCGGTGCTCTAGGTGGATCATAACTTTTTCATCTTCGTTTGTCCTACTATCCAAATCTACTGGTTATACCTGCCCTGTTGGCCTCCACTCCTCTAGAACTATACAATTTTTCAATTCCAGGTACTTTTACCGCTATATCCAGAACTTGATCTCTGGACTATTTACATAAGTAAAATGCGTCTTTTTATAAAATTATGAAAAATTGCATACAAATATTTTTAATAAAATAAAATTTATGATCGTAGTTTTCTCATACAAAATATAATGTATTTGTTTAAATCACGCATGAAGTTTATTTCCAACCAATTCCAGGCTTTGATCCGGGAGCTGGAGCTGGTGTAGGCTCATAATCTGGCGGCAAACTAAAGCCGAGCACTTCTACATTATTACCAGCAGAGGACGAGCTAGGCTTAGGGCTCACATTGGCGCTATTTAAAGCTGGTGCAGAAGGAGTAGGCGAAGCTGGAAATACGGGCTGAGTTGGTAAAGATGCTGGTGATGGTGTGTAGTTATGTGATGGTATAGAGTTGTTTTGCGGAGGTGTGGAAGGCACCGGCATAGAAGGAGCTGGCGCTGGAGTTATATTGGATGGGTAAATGCCATTAGATGGTGGTAGTGGTTGGTTATTGGCTCCATTATTTCCCGTTGGCAAAGCGGCATCGCTTAGGAAGATAGGATAACGTGGACGGAATGTGTTATCTTCAAATTGTTCGCTACGTATATCCTCTTCGAACATAGGTGGCGCTGGGGAGAGAGTTAAATAATAATAACAATATTAAAACAAAGTGAATGTTTTGGAATTTTGTTTTTCCAAACATACGTAATGGTTTGTAGGCTGGTCCAGTGCCTGGTTGCGTCGTAACCGGGCCTTGATCATTGGCACTAGCGTATAATGGCACAGTGCCGATAGTCAATGGAAACTCTATTACCAGATCACCATGGATGCGCGAAACTTTGGCTATAAATTTTATGGTATAACTCACTTTAATGAGACTACAATTCTCCAGTGAGGTGGGCGTGGTCGAGGGTATTTGTAAATACTCATTGAATTCCGCTTTATTATTCTTGACAACCTCACCACAGTGATTATCAGCAACTTTCACCTCCACCACCTGACGTTTTGCCTCGGGATTACGGCTTGTGAAGGTAACCTTCTTCATAAGACGTACTTTCACATCGGAACAGTGCACATCAGACTGGTTGTCCAGCACGACGTTGAATCGTATCTTCTGTCCGGGTGCATAAGCGGAGAAAGGCACCTTTACATGCATGACCATTGGACCTTTGGCACCACAACACAAACTCCAGCAAAATGTTTTCTCTTCGATCTTTTGCAATGGTTTCTAGGACAAGAGAAATTTTCAAAGGAAATTAAAATTTATAAAACTCAAGTATTTGTATTACACACACACACCATATGCTCGGGGTTGAGATTTAAGTCATATGGCGATATCACTGTGTAGCCCTGCTTGAACTTGTTGTCATAGCGCATGACCCGATCAATCACTAGAGCGACTTCATGCTGGATCTGACCCCACGAGCCATTGAAGGATGTCGGCGCATTCGGTGGAATGGTTGCATGGAAGGGGAATGCATACTTTCCAGGTGGTAATTCAATTTGCGCACCACCACTTTGTCCATAAACATGACTCTCTGTGCTGTAGTACAATTCAGAAGCGGAAAATGTCTCGATCGTCTTCTGCGGCTTGCCCTCGGTGTCTTGCTTAGTTACATTTTCCGTCCAGCGGGTTTCGGCATGACCGCAGACGCTAATATAAATAGCTGCAAAAAAGTCACAATCATATAAATAGTTATGTGAAAGTAAGTATGGGGATTTGTTAAATACATATCTACAAATTAATTGTCTAAATTGAATTACTTTGCTCTAATTCCTCGCAGCCGCAATTTATTGTTAGAAATTACTTAATAACTCAGAAGTGTAATTGTATTGTATAAAGTATTTATGTACGTAGACACTCGTACATATATGTAGGCCTTTGTGTGTAAATTGTATATGCTTTTGTTTTCTATTGAATCTATTATCAAACTATTGGGGGTGCGAACGTTCCATTTATGGGCCAAAAATGGATTATTTGCTCACAGGTCAAACGGGTGCAATTGAAAGCTACACTTTCGAGTTAGCGGTATGTTTGAAAAATTAAGAATAATGTTTCATCATTTACTTGTGCTTAGATGCCGAGAATTTTTTTTCTATTTTCCAAAATATGGCAAAAATTTGATCATACAAATTACTAATACTGCATAAAAAGGTCCGGTTGCGTCTAACTCGGCAGCATTTCCAATACTCTTTGGAGAGAAATCAACTGTGATGCAGATATTATCACCTCCTAGCTGTCTTGGACGTAAAATTGACGTGCCCTTGTCGCTACCTATATATTCTACTTCCCTTTGTGGTATTCTCTCGGAGCGTGTAACCGTTTCAAAGGACTTTGAATAAATTTCTGCTATTTGATTCCGATCGGCACTGATGAGGTGTACAATTTTGCTTCCGCCGTTTTCCGATAGGTGGCTGTACCGGCTGAGGCTGGTTGAAATACATAGATGATAATGCCTTTAAAGTGAGTGTGGACAGTGCCTAACGAATTGTCATCGCCGTTTCAGTGACAGTTGTTCTTGTTTTCGTATTAATCACGCTCGAAATTGTCCGTTTATGTGCCTAATTCTCGCCATTGCGGGAAGTTTTACTTTTCTGTTACAATTCGAAAAAAAATGCAGCTGAAAGCGCATCGAATGCTCTCAGAAACTTACGGTGATGCTGATTTGAGTGAAAGAACGTGTCGGGAGTGGTTTCAACAAATATTCACGGCGCCAAGGTTATGATTTGTATTTTGTGGGATCAGCTCGGTGTGATTTCTTACGAGCTCTTAAAACCGGCTGAAACCATCACAGGAGATCGCTACCGAACGCAACTGATGCGCCTTAGTCGCGCGCTAAAAGAAAAGCTGCTACAATATCAAGAGCGACATGACAAAGTCTTCCTCCAACACGACAATGCTCGGCCTCACTTCGCAAAAGTGATCAAAAAGTACCTGGAAACGCTGAAATGGGAAGTCTTGCCCCACCCGCCATATTCCCCCGATGTCGCCCCTTCTGACTTCCACCTATTCCGTTCGATGGCACACGGCCTGGCAGTTCAATATTTTCAATCCTTCGAAGAATTTGAAAAATGGATTGCTTCATGGATAGCGTCAAAAGAGGACTCTTTTTTTCGAGCCGGTATCGAAAATTGCCGGAAAGATGGGAGAAAGTTGTCGCTAGCGAAGGACAATGAATAACACATATGTAAGCACTTTTTCGCAATAAAGCTTTTAATTTTGGAAAAAAAAACGGCGGAAACAAAGTTGTACACCGATAATTTTAAGAGAGTGTCTGCGTATGACGTAGGCGTGCGATAAGAAAGGATTATCTAGGATCTATACAAAAACAAACTAATTCATTTTTAAATCGTTCGACTTTCATGAAATTCGGTACATATGTAGGTAAATCTTTGCCTATATTGACATGGGAAAAACTTTTCCGACTGGGGAGGGGACTTGAGACCATTCTAATCGAGCTCTGCTTCCCATTCGTGCTTTTGCGTCTTGATGTTTTCCAACAATTGGAGAAACCTACAGTTTATTCTAAGCCGCCTTCAAATGGCCCATGGGTTATTATTAGGAGATTTTATTTTATGTCGGAAATACACTCGGAGAGCTTAAAATTTCCTGGCAAAGGTCGGCCGCAATTAGAAAAATTCATGTCTGTAGTTTTATATGTTTGTCGAATCAGGACTCGAACCTTGGCTACCGAAAATGTATATCCATAGGCTTAAGTTAGATCACGGACAACCAAATTCCTGCTCAACCGTTGAAAAGCAGTTTTCTCGCCCTGGTCATCTTTCTCTCTGGTTTGCGTATCTGCTATATCAGCGCGAGTTTGTATTGATTACTATTGATCCATTCTAACGTCTTATAATGAAATTTTTTCAAATATCTTTCAGTTGGCTTAGTTGGTTCTATTAATGTAAGGGTCTTAACGAAAGAGGATGTCACGTTGGGGAACTGCGACTTATGAAGATGCATAAACACTGCAAAGTAGAAATTTTACGAAAGGGAGGGACTCTTTTCTCTAATGCTTTTGAGTTGTGCAAAAAATAATCCAAGCTCGCTATAATAGAATTTCCCAATACTCAAAGTAATGAGTCTCGAATCGGGATATTTCGATAATTAACAAGTTTTGGAACCTCAATTTGCTAACGAAATGTTCCTCTACTTCGAGTTTAAATACATCGATGTACCGTTGTGACAGTATTACGCCGTCTTGGGAAGCGAGTTCGCGTGAAATTCGTTTGTTTATTGGATTTCTGGAGTGGAGTGTATCAAAATTTTCGAAAACACTGCAATTATCAACAATTTCTCGATTATTAATGCAAATTTATTACACAATTTTATACGTATGTATGTATAAGCGTACACATTTGCATCTCAATCAAACGTCGAGTCAATAGTTAACTGCATAAATTATATAAAAATGTAATTCAATATTGTTATCAATCATGTGTTGTTTAACGGTTACACCTTGCTACATATTATATAAAGAAAATATGCTTTGTGCAGCTAACGGTTTCTATGTATATACGTATATGCTATTTTTATTTTTTTCTAATATATACGGAGTTATCCCGTTTGGGGCTTCGAAAAAAAGAAAAAATAATTGTATTTATTATAAAATTTGAACCTTAGCATTATATGTCTCTACATCATTCAAATGACAGCCTGGTGTACCTTGATCCTTTTGAGGTAAATTTCGACCACTTTTTGACACATGTGGGCGGGATGTCAGCCATAATTTAACGAATGTTGGTTTTCCTGTGCTCGAGAGTTAAAGGTTTATCCGCGTAAACACCATCTTCCGCGTAGACTCAAAAAAAAAAAAGTCCAACTGTGAAAAATCGCACGATTTCGGTGGCCAATTGACCATCTTATTGAGACCACATATTGTCAAAAAAGGTGTTCTTCAACAATGTTACACAGGCCTTACGATATCTGTAACCGTTCAAGTCGTTTCAAATTTCTTGAAAATTTTAATAACTGCTTGAGTAGTTGGACGATGCACCATAAAGCATGAAACGTGACCCCTGTCGAATCACTATTTTTGTAGCAGGTTTTGACACTTTTTGTGGTTGTCAATCGATCTATTTTCATAAATGCTGCACTTCTAACTAAAACAAGACATATTCGGTTTGACGGTTAAGCTTGACAGATGCCAAAATACAGCCATTTACTTTTGAAGCCAAGAAATGGATGAAACTATATGTACGTATGTATACATATTTCATATCACATATTTCTTCGTACAATGGGGAAATGATTAATTGGTTTGTCTTTTCATCCATCCTACCAGACAGCAGATTACTAGAGCTTTTCTTCGGATATGAGCCGTATACTCGTATTGGGTAGTAACTTACATCTGATTAAATCCCCCACCGCGGATCAATTACTCTGGGGCTATTGTTATACCGGAATATTGCATTTCAATTAAAGTAAGCGATAGAATTAAACCACACTTAGTGAATTTGCTTTCTATGCCTTAAATGATGGGTGCAAATCAGTCCAAATTTAACTCACCCCCTTACGAAGGATTTAATTTTTTTAAAGCATATTATAATTAAAATTGATCAGTAATAATCCCTGCAACGGTATGCTAAAAAAGATAATGAATTTCAATTTTTCTTATGTAAAGTTAAATGAAGTACATAACGTATCCATATCTACTTACATCTACACACATACATACATATGTAGGCACATTTGTTATGTTTTATTGTTTCTATTTTGCTCCCCACCATTTTATTTTTTTGCAGATATTTTGTTATATAATAGCGGCTGCTTTGTTATATAATTGTTTTTATTTTGAGTTGAATATTAATAAAAAAAAATATATAAATATATGTATCTTTCGTGTTTTTATGTTAATGATTCTACGAATATCCGGTGACGTAATCACACTTTGCTATATATTCGTATCTATGCATAATAGAACTATGTGTGTATTTGTAGTTACTGATAGTTTTAGATATACATATAATTTTAATTTACTTTATAATTGAAAAACTTAATCGATATTCAAGCCAGCTGTAACTCTTGAGTTATGAATATTCGCACATATAAATTTAATCGCAGAGCCGTCTACCATTGTCGTGGTGTTTTTTTTTTTGTATTCTGTATTTTGTCCAATTTTATTCTAATTGCTAATGCAAAGAACGGTAAAAAAAAACATTATTACACATCATCTTACTATAAAATATTAAGCTTTTTTTTTATCTTATTAGTGATCTAACTATTTACATATTTGTATGTATAACCCACCACCGGAGAATAATAAAAATATGAATATGGCTACGCATGCTCTATACATACATATATTCAAAACATAATAATATTATATTTGCCAAGCTGTCGGTGAATTTTTTCCCGTGCATAAAGTATTTTTTATATTTTATTTTATTTTATTTAATGTTATTTGATTTTGTTTTACTTTATTTTTTGTTCATTTTATTTATTTTTAATTCTATTTCATTAATATTGTTTATTTAAATTTATTTTATTTCGTTTTATTTGTTCTATTTTATTTTGTTTTAAGTTTATTTTATTTTACTTTATTTTAATTTATTTCGTTTATTTTATTTTATTCTTTTATAAGTTTTTAAATTTTTTGTTAATGTTATTTTATTTAATTCTATTTTTTATTTTATCATTTATATCATTTTATTTTATTTTATGCTATTTTATTTTGCTTTAAGTTTATTTTATTTTATTTTTATTACTTTAATTTAATTTTCTGTAATTTTTTTCAATTTCATTTTAGGTTATTTTATTTTATGCTGTTTTATTTTATCTCAGGTTATTTTATTTTATTTTTTAACTTATTTGTTTTATTTCATTTTATATTATTTTAGTTTACTTGATTTTATTTCATTTTACTTTATATTGTTTTATTTTATTTACTTATATTCTTTTATTTTATTTCACTTAATTTTATTTAATTCAATTTAATTTAAGTTTTTTATATTCTTTTACTTATTTCTATTTTTTCAGTTTCATTTCATTTTAATTTATTTTATTTTATTTAATATACTTTAATATAATTTAATTTTCTCTTTTTCTTTTATTTTATATTTATATTTTTTTATTTTATTTGATTTTACTTTAGGTTATTTTATTTTATTTATTTTATATTATTAATTTATTTTATATTATTTTACTTTATTTTTTAATTTATTTTATTTTATTTATTTATTTTTTGTTCTATTTTATTTATTTTCATTTAACTCAGTATTTGTTTTATTTTTTAATTAGTTTTATAATGTTTTCATTTTAATTTAAATTAAATTAATTCATTTTTATTTTATTTTGCTTTTCTTTTTAAATTCAATTATTTTTTATAAATGTTATTTTATTGTTATTATTCATTTAAAACAAATTTATAATGAATTTAATTTGTGTAATGGTAATACGTACATCTGATCGTTTTCGGCCTTGTTGTTACTAGCTCCGCAACGCCGGAAACCGTCTGACCGGCATAGTAAACCCCCATGGGATTGTTGTCAAATGTTATTGTGCACTTACTAGCCATATTTTATGGTTTTCGCTTTCAACCAACACTTTTTATTTAATATTCAATAGCGTCGCTCACAAAACGAACGCAAATAGTGAATTGGGTGTTGTCGCAAAAAGTACAACGAATGTGCTCTTTGGCGTGTGAATCAGTAGGTGGAATGGAGTTTAAGCTTCACGCTTCAATAACAACTTTGTATTATAATTTTGCATACAATCTTGACTGCCCTTCACACAGACATGAGTAGGTATATATGTACACATGCAAAGTTCACATATGGAGCAAGCTGATTTGATAGTTGATGCGCGTTTCAAGGTTACACGCCGCTTTTTACCGGTGTCTCTGCTGTTTACCTGAATGTTTCGCTCTGTTTTTACACTAAACATTCATATAAATGCATACGCACATAATAACAGTTTTGAGAGATTTTATTTCTTGTTTTGTTTTTTCTTAAACTTGTCTCTGGGAAGGGTGGTGAAAAACTCAATCCCCCAAGCACTGATTTCCTGTTGGTTCAATTCAATATACACATTTCCATTTGCAATTTATTTTGTTGTCGTTTTATCTGTTATTTATAGCACAAGCATAGTATGACTTAATTTTGCGAGCACGCACACACGCGACGGAACGACCCAGCGCTGTTTGAAGCTATGTATTAGTTATTGATATACGGAAGCGTAGCAAGCAAAGCACCTACAGTTGCGCTGCGGATTGCCTTTTCAGCACATTCTTTTGTTTGAAATGTTGGATATTGGAGCTAAAAGCTCCATCAAATACTCGTACGTCTCGTCGATAGCAACTTCAAGCCCAAACTGAATTAAATAAATAAATATGCTTACGACAAAGGCACAACGCTCCCAAACCAACAACAGAACAGCAGAATATCTTAAATTGTACTTAATACATACGCGTTTGTCGGAGGAGTGAGCCCTGCATGTAAGAATCGAACAAAGACACCAACGTGTACATACGGATATATTGTGCTGGCAGACCCTGCAAGAAAATTCGCTAGAAACAATTTTTGGTTGCCATTATAAATCAATCCTCTCAAGATGAAGGAGTGGCCCAACAACGGTTTACTTTTAGGATACTTTTTAGAGATGACTAATTTAATTACTAGTACGAATTTAATGGATTTGTAATAGCGAAAGAACCATACATTTTCTGCAGAATTTATAAAAACAACCAGTATCTTCTTCTTTTTTCACCGCCGTTAACACCGTTTACGCAATTACTGCTGTCACCATATATCTCATACAGCTCATCGTTCTATCGGCTGCGGTATTCGTCGTACCCAACTTCCCGAGGACCATTCCAAAACCTTTTTCGAGAAAACCCCCAATACACACTGATAAGACATTTTCATCGACCACACCTCCGCATTATATACATACGTAGCTGGACGGAAATGAAGAAAGATTTATAGAGTTCGGTATTTGTTCGTTGGGAGAGGACTTTTCGATTCCCTACTCAGCCCAAAGTTACTTACAAATAATATAATGCATAAAATGGTCATTCAACTCTGATTGACTTAACATCTTATTTCTATATGCAGAACTATAACCGTAACTATATTTCAGATTTTCTTCTTTATGCTTAGGCTATCTGTATCTTAGCTGTTTCCCATAAATAATATATGTACATATATAACTGGCGCTTTGTAACCGCTGAAGCGTTTTTCGTTCGATCTTCTTATTTAATATGTTATGTGCGTCTTGATGTTTTTCCAACAAAAGAATGGCTTTTTATAAAGAACCTTTATTTCATATTAGAAGTACACTCGGAGGGCCGACCACGTTTAGAAAAATTGATTACCTGTTGACCTAAACGTGGTTAGGTCGCCGAAATGGCGACATCAGTTGGTCAGATAAAATATGGATCAACTCCGGTGCGTTGAACCGGCTGTCTTCAGAGTTGCGGAGCATAATGCTTTGCTGAGCAAGCAATTCCTATTGGAATGCTACCGTAGGGAACACCCCAATAGGCACCTTATTGAAGCTGAAATACCACCTAGGCACATCAGAAAGGGAGTACTTAACATAAAGAACATACTCAAGCAATACGTGCAACAACCGCAGGGCATGAGGGCGTACAGACAGGCACCAGGAGACACTCACGAGCTCGAGAGACCCGCGTGACCTTGGCATAACTTAGGTCTTGATATTGGAGCAGGTTAAACTTCTCACTATCCAGACTTGACCACAGCATACCCAACGTATGCCCTGCGTTTGGAGAGTCTCCCCACTACACTAACCTCCTCTTCACATGCCTCCTTAAGCCGACACATCTAACCCCCCTTTCCCTCTGTTCCAATCCCGTCGAAACAGTACGTTTTCTGGACATTCCACTAGATCACCTCGGCGACTTAAATTGATTAAACCTGTCCCTAAGCGAGGTTAGCGAACTGCTACAGCAACAATAACAACAACAAAATTTATTTTCTATTATTTTTTAGGGGACTAGAACCCTGGCAAACGAATTTTAGTATTTACTTGCTTTTACATTTTAATAAATTTTCTGGCAGGGTTCTTGTTGTCAAATGTACATACATACATATGTACCTGAATGTACTTTGTAGCAGTCTAGTAGCGTAGTGTACAAGTATGTATGTGAAGATTTGAGAAATGATTTAAGACAATTTTTGGTATCCGACGTGTCGCGCACGCATCGTGTGCGGATACTTTTAAAGTTTTTGTCATGTATGTATGTAGCTATTACTTTTTCTAAAGTTGGCTTGACCGTGATATTGGCTTGCCAGTGATAGCCATAAAAGCAGACTAAAGAGATTTACGGAGCTGTTCTCACGCATAAAATCCAGTTTGGTTAAATAGCCGAATTTCCACAACTTTGTAAATGTGTGTGCCTTAACATCTATGGTCTCTTTCATATAACCATACATGCATACGAAGACATGTATAATTTTTTTAGTTTTTGTTTTATTTTTTTAATCATCTTTGAAGATGTTCGTTCAAAGCTTTCGAAAACTTATTCACTCAAAATATTTTTTATATACCTTTATACATACAAACATATTTCATATATTAGTGGAGTATCTAAAAGCACAATTGAATTTGTTACATACAGTTTTTATACCATATGAATCAAATCACTTTACATTCATATATATGTACATATATATATAAAATAAGAAGTTCTTCTCTTACTTAAAAAAGGATTTGATATGTATATTGACTTTCCTGCTGCGAAATCAAATAGAAAGTGGTAAGGCGGACTAAATTCGGATGCGGCCGAACAGTAGGTACTCGGCTGATATTGATGGATGTAATAGGGTATGTACATATATGCTTAATTTACTTTAGATAATTTGTTAGGTATATTCAGCCAGCTGGTTGATGTCCTCGTAACACTGAAGCCGTTCAAGAAGTGCGATTAACGGGACAAGGCAAAAGAAGGTAGGTCATGCTGACACTTACTACACCTCTCATAAAGAAGCGCAAATTTGGTGTGACATTCGTGATACAAGAGATATATCATCGCCGAGTCTTGGCGTTCACTCCAGCGGATGAACGTTATGCCACAGTACGTATCAAACGAATCGCCTCGATATCTAAAGCCAAGTGGGTCGAGGTTGATCGAAAATACAGGTTCGACGCTGAAAAGACGAACAAAGAGGCATCCGAACAGTATTTCTACTCGACTAACGACACTTGCTCTCTGAGAGGACGATATTTCAAACTTCCACGTACAACTGCAACTGATGTTTTTGATTTTCAGAAAGACCCAAAAAAACAGCTGAGACGATGAGTATAGCCTTGCCGCAGCGGCGACTTATAGAAGATTTCAAGATCAGAACAAACTCTTGTAGGAGCTAGAGAGGTGATCTAGCCACTAATACCAAAATACGGTTCAGTAAATAAGTAAAAATGGATAACAATTATTACTGTCTATCAGCTCTCCGAACAGAGCTGATAAAAATTTCTAATAGGGACAACAAGTGCGTATTGCCATAAGGCGTAAAACAAAAGTGCACTACTATACAGGGTTGTTACATATCATAAAGTTTTATTAAATGCGTGTTGGCATAACTGGGAATCAGTTTTTTGTTTTTATAAACGGAATTGTATTTGAAATACTGAGTAGGACGTAGACCTGAAAATCAATGTTAAATTAAGTTGTCTGATTGAATATAAATTATCTGATGATAATAGCAAAAACTTCATAGGTTTTGTTTATGTAACTTCGCAGTGGATATGTCAGTATCTGAACACGGCAGCAATATGTGTTTTAAATAATTAAGCTGAAAAATTTTGCTACTCTAATTTGCCGGAAGAACAACAAACAGAATTCCAAGTAAAAATGTGAGAATGTAGACAAATACCACCTACCGCGCTTTCTATGGTACGAGAAACGTACGTTCGTGGGAGCTTTCCATGGATGTGCGAAAGCAAACGACGTGTATATAAGAGCGAAGACAAAGACTGCTGGAAGTTGAGTTACATAGAGCGCTTGTTACTGACAAAAGTGGTGTAAAATGCAATCAGTGCATTGTGCATGTAGTACATTATAATAACACGTTATTGTTGAGTTTAAATATGTATATTGTGTAAAATATTTGTCGTGAAGAATTTGTGCGACAATTTTTTTTACTTTTATTTAGCATTAATGTGGTATTCGAACCCAACAAATTATGTCAATTATATTAGTTAATTCAATATAATAATAAACACTAATATAAAATAGTAACATTTTCATAAGTTTGCAATTCTTTTCCTTAGAATTAAAAAGCTTTTTGTTTTTCCTTTTTTTTCAATAAATTGGGTCTGATTTAATGCAAGCTCATCATACGAAACGTCAACATTTTACCACAGCTGTTCTACTCGTATTAGCGACCTAATATTCATCTCTTTCGCACATATAATGAAGAAAGGTGTTGTTTTATATTTGCAGAAAATATTGTGAATGTTGGAGATTTTACAAATATATTCAATGAATTTCTTCAGCGGGCGTCCCCAGTTTTTAATTGTCAAATTGCATATAATAAAATAGTCGCAGAAAAAACCATAATTCAGTTCGGGAACGTAGTGTGTAACTAAAAAGTAGGAACAAATATTTCCGCATTGGAAACGTCTTTTCTGCCTGACTTATTGTTTGTGGGCTGGAGCAATAGAAATTGCAATGTATTTTAGAATTATTTTGAACACCATAGTTGAAGTTGGTGTTTCAAATTAGTCGGAAACAAAATCATAATTGTTGAAACTAGTTCATGAGACGGTCGAGAAAATGAATATCAGCAGCTACAGATTCTAAATATCTCAAGGTGTGTGCGTGTGCTTGCACAAGAAGAAAGTGGAGGTGGAGCGGCTTCGCATGCTTTTGTTTTTTTCTTCTTGCTCTTGTGTCAAAGTGTTTTATTTTTGGATAAAATAAAAATATAAAACATTCGAAATAACAAATACCACAAGAATTTCCTTGGCCTTCTTTAAGGCTTAGATAGAGGGCGGAGAGAAAGGCAACGGACTTGTGGTATGCATTAAATAGAACCAAGAGATATTTTATTGAGGTAGACATTTAATCAATTTTCTTATTGAATTTAAAGATTTCATGAAAGAAAAAATAATTGCCAGAGCTTAAGAAATAATTTAAGTATAATGGAGACGGAGAAGTTACGCATCACGCTGAGTAATCCGGAAAAAGTGTATTCTGCGGGAGAAACTATAAAGGGTGAAATTTGTATAAATATAACAAAGCGAACCAAGATACGTGGTAAGTAAGAATGCTTGTAATATTACATTTTTTGTGATTTAACTTGTTTTTAATATACAAATGTAAGTTAGCTACAAATGTATATATGTACCATTGGGCGTATATACAGACATATACGGTTTTCATACAAAAGAAACTTGCTGCAATGGTCCAAGTAATGTGCGGAAACCTGAATCATCACAACTGCAATCTGTATATACATATGTATATATGTTCATTATAAGGTATAACTTAAAAGTTTATTCGAAGATTATTTTTATATTATAAATATATACATAGATAAGTATATAAATAGTAAACGCTTTCGCGACATTAGTTACTAAGTATTTTAGTAACGGTCAGATGCAAGCATATTGTTTATTCTTCTCTGTCGCTGGTTTTGAGATATTTATGTTTTCTAGGTTTGTTGTCCTCTATAACGTCATTCATAACTCTCCCATCTCCATGAAATTGTATATTTTTGTTTTGATTGCACCGTGAATGGTTGCTTCAACAGAGAAGAAGCAGCAGTAAGCAGGTGTGTGTTTTTCTTATTGTAATGGGTGTCACCAGCCTACATACACATTCGGTGATACTGCTAATGTTGCATTGTAGTCACGGGTATCGATACTGAATACCTATTGTTACGATTTTACTAAATCAACCTCGATTATTTTCTAGATCCTTCGGGTACGATCTCTGGATTGTTAAATAAAACTCGCCAACTTAATTTGCAGTTTCTTTCTTTATAAAGAATTAATCTAATGTCCTTTATTATCTCAGTAATTCACAATTCAATTATACTGCACTTTACTATTTATAATCACTAACATCGACTTTCACAATTTACTCTACTTAAATGTAATTCCCAACGCGTTCACTTTACGACTTCACTGATGTTAACGCCAACCAGTTTGCTTTGTCACTAACTTGACTTGCAGCTGAGTGCCGCCTTTATATAGCAGTCGGCTGCTCGCAGACGAAAGCGTAGAAGCATCGAATTGTTCGCTATGGAAGATTCTTGTTTTATCGTTTCTAGAACGTACTAGTTATCGGCTTCTCTCTTTCATCTGACATTCGCCTCGCATTTTCGCAACACTATTTTAAAAACTGGACCAGAGATGCTCAACTAATTTCGTTTTGTTAATATGAAAAATATAATAAAATAAACTGTGTCAGGTTATTGTTTATATTGAACTTATTATATGTTTGATATTAACACTCTAATTTTAACATTTAACGTTATTTGTTAACGATTTAACATTAACGGCGATGCCATTACGGACGTTTATACCGTAGAAACCAGCGGTTTTCCCATAGAATCGACTCAGCTGAATTCTCTATCAGTAGAGGCATATAAATAAATCTCATCTTAACTGAGTAATATTTTTTTAACAACATATTTAATTATGTATTACAACTAAGCTCACATATGTATATATATTTAATTAGCGTTTCTATACGAACATAGTTTGTTGACGAAAATTATGAAATTTGTTTAAAAGTATGAAAGCATACCGCCAGCTTACAACGTTTCGACGCCGCAAGTAACTTTCTTAACTTTTGACCACATATTCCTTTTCCAGTTCGATAGTTGGGGTGGGAGGTACATACATATGTAAAATGACGGGTTGGGCTAGAAATATTCGGTGGGTGTTGTTTGATTGGGACAGTACGCAAGGAACGTCCGTTTACGTTCGAGAATGTTTTTACTATAAGTTGCTTTATGCCGGCAGTACACACAAACGTGTCTGTAGTCCGTGGCTGATTACCGTAGGATACACAAATTGTGCAGCCCTTATCGATGTATATTTAACGCGGAAAGCAGTTTTCTTTTCATGTTTAGCAAGAGATTTTTCTTTCCTTATGGATTATGAATCACTTGAAGCGTAACAAAATCGATCTACATATGAGGCGGATGGTGACTGGTGATGAAAAGTGGATCACTTACAGCAACGTCAAGCGATTACTGTCATGATGGAAGAGCAGTGGCCGCCAGGAAGATTTTTTAGTGTGTTGGGTGGGATTGGCAAGGAATCATCCACAATGAGCTGCTAAATTACGGCCAAACGGACCGACAGAAGGAAGCAATCGGCCAGCTTTGGTCAACAGGTGGTGAATTGTGTTTCACACGACACACCCACATCGAGAGTGACTTTTCAGGAGCGGCGAAAGCTTGATTGGGTGGTTCTTATTCATCCACCTTAAAGTCTGGACTTCGCACCAACTGATTATTATCTGTTTCTGTTTATGTCGTTGGTGAAGAATTAGTTTCTATGAGAAAAGCATAGTCACCTTACCTTCAAAATGCCAAAAAGATATCAAGAAAAACAGCGCAAATTTCACATAAAACGGATACTTGCACTTTAATAATTCCTCAGAAGTCGGCGATATCAACTATTCATTATGTATTCCTATGGTATTCTTATCATATTTAAATCTAATCGCACCTCACCTAAATTTAACACCCACTAATGCCATTTAGTTATCAGAAAAGCCGCAAATTATATATAATGTGCAGATTATATTTATATTGAGATTTACTATATAATAATACAGTCGTACTGCTGGATGGCAATGCGATATCATGCGCTTTAATTTTGTGAAAAGGCCCAGCCGGCTTAGGTGTTGATTAGTGACTTGAATTGTTTGTGTAATGTAGAAAAACTGAAACCTTATCAGTGCAAAGCAGTAATTAAGCAGCTGCGATTTGACCTAAAATTTGCATTGGCTGGCTGAACTTAACAGCTGTTCGGGAGAGAAACTTAGGACTAGGTAGAGGAATAAACAAATTAAAAAAAAATTATTTAAAAAAATAATTGACTTTTTATATTATTTATACATATATATGTATCTATATGCATCTTTATTGTCATTAAATCTATTAATATATATTTGTTTAAAATTATTGTTCTGGTTGATTATAAGCGCTTTTAACATCTAGTCACACAATAAACGTATATATATATATGTATGTACATACATGTGTTTGTAAAAAATCAAGAAATTTATAAATTTACAATAAATGTATGTATTATATACATATACATAAATATTATCAATTTTCGCCTAAAGGGCAGAACATACATGAATATATGTAAATTTATGCATAACAATAAACATTTGCAATTATCGTTCTTGACTCTAAGGAATTTTAAGTAAAGCAGTTTTGTGCGCTATCATATTCATGCAAATACATAAAAATGACCAAATTCCCTCCTTTACAGCCTTTTCGCCACCGCCGCCTTCGTTTTCTCTACTAAAAATTGCTCCACTTGTGGCCATATTTCGGCTGTGGTGCGCCCCCGGAAATTAGTTATGAGTTCTTGCTTCTGATAATATTCCAATACTGGCCGTAGCATCTCTTCATACACTTGTAAGCGTTGCGCGACCACCTCTTGCTTATCATCATCACGTTGCACCAAATCCTCACCAGTTATATCATCTTTACCTGGCACTTTGGGATCGTTGAAGCCCACATTGTACACCCGTCCGGATGGCAAGTGTATCTAACGACCCTTCACTCGTTCGATGATCACATCGTGTGGCACCTCCAAGTTTATAACCGCATGTAACGGTTCACTCGCATTCAAACGTTCAGCTTGCACGAGTGTTCGTGGAAATCCATCCAGCATCCATGATTTGTTACCCACTTCGGTGATACGGCTCAGCACACATTTCATTACAATATCATCGGGTACCAATTTGCCTGCATCCATAAATTGTTTCGCCTTTTTGCCCAACTCCGTTTTGTGTAGTACATTTAGGCGCAACATATCACCCGGGGAGATGTGTACGAAATTGAATTTCTCGACAATGCGCTTTGAGATGGTACCCTTTCCGGAAGCTGGTGCACCCAGCATCACCATACGGAAGACTTTAGTGAGCATATTGGAGTTTATTTGTGCTGTGCGGCGGCTTTTGCGTGCGATGAGGAAGTGGTGTGGTGCGTGTGCTCTCCAATTGACTGTTCAAAAGGCACTGTGCATATGTTGCCGCGTTAAGAGCTTCTAAATGTGAAGAGAATATAAAAAATTAATTGATAAGCGGCATATATGTATGTACATATGTATCTATGCTCTGTGTGCTGTTTTGCTTCAATTGAGAATAATAATAAAAGAGATACTTTCATATGTGTGTATGTCGGATATGTGCATATGTATATACTATTTATATACATATATATTTTATTTACTCGTTACTGTATACGGGGTTTGTTCATCTACCGCCTCTACCAATGCGTTTCGTACTTCCTTTTGCTGAACGACCCATAGCTGAATTAATGTTTCAGATATCGTAAAAAATATCCGATAAATTTTCGGTGCTAGAACAGGATTTTATATAGATGATATAATTAGTGGTAACACTTTTTCCTGAGGTGCGACTAAGCTCGGAGAATCTTGGCTCGAGCACAATACCCTCTATTAGCAGCTGCATACGTGGGTACTGCGGCCGCCCACTGCTTTGAAAGTGCAAGAACTGAGTTAGCTCAGTAACTGTAGACACCACATTTTCCATATTCTACTAGGATCCTTTGATCCTAGACACCTTGCAGCGTTTCGACTTGCCGAAAGGGGGATAAAGAATGGAAATACAAAAAAAATTTTTGTTTCCCTATTGAATAAATTCTCCCGCAAGAGGGGCACAATTTCAGATCTTTCAACTAATTAATTTATACCCTCAGAGAGAAACGTTTTTTCTTTATATTTCCTTTTTAAATTTCCTTCTTAACTCCATCATCAATAATTCATTTTGTGCCCCTCAGTTTTTTTTTTTATTTTCGGAAACATATAATAGTTTCTCTAGGTCATATCTGGACTGTAGGGAGATTGGTTCAAAATCGTAAAGGACCTCAAAGCCCATATTGTGCAGGACAGCCAACGCAACGCGGTTTTTGTGGTCTGTTGTTTTTTCAGAGGCGTCACATAACTGGCGCTGACATTAGTCAAGTCAAGGTGATAAAGATTCTAAAAATGCTTGTACCGGATATACTCCAATCATTTCTTCAAGTTGTTTCTTCTTTCGTAAACCATCGTCGAGGACAATTTTTTCAGCTTTGTGGATAAGTTTAGACTTGGTCAACTACTGCCCGGTCTCGGGTCGTCTGCAAGGGATTCACTTTCTTGCTTTAGTAAACTGTGCCATTTGTACATCATGGGTTTTTTTCCGGGCAAGAGACACCGTAAATCAATGATATCTCACTTATTATGGTGGCAACTGATTTTCTTTGATTACATAGTAATGAAATTTGTAACGGCGCGATATTCGATTTTTTCCAATTTAACCTTTCACTTCGGATTATTACAGCCGAGTTTTTAGCAGTACGTACCACCGTGCGGAGTGTTATGGGTTCGGGTGAAATAAAAGCTTCCAATAAAAAACCATCAGCCATCTTGAGGCGGCTTAGAATAAACTGCAGGTTCCTCCATTTGTTGGAATAACACCAAGCCACATACTTGTATTAGATTCGCCGTTGCCAATGCGCAAAGGACCATAAATCTTTCGCAAAAGTTTTCGATCGACCTTTCAATTGCCTACTCAGTCCAAAGTGCCGATGGCAAGCGTGATTCTGCGTAGGATTACAAGTCTGGCATTATTGTTGGTGATGATACTGGTTCCTAGATAGACGAAACTATCTACGACTTCAAAGTTATGACTGTCAACAGTGACGTGGGAGCCAAGTAGCGAATACGATGACTGTTTGATGACAGGAGATATTTCGTCTTGTCCTCGTTCACTACTAGATCCATTCGCTTCACTTCTTTATTAAGCCTGGAGAAAGCAGAACTAACGCCCTTATAGAAGATTGTACCATCAGCTCTGCAGCTCTTATTGTTCTCTCTAGCATCAAATTGAAGAAATCACACGACAAAGAGAACGGTTCGGAGAGACTCTGACTACGCTTCTTGTGTTGTCTAGCGTCAGCTTGCCCAGCCGTATAAGTTTTGCGGGCATACAACATTCAGACATAGCGACGTAAAGGCAACTCCTATTCGCGCTGTCGAAGGCGGCTTTAAAATCGACGAAGAGGTCATGAGCGCTCTTTTCAAGGGTCTCTTCCAAGATTTGGCGCATGGTGAATATCTTGTCAATGGTTGACTTAGCATGTCTGAAGCCACACTGATAAGGTCCAATCAGTTTGTTGTCGGTGGGCTTCAGTCTTTCACACAATACGCTCGACAGCACCTTGTCGGTAGGCCGTCAGCTCCCGCCGCTTTGTTGCTTTTTAAAAGGGCTATTCGAACTTCTTCATGGTCAGGTAATGGAACGTCTTTTCTGTTGTCATCGGTTGGGGTTTCGGGTTCACCATCTCCGGATTCTCCATTTTCACTACTATTCAGCATGTTGGAGAAGTGTACCCTCCATAAATTCAATATACTCTGGGCATCGGTGGCTAGGTCACCCCTTTCGAGCATTACCCTTGTCGTCCAGCTTCTCAAGCTCTTCATACATCACGCAAAGATACCTTAGGCATAAAAATCGCTCGTATGTGCGCTCTAGGCGCTCATAAAAGGTATCTTTTACCAAATCGTTCTTCTTTTCCTTCGGGGCGTGGGCGCGAATTCCACCTTCCCAATTAAGGGACCGGTTTCTACGTAGCGGGTCCAAACCCAGCGCACAACCTCGCTAGGCGAGGAAGTTTAAAGTTTTTTTTTTACACAACTCGGAGTGACTCCACTGAAGCTTCCTCTCTTTTTAGCCATGACCCAAGGCTCCACACAGGTTGGTTACCGCATGTTGCACAAGGGTTGAAGAAAAAAGATGAATAACACTATAACACTGTCGAAAGTTTTTCTTTGTAAGCAAAAGATACACTTTTTGTTGCAGACTGTCTTACATATTTGCATACATATATAAATATATATTACGAGAGCATATTTAAAAATATAATTTTTATTTCGCTTACAAAGTAATTTAATATTTCTACCCAAAAAAATGTTCTATGCAATTTATGTGTTGAGTAAAAACAGAACATAAATACAGTGTTGAGAAAAATAATAGAAATGACCGTTTACAGATATTAAATGAATTATGCATTTTCATGCAACATGTTGCAGCCTGTAGAATTAGCAATAAGATTTAGAGTCATGCGAACGGAACTGAATTTAAAAGTGTCCAGCCAAACTGCGAGGTACATATCGGCAGGTGTTAGTATTTTACCAATAACCCCTGTGAAGCTTCCTTTGCTGAGCGTAGTAAACAAAAAAAAAAAGCGTTAAAATTGGAAATACGAAAAGCAATTGATTGAGTTGATTATTTCATATAGCTACCATACAACCGCCATTTTCGGATATACTATTATGGATCATAACTCTTCCAATTCGAGAAGTCAAAATTTGTCTATATTCATAAAAAGGAAATCGCTGAAACAACTCTATTTTTTTGTTTTCTTTTTTAAGCTAAAATTACAATAAAAATAAGAAAAAAAAACTTATGACTGAATTCAATCAACAGCTAAATTTATAGAAAATTGGTATTTCTAAGTCAAGCCTTCCAAGTGTATTTTTGTTCTGAAATAAAAATCTGGTCATAAAAGTCCAGCGGCATATCGGAGGAGGCCTGGGATAATTTTTAGGTACCTCCATTTGATGGGAATAAATTTGAAAGGGGCATACCACAAAGCGGTTACAAAACGCCAATTATATATACATATATAAAAATATATATTTGTACATTAAATTGTAAAGCATTGGGTGGGAAATAATCTTTGGAAAAATAAAAAAAATGTATACATAATTTTTTGTATGTTGCTATTATATTTTTCAACACTGTACATATGTACATACATACATACATATGTCAACATAATCATATCTGCTACCTGCAGGCAGTCAGCTTAATCATTTCGAATTATCAAACAAAATTTATTCTGAAAATTTCCCAAGTTTGCTACACTACTACTATTATTTTACTGTTTACTTCTCAATTTCACTTGTCATGATAAGAGTGAGTCTATTTTTGTTTAATCACACAATTTGGCAGCGTTTGTGCTAACCTTTATAGAATTTATTTTTTTTTTTGTACACGATATAGAGATTATTGAAGATAAGAATGTAAATTCTATTTAAAAAAAGAAATATACATATATATATATTTACTTTATATTGCCTACAGGTTTAAATTTAATAAATTATTCGTTGTGATTTACAACGTTATATACCTATGTATATATTGATTAGATTTATATGAAAGTAGACTCACTGATTTATTTAAAGAAGGCGATTATGTTATAAATTATGTATTGTATAATCTTTAAGCTTATGTACAGTTTTATATATTTTGAACTTGTTTTGCTAAATATTCAAACTAATTTTTAAGAAACAAGTATTTTAGTTAGCACATTTCTGTTTAAGAAAGTGTTGTATGCAATTTTTTTGCTCCGAAAAATTCAATTAAAACCACATATCTACATACATACATACATACATACATATGTAGATACGAATATTTCGCACACGTTTATTGTTCGCTCAAAGTCCCCCTACAAACATATGTAGGTATTTATAGACATTCGTCTCTATAAAAAAAAAAAACAAGTTCAGCTTAATATGGAAGCATAAACAACAACGCAGCACAGCAATCAGAGCTATCGTCCGTCGGTCCATCTGTCCGTGCGTCGCCAAACCTAGCGGGAAGCGTGTGCACCTCACCTCTAAAGCGCCATAAAACGTCCGCTTTGCATACAAATGTATGTATGTACATACTATGTATATTTATCAATTTAAATTAATGCCCAGCAATTGACTTAAATTTTTCTTTATGAATTTATTATATTATATTTATATTTACACAAAAACACTGTAAATTTGCATTCAAACGTATGGTGGTGTGATACAGTCGCAAAAAAGAAAATGATACACAATTGCAATTATATAAATTTCGCAATTAGATATTCACAATATTTCTTGTTTAACTGCTTGCAGCACTGCGCCCACTGTGGGGGAGGGATAAATTTTCATCAAGTACACAAATCAATTCTATGCGTTGAAATTAGTAAACTAAAAATAATATTTTACACGTTTCTCCTTTGGAGGTGTCCGATGCAAAGAATAACTAGAAAATCAGCCCATCCTCATTATTTGAATTTCATTCGCATTAATTGCAGTTTGTATTTGTTTATCAACTTTAATTGTTACGTATATACATATGCATGTACAACGGGTATGTGAAGCGAAATTACTTTATTTACCAGCACCTGCTACAATGCGATCTATTCCGTTTTTGTTGTGTGCACACCTTTATTTGTCGCAAACTTATATTAGTAATAAAAACTATTATTATTCCAAAGAGTCTTCTCGCTCATCCAGCGGCCGGCCATTGACTGATTGTGTAGACAGGAAAGCAATCGACTTTTTCTAGTTGGTTAGGGGTTTGACATTTCTAAGCGCTTATGTGTTTGCTTGTAGGTTGTAGTACATTGCCCACATTAGCTTCTCGCGGCTCTCTGTTGACATTGCCGATGACATGTGATAACATTTACATATCTATGTACACTTGTCTGCACGCTTACTCTTTTCTACAGAGCCACTTTCCAGCTCTTTATTGTGAACTTCTCAGTTGGCCAGCAGCTATCTAATGTGTACTTTTTGTTTTGTCCTGTAAGTAGGGTGCGTGAGCTTATTTTTGGTGTGTTTGTGGTATTCAGACATTCTGACATTTTTGGTGGAGAGCTGTACCCTGCAACGCTTCGCTGTCGCACATACTCATCGAATGTATGAAAAATTAATCTTGGGATATCTTTTTATCATGAACTTATTTTATTTACTCAATACTTATGGGAATACAACATTTGTGGTTTTACTATTGACATTGGTCCACTTCCTAGAGAGAGGAATAGTCCGACCTTTTGACTTTTGGAATAGGCCAGTGCTCGGTCCACTACCCGAAGAGAAGAGTTTCCTGTAAATCTAACCACTAAACTACCTACAGTGTGTGTCAAAAATAGCAGAACTTTTTGGATATGAAATAAAATACATATCATATTATCTTTGAAAGTTATTATTTATCCAAAATAGGTTCCATTTGACTCAACACAATGTTTGGAACGATCAACCAGCGCATGCATAGATTTTTTTATGTCATTTGTAGAAATGTTCTTCAGTACCTCGGTTACGGCTGCTTGAATGGCTGGGATATCAGCATAAAATGCTCCCTTCATCAGTTTTTCAGTTTTGGAAATGAGAAACAGTCACATGGTGATAGATCAGGCGAATGCGGAGGATGGTCGATGAGAGAAATCCCTTTTTTCATTAAAAATTCAACCGATTTTATGGTCGTCATTTAATTCATGTGGAACAAATCGCGCAAAGACCTTTCTTTTCCCCAAATCTTCAGTTAAAATTCTCCAAATAGTGTTTTTACTCGTATTCAATTCCTCAGCCAACATTCTCGTAGTAAAATTTGCATCGATACCAATTATTTCACGTACTTTTTCCACCAGTTCAGCACGATTACTAGTTTCTGGACGTCCTGCTCTAGGGTCGTCATTTAAATCCTCACGACCATTTTTAAATGGTGTAAACCACGTATAAACTTGCGTACGACTCATACAATCATCCCAATAAACTTTTTTCATTAATTTTTTTTTCAAGTTCGACACAAAATTTTATATTTGCTCTTTGTTCCATTTTATTTTTGAACCATTAGCACACTTTTGGTTTTATTGAAATGGCTGTCACTTTTACATGTCATCCGACTTACATGATGTTAGGTGCGTTTGAAAGAGGATGACTGTATCTTTTTAATGTTGCAAATTTTCAATAGATGGCGCTGTATGTTGTATGATTTATATATAAAGTTCGGTTATTTTTCGGACACATCGTATTTATCGAATTTCAAGTAAATCGAACCATAAATAAGCATTCTTCGAATAGGTCAGTTCCTTTTCCACTTACCGAATTTTGCTTTTTTCGTAAAAACCTTCCCAGGAAACATAGAAACAATCTGACAAAATTTTAAGTCAATAACTTAAGGCCGGTAACTTTTGGAGATTACAAGGACGAAAGAAGACCGGCTTAGCCTGAATGCCAAAAGCGGTGACGTCAGCGAACCAGAAGTTACTGGAAGCGCTATTTGACTAACTTGCACTCCTTCATTCCATACAACTGCGCTATAACCTGGTCAGAACACTGCTTTGAGGGCCAGGAATTTTCCCCACGATAAAGCACGCCTGTCGTAGGGAGCGACTAAAATTGTAAACGCCGTTCACACAGAGTCCGTCCATATATCAATCATCAATTATCTTCGAAGTGTTCGAGCTGTCTCGCGATACCAGAGTAAAACTAGCACAACTAAGGACTGCATTTTGTAGTAAATTCAACTCTTACCCATCCTATCTATACTCGACCCCTGTTTTTAGGACTTTGCTTGGAGGAATGTGCAGTCATAGCTCAATTTTAAATCACAAATGGCGATTTCGGGCCGAATACTCTCCCTAGCACTTATTTCATAAAACAAAAAACAATAGAATTTTTCGTAAATATTTACTATATTCCATTGTGCTAATGCAGCAATATTAAATGCTACAGTAAATCTTTAAGTAGCTCACATAACACATTAGACCTAATTAGCTAATTATTGATGTTGGTTAGTACTAGCAAATAGTTTGTTTTGAAGTTCAGCAATTTTAGCACATTTGGTTATTTTGGTGTTCAGTGTGAAAAGCTAAAGTAAAAAAAATAAAAAAAATTTTAATTTTTTTAATCCTTTTTAGCGAGCTCCAGGTGTTTTTTTGTAGCTAAGCATTTCATTTTCAAGTGGCCAATCCAGTTTTTCTCCGTTTGGGCACAAGGTTGTACCATGTATTAAATAAAAAAAAAAAATCTGCAATTTCGAATGCAACTTTATTATATTTCTCACTATCCAAATTTTTTACATCTTTATTGAAGAAATATGAATTATTATGAAACTATATTTTCTATTTCCGTATGACAGATGATAATGGTATGACATGAATCAGTGACTATATGCATATTCATATGTACATATGTGCATACATATATAAGCGATTTTATATATAAATTCTTCCAAATATTATTAGAATGCATATAGTATACATATATATTTTTAAGAGCTTAAAACAGTCCGGCTGTTGGTTTCTTTAATATGTCCTTATCGCGTTGTATGATTTCTTGTTTACGCTCCTTTTGCGCTCTGTTGATGATTTCATCGATTTCCTCAATTGATGGCCCATCATCGGTTTTAATTGCCTCATTTAATTCCTCGAATTTGTCATGACGCCAACGGCCATTCGAATCCTGACTAAATTTTGTTGCATCCTCGCGACGCCAAACACGATTTCCAAAAGCAGCGCCGCGGCTTGCACCTCTGCCTCCACGTTTTGAGCTTGATTTACCAAACTTAGGTGAATTTGAGCGCCGTCGTGATGGTGAAGGTCTTCTATCTCTGCTACCTTGTCGACTAGTCTCACGCCTATGAAAAGGTGAATCGCGACGATTGCGTCCTGTACGTGACCGCGATCGAGAGCGACTATGACGTGAAGGTCGTGAACGCGAGCGTTGGTATGGTGACCTAGAATGTGATGAGCGTCTGCTACGAGAACCACGGCGACGTCCTCCATAAGAAATGGAACGTGAACGATGACGGCTACGGACATCACGTGAACGGCGGCGACTACCTCGGTCACGAGAATTAGAACGACGACGGCTATAACTGTGACCGCGGCTACGGCTACGACGATAGCGTTCACATGATGGAGTACGTGAATGGGAACGGGGTGTGGGACTTTTTTGTGCCAAAGGTGTAGCAACACGTAACAAACCGAATTTGTCCACCTTAACAGGACGTTTGATTTGAAATGAAAGTTTTGTAGGTTCGTTTAAAGTCGTCGAAGAAGCAGTGGAAGCAGCTGCTGATGTGCTTGGGTAAACAGAGTACAAGGATGATGATGCGCCATAACTGGATGAAGGATGATTTGCCATTCGCATTGATGGTGCACGTGGTGGAGGACTATCCGAACGGTCGCATCTTGTCATCCCAGCTTCTATAGACTGCACCAATTCCTGTTGCCGTTTCTTAATACTTGCGATACTTTTTTCATACTTTTCTAAATTTTCGGTAAGCTTGTTCTCAATATTCATGCTGCTAATCGCTCTGGTTTGTAATATCACAAAAGTAATACAATAATTGCATATATATATAAAAAAAGTAAAAATGCCACTTACTTGTATGCTTCTTGAAAATTAATATTGTTCAATAAATCGACGGAATTTTTTTCCTTGCGATTAACTTTTTTAGATTTTTTGCTCTTTTTCTTTTTTGATTTCTTTTTTTCCTTTTTGTGCTTTGATGCCTCTTGCAATAATTTGCGCACACGTGAGCCCGTATCATCATCATCCAGCTGAAAGGGTGATTTTGATTAAAATATTTTCAAGTTGATTATTAAAGAGCTTTCCTTACCCGAAATTCATTAATGTCTGGTGCTGGAGGCATAACAGGATCAGGCGGCACGTTATATGCAGTCATATAAAATGGCTGGTTTAGCTTTTTCTTCGATTCCTCCTCCTTTTGTAGGCTGGCAACATGCAAAGCCATGCGTTTGCTAAGCGGTGAAAGAGATGCCTCTCTTCCATTATCATCCTTATCTGAAATGTGAGTGCACCGGAAGTGGATTTATCAATTGCATTTTTTTTTGTATATAATATCCAATTCCAAAATAAAGTTCTACATACATAATAAGGGCTGCAAAATAAAGAAAAGAAAAACATTAATATAAGTTAGCCAAATGTGATTCCTTACCCGAATGTTCAGTTTCGGAACCACTATCGCTGCTGCTTGTTGATCCCTCATCACTTGATGATTCACGTATTGAGATTTTTTCCTTCTCTATTTCCTCTTCTTCACCTTTTTTTAATATGCACAATAAATAAACCAAACACGATTTCATACAAATTGTTCCACTTCAAAATAACACAATAAATACTTTCAGCTACCTGGCACACATATTGCATTCTCGAAATATTGAGCACCGGAACGTTGCTGTATTGCCTCAAGCGATAAACGTGCTTGCTCATGGTTCGGTATTATATTTAAGCAATCCTGGTATGCTTTTGTTGCCTCCTTGATTTTATTTTCATCCTCATATCGGCGTCCCAGCGCTACCAATGTTTCTCCCATATATTTACGTGCATTCACATGGTAAGCATTGAGTTTAAGAGCTTTATCGAAATCATCCACTGCTTTGAGAAATGAACCTTTGTTTGCGTAAAGTGCACCACGAGCAACCAGACCTTCAACATTTCTGGGATCAATGGTTAAGGCTTTGTTGAGACACTGGAAAGCTTCCACATGATTTCCATTTTTAAAATGTTCAATTCCCTCGGCAACCGAGCTGTTATTTTTTTTAACATAAATTTCAGGTTTATCTTAAATAAAAAAATCTTTAGATAATTATCACAAAATGATCACTTACCGGAAAGCCCATTTGCTAGCTTGAGTGCGTCGAAGTTCCTTGGCGTATTCATCGCGTGCAAACGGGCTCTTTAACGATGACATAAAAGTATAAGTTTCGTTTACATTTAAGCCATTGATTTCATAAAGCATGTCGTAGTTAGGATTTAAAAATTCCTTGGATTTGCACATGTACTCTTCAAATGTTTCCAACTTATTTTCATCAATTTGGCTTTAAAAATATTAAAGTTTGTAAATTACAAATGTAGCATATAACGCATACATACCGATAGAATTTCGGCAATTCAGTTTCTGTGATAATGCCTAGGGCGATATCTTTATTCTTTTCGTGCATGCTTTCCAAACTCAAATAAACTCTTTCAGCATCGACAGATATTTCTAATACTTCACACCGTACTAGATCGTTTTTATTTAAAGCACGGGGTTTTCCATTGCTATCCAAACCAGCTTTCATGAGGTAGGCCTTAAATGGTAAATATTGCTGAAGGTGTTAATTTAAAGGTATTAGTGCAATATTTTTTACCTTGATAGGTATATCGCTAAGATAGCGCACCATCGGTTCTCCCAAGCATAAGGGTTTCACCATACCCGATGTTGGCTTTGTTACCATGCAATATATAATATCGCCAGGCTTTATAATTTCCAATACACATCGGAAACGCTTTTGCTTATCTTTATTTTTATTTACAAATAGCTCATAGGGTGGTAGTGAGGCTATGTATGGTTCGTCTGCAAATGAAATAATTTTGTGAGTATCTAACAATTAATTATAAATATATAGTCAAAATCACATCCATACAAACTGGTAGAAATGGTAAAAATCCATTCATTCTTTTTTAGCTAAATCCAAGGATTTTATTGTAGGTATGCTTTCTGTATAAGCCCTTAAGCTACATCTTTGCACATGGGTGAAACTTACTTTCAAGGATATTATTTGGATCCACTTTGCTACTTTGAAGGTCCGAATCGTACAAATCAAGTGCCTTGCGTGCAAAAAATTGATGCATTTTTAGTCGCTTAGCACGATCTTGAAACGTAAAGTATTTTTGACGTTCTTGATAGATGGAGTAGTCTGGTTGGGCGGCCACACCGCATTGCTGAACGTTACCGGCTCCTCGTTCATCATCCCATATCTTTTGCATGGGTTGACCATGAAAGCACAGTGCACGGGTTATATAGTTTGTATTCATTGTACTCACACAATTAGTTCCTTATTTTCTTAATTTTATATCACTTTAAACCAAACTCATTTGAAAAAAGACAAATACCACAAATATATTTTCACAATTGGCACTATGTAAACGACGCGTTAAGGGTAACATTTGTTGAGCGCACGCAAAATTAGTATCTATATATTCTCGTATATGTACATATGTACGTTAACGAAGCCGAGAAATTACCTGTAATATAAAATGGTTGAAAAATAGTTCCAAATCTGCTAAAAGCGCAAAAAATAAGAAAAGTTATAAATAGGATCACAGTTATATACATAAATAATTTTACTGTATACGCTTCAGCATTGTACAAAGCGCATATAAATTCTCCTGTGTGCCGCACCCGGCGATTCTTTGATATTATTCGGTAATAATTTTAGTTCAGCGTATGTTTGTCCTTTCGAACATAATTCCTTTATTTACTTACGATGTGGACTTCAAAAAGCTCAGGAAAATAAAATATGATTTTCTTACCATAAATAACTAGAACAAGGATTTTCTCCCATTTAGTGCACTTGTAGATGAAAAATGACATTTGCGCAAAAGAAGCGTCACAATAATAAATTATTGTGAATGGAAAAAAGTACTCGTTGACATTAATTTGTTTGGCAGTTGGGGCAAGCGAAAGAGATGTAAAAGAACAACACAAATTTAACGAACAATTTACAATAGTTCTATTTTATTGCTAATGAGCAATTCTACATGCATGAAATTCTTTCGTCACGGATAAATGAATATATTTTTTTAACAAATGAAAGAAAATTGTTAATTACTACTAATATACTGTAAAAGTAAACTAAATTTTTTATAAAAAGAGGATACAATTTTCTATTTTTTTTTCATATTCTGCCAATTGTTTTTGTATACAGTTTAGATTGTTAGATTTTTTTGAAAAAAAAGAATTATAATTTGGAAAAAAGGGGTGAATTTATAGTAAATTTTTAATATACTTTGTTGCTTTTTAAGAGCGATTCTTTCTGATTTTCTTTGCAATTCTACATAATTATGCTGTTACGATTGATTCAAGTTTTTTGAAATAATCTGTTATGGCGCGTTACAATAAACTTATCGAAATTAAATAAAATTGTTAATGTTGGAAACGCAAAAATTCGGCATTTACGTTAATTTTAAAATTATATTAGGTCCAATGTCTGTTGTTATTGTATATATTTGTTTTTTGAAAATCTCAAAATATCTGTAATTTCACTGCAAATTTTGGCTGATATGATTTTTATTGAGCTCAAATTGCCTTATAAATTACATATTCAACCCGGGAAAAATTGATCTGTCAACATTTTGTACGCCTTCGTTTCCAGAATGGGATTCATTACTTACTGACTTGTTTCTTTTTAAGTCGCGGATAGTCGAGAAATTTTTTTTAAACTTTCAGCGAAATTCGTTTTTCGTATTCGCCTCAATGCTCTTGCCCGCACTCGGATCATCTTCAAGGCTTGCTTGTTTAAATAAACTGTGACACTTATACATCATGGTTTTTGCCGAACAAGAGTTGTTTTTGTCGTTTCAAGGGTTTTAGAAATTACTCTCACTAAGCGGGTGGAAAAACATGTCTTCATAGATAGGTGCTGTCTGGTGTACAGAAATACGGTATGCTTGTCAAACAAGCCTACATCCCATAAAAGTGGACTTAAGTCTTCAGTTGCAGAGTACTAAAGGACGGAAGAGCTAGCAAATTTCTTACTTACAGTTAATGTGTAACAGATGTAGCTCGGAAACCCCGAACGAGTATCTAAGTATCGGTACCATCCGATATTAGCCATCCTTCTTCTGCCTTATATCATTTTATTTTTTACTTAAGTAAGTAACCGGCGGCCGCGGTAGCCGATCGTTTAGCATTGCGTACTGACATTCAGAAGGCTCGGGTTCATACCCCGGTGCCACCAAAATCCAAAAGTTATGAAAAATTAATTTAAATAAAAAATTAAGTTTAATTTTCTAATTGTGGTCGCCCCTCGGCAGGGAATGTCCACTCCTCCGAGTGTATTTCGGACATGTAATAAAGGCTCCTCGTGAAAAAACCATCAGCCGTTCGGAGGCGGCTTAGTATAAACTGTAGGTCCCTCCATTTGTTGGAAAAACATCAAGACGCAAAACCATAAATTGGAGGAGGAGCTGGCCTAAAATCGCTTCAGTGGTTACAAAGAGCCAATTATATATTATATATCATATATACATATATATAAGTAACCGTTGACTAATTTTTTATTTATATTTCCTATTTTCAGCTATTAAGGTACAAATCACCGGCAAGGGAAAATGCAAATGGATAGAAATATTACGTAAAAACTCGAATAATGAATCTGCGCGTAGCCTATTCTACTCCAGCAAAGAAATATATGCGCACAATGAGCACACACTGCCAGTCTTCGAGCCCCGCGCCATTGAATTGAACCCTGGCGAACATACTTTTGACTTTTCCGTGCCACTCGAGTGGAATTTACCATCTAGTTTTAAAGGTATCTACGGCTCAATCAAGTATAAATTACGTATACTCATACAGAAACCATGGACTTTTGGCGAGCGTCATATAATACCACTAACGGTGCTGAAACATATGCCGCTCTCTCCATGCTACCGATTGAATCCAACCCCACTGGAAAAGCAAGTTACTAAAGCAATAAGCCTGTTCGGCACACGACCTATTACAATGCTGGCACTACTGCCCGAAGATTCAGCGGTGCATGGTGAACCATTACGCATATGTGTTACCGTCACAAACAATAGTACGACTAACGTGGAAAAGTTACGCTTTAGCATACTACAGCATATCTGGTATTATAGTCATGTGCCGTTGCGGGTGCAGAAAATGGAATGTATTACTATAGCGAATAAAGAGACTGGTGCAGTGCACAAGAAGAGCGAACGTTCTTTCGCTCATGAACTGATGATACCGCCCACAGCGCAGCCCACAGACGATGAGTTCAGCGGTGTAATACACATATCGTATCAGTTGCGCGTGGAAGCGGTATTGCGTGGGTTTTTTAAGAATATCGTACTTAATTTACCATTTAAGGTGTATTCGCATGGTGCGAGTGAGACGCTAAATAATCTATCAGGCGGTCCACCTCGACCACCGCCACGGTATGGTAATCGTAGTAGTGTTAGTATTGGTATGGTAGCAAATGTAACCGCTGGCGGTGTGGGTAATCCCTTTGAGAATAACACTACCCCATTATGTATTGCAACCTATCCATCACTTGACTCATCTATCGGTTCACCATCGCACTCATCACAATATAGCGAGTCCAGTTCGATACATTCAATAACCTCGGATTCCTCTGCAGCGACGCTAAGTCCCGCAGTATGTGGTGCCGAATTGTCATATGCTTCTGGTACATCATCACAATTCAATAGTCCCTCAGCGCGTGCCAGCTTACGCAGTATAACGGTGCCGTATGTCAGGTATCCGCCGAGTAGCAGTCCGCTCATGATCAATTCCTATCCACCAGCACAAGTGCCAACTTATCCGCTGTCGGAATCACCGGGCTATTCGCTAATGCAGTTGCCAGCAGGCGTGTCACCACCACCACCTCCAGCCACGCCACCCGTTGGGGCATCATCTAGCACGCTGGCTCGCCAGGAATCTTCCACTTCAGCGACGCCATCCACATCGGCGGCTGTGAGAACATCATTTTTGCATGGACTACAACCGCCAGGAGCTCATGAACTGCGTGAGTATATTTCTTTGTGATAGTCATTCAGTTTTTTTATGTTTTACGAGTATGTACATATGTACGAGTATACTCTGTCATTGCTATTGTCTTTTTGGGACCTTCGTGAATCTTCGTAATGAAAAACTTGTAAGCTTAGAGAATTTTCGAGCTTTGTAATTTTCGAAGATTTTAAGTTTAACTGACGTTTAATTAGAATACGGTAACTTTGTACGCCGCGGTAGCCGAGTGGTTAGCATTTCGTACTGCCATTCGGAAGGCTCAGGTTCAATTTCCCGTGCGTAAATGTTTCCGTTTGTTTAAGATTTTAGAGCAGTTATCGATTACATTAGCTCTGAGCGGTAATAACTCTTGCAAATTTTTACTAAACAGCGTTCGGTGAGGCAAAAGCCAATAAAATTTGCATCGACTAATTCTCAGAGATATTTCTCACAGAACAGAAGTATTGTTGACATTTGGTAAGTGCCAGAACTAAGGTCGGAAATTGTTTGAAACAGTTGCTTGTCGCAAGTATCCCATACTTTAAAACATGGCGGCGCCAAAATCAAGGTGTGGGGGTGCTTCTCCTATATGGGACAGGTCCGATAGATTTCAAAAAGGGGAACACGGATGCCAAATTGGATGTCCAAATAATGGAGTCGACTATCCTACCGCAAGCTGAATGTAAGATGTCGCTGAAATGGGTCTATCAACAAGACAAGGCCCCTAAGCATACCAAGTTGGCAAAAATTGGTTTGCTTCAAATAGGGATGAGGTCATGAACTGGCCGTCTCAGCTATCGAAGTCGAAGTGGCGAACAATACAAATATAAACTTCCTGCCTGTGATAAATTTACATTTAACTCGACTTCTGACGCCAATTTTGTAAACAAAATCTCGAATTCGTTCTTTAATTCTGACGCCAATTTCGTAAACAAAATGTCGAATTCGTTCTTTTATTCTGACACCTTTTCAACGACTTTCAAAATTTTTCTCATACTATTTTCAGCTACATGTTTACCCGTTTTTACATCACTTGTTTTACTATATTATTATCAAGAATTACGCCATTACTGTGCTTTGTGCTCGAATATTTTAGCGAAACTTCGCACAAGCTTCATCATGGTCACTAACTTCTATTCGTTATGCTCGAATATTGGGTCCTGCAATACGACTTTGCGCCCCGCTGTGGGTTCCGCCAATCTTTACTTCATTTTAGTTTCTAAATTTCGTTTCTGAGCTCCATTACAAAATTCAAAAGCAGACGGGGTTAAAATCAGCCTTTTTGTTTTCAATTTTACATTTTAGTTTTTCGGTTCTCAACATTCAACTTGGTTTCGTTTTTTTTTTTTAATTTAAAAGCCTTTCCATAATAAATATTAATATAATTTTGATAAATTTTTCCCAACTCCGTATGTTTTCTAAAATTCTTTTCCATTTTTCATTCTAGCACCTTCCTATGAAGAACTCTTTGGAGCTGCACCCACAGAAACGCCGAAATGATACAGTGACTTCTACTAGGAATCTGTATAAAATATTTCAATAAAACTCGTTATAAGGCGTCAAAAGTTACTACACCCACCAGGAATGCAAATACATGATAGACTTGCTGGGCACACAACACGTGTGCTGAATAAAAACAAAAAGAAATAAGCACTGAACAAATTAGTTTATAAAGCAGAAAGGATTTTTCGTTTTTGGCAGCTAAGAACGAGAATTTAAATTTCCAATAATGTATAAATGATCTGATACGAATGTATGGCAAAATAAATTTAAATTTATTTTATGTAATCACGGCTAAGCCGATATACATATACATGTAGTTGTAACAGCTAAATTAACCACTGACTATGCAATGTTTTTGCACAATATTTATGCACAAAATATCTTATTTTTATGGCTTGAAGCTTAATACGATAAAATCAAGTTAATAGTAAGTGAACTATCAAATAGAAGAAAATATAATTAAATATAATACATATATATACCTACCTACATATATATTTATATATATAAATATATATTAAATATACATTCTCCATCTCAAATATAATTATTCTAGAAATTATCAAAGAAACTCTTCATAGTATATGAACGAATTGCAATTAAATGAAACTTACAGTAAAGTAGCATTACTATAATCCACCGTTGAATTCTTTTATTAAACTAAATCACTTGATTTTATGGGCGTGATTCTGAGACTATTTAAGCCCTTGACATGTAAAAAAAAATATAAGCAATAAACCAAAACGGTGTAAGCTTCATCGTTTGTTATTTAATATAAAAAAAAGTTAAACATGTATGTATGTAAATTTACGGCTTTATTTAAAATATACATGCATATAGAAATTTTGGAATACAAAAAAAAAAAGCAATTGAAAGAAAAACGAAACTAAAATTCCTATAAATAAGCAAAAAGTAAATATCTTTACTGATACATACTAACATATAGCTCCATATACTACATTTTTATGTGAAATATAATTATTACCTATACATACATATATACACGTTAATTATGCTGCTAGAAAATTGCTTCGCTTTAACAAAATTATGGACTAAAATTAAAGTAGTTAGATAACATACATACATACGCGTCAAATGTATGAAAAATTATGCAGCTAAGGCATACCATTCATTTATGTGCAGTCAATAATATTTGCGAAAATAAAACAAATACTGCATATATATGTACGTGTATGTACCTATATAAATCACAAAATTAAAATTATTACAAAATAGTTTGCTTCTATTTCTTAGATAATCGTTTATAATTGTGTATGTTGAACCATGTTTTCTTGCCTAGCATTTGTGAAAATAATCTTAATTTTTTTTTACCGAAATATTATAACAAAAGAACGTCATTTGAATGAAAAATTCTACTCAATTATTTCCTTTTTTCGTATGCTACATATATAGATATGTGCAATTAAATAATGACATTAACAGGCCTATTCTCACTGTTGCCGGTAAAGTAAATTTTTTTACTTTTCTTTAACTCCCGACATTGAATTTGGTATTCTGGCGAACTGGTTACAATGTTTGAAAAAAAATTGGCAGCACTGCTTTTTTCGTCCATGTCAAATTACATTTGCCAGTTGATAAAGTCAAAAGAAAAATTTTTACATCGAAATGGAGACGGTGCACAAAAAAAAAAATAAAAAGTTTTATTAATTTGTTTATTAAATCATAAATATTTGAACCTAACTATGGAACATATGCCTGTATAACAAAAAAAGCTGAATGAAAACGTTATCTTGCAAATTAAAGTGCTATTTTTTAGTCTCGAAAACTTCTTAAAATACGGCTTTTTACATTTTTTCTTCATCTTCAATGAATTCCTGGCCTAAAATATGCCTACCCATTTTGGATTTTTATTTTTTCTCAGACTTACAACACAAAATCAAACAACAGATATTTTTGTTACCTGCTATTTCGCTGATAACAAAATTTACAGGGTAACAGAGAGCTCAGAATACGAAATGGTAACAAAATTTACTGAATGGTAAGCTTAAAGTGCTAGCTAGGTAGCTAGCTGGTAGCTAGGTAAATTTTGTTACCTCAACAGAGTAGGCCTGTAAATATACATACATATGTATATGCATGATACAAAAAATTGAAGGTTGGGTCATTTACTGACAATTGTTATTGTATTTACTGACTTGACTTAAACATTTTATTACCAGATATTTTCTTAAACGAAACAAAATAGTCGAATAAAACGGAGGTTTCAGTTTCATATCAAAATAAGAAGATAAATATTTTTTTTTTTAAAGTATATTAAATAATTACTCGTTATAAAATAGTCTATACCTTTTATATAACGCAAATACCAAAACAATCCTAACGAGAAGGTTAAATGCTTATTTTTCATACAATTCCGTAATTTTTTGAAAAAAATCATTTGTTTTTAATGACAGAAAAGATAATTTAGGACAATAATGTGCATAAGAATTGCAAATTTATTGTAACTGCGGCCAATCTATTATTTATTGATTTAAAATTTTTTTTTAGTAAAATATTTTCACTTTTCACAACCTCAGTTGTCATTATAAAACTTAAGAGAAATTTATTTACTGTCAAGAATGTTCAAAAAAAAACTCCTTGAATTTTTGCTTCATGCGTATGTCTGTATACATATTTTTTTGTGTTACTTTCGGAATGAAAAGTAAATTGATCATAAAAAACCTGCTAATAAGTCAGCTATATTTTGAACTTTTTCTCTTTCTCGAATAAACTTTGAATGCAAATAATGCTAAAAATTCCTCGCCTCAAATTTTACACGAACTCGAAAAATTATGTTAAAAATATCCTCAAAAATCTGCCATGGAAAGTTTTCACGAATCTCTTTTTATTACCAAAAGCTCTGTAACCTATAACTATACAACTTCGGTCAATGTGAGAAGCCTTTAATACTAAATGTAAGAGTATAGCAGATAGCATTTTACTTTACGATCTCTCTACGTAATTATAATTACAATAAAAGCCGTAGATCAATTAATATGTAATGGTTTCCATATATACATATACATACTACCTTATGGCAGTTACTTTTATTAATAATTAAGATTGGAAAAAGAATTCTTCTAACCTCATTAATAACAGTTTTCCATTCATTGAGCATTTAACTTTCACATAAATTTGTTTTTTTTTACATCTTGAATTTAATTTGAAACAACTTTTCTAAACAAGTGAAATAACGACCTACTGCCAAACACATAAGCGCTTACATATATTTTGATCTTGCCACTGTTTTCGAATTTTATTATATACAATTGGTATTTGGAAAATGAAACTCAATTTAGTTGAGAAATTCGTAAAAAGTTTTGTATTTTTAACTCGAAAAAAAAAAAATTAGCCAGAGGTTGTAGCTTCCAAGGATTTCAAATAAAATCCGGAATAGTGGTTTCGAAATTGTTGCGTTTTAAGAGATATGAACTATTATATTATAACAAAAAGTCTGGAAGTATACGTATACACAAATATGCTAATAATTGTATGTTGAAATCGAATAATATTTAACTTCCAAATACTATTTAAATAATTTTTGTTGCTTAAAATGCTTCAAGTTATTAAATAACTCATTTATAATGTAAATAATTCTAAGTTTATATAATGAACGACTTTTGTGATTATTTTTTGTTATATTCAATGCACAATTTGTGACACAAATAATGTACTTTAATTTATAATAATTTTTAAGTGATTTCATTTAATTCACATACGTATTTATTTTGTACTAACAATGCCTTTACACAGCCTCGTTTTCACAAATTATCGCACAAACACATATATATTTAGTATATTGAAAAAAAAAGTAAATGAAAAGCAAATTTATTAAAGTAAGAATGATGTTTTATAAAACTGTTAAGTTTATTTCATAAACCAACACATTAATTAAGAGAAACTATCGCAAATACACACATACATACATAGATTTGTATACAAATATAAACATATAAAAATAAACGAAAAAAACGAAATTGTTTAATTTGTGCTTTTTAAAATTACTGGTTTTTCATTACAGAATAATTTTGTTTAAAGAAAAAATCGGGTGAAAAGTTCTTTCTCTTAACCCTCTGAGATGTGGTAAAGGTGACAAAACCAAATTAGAAGTTTGGCAAATTTATTTCAATTTTATACCAGTTAATTTAAAAACGAAATCCCAAAAACACTTGATTTTTACACCACAAAGGGGTCATCTGCAACTCTTCATAAATTTATATGTTTTCTTTCTTTCAGAAATCTTATTTTTGCTTGTACTTTTGTGGAGAGGAAGGGTAAGGTACTCCAATTCCCCTAGCTGGATTCGTGCTTGGTAAAGACATACAATTTCTATCAAGCTCGGCAATATAGTTTTCAAATTCGGAGGTTCTGAAGTTTTTATGTATGTTCCACGGGTACGGGATACAATTTTTTAGATAACTGTATGAAATATTGGGAAGTTTTTATTTTTGAATCGGTAAAACTTCAAACGCACAAATATATCATCCATAATAAAGATTAAATTTGTGTAATGAGGACAAGTCGTAGGTTCCTCATATTGTATGCCAGAAATCAGTGAAATGTTTGTTACATTCATGATTTGGCACGAGCATCGAGACCACCATGAGGATCGCTACTTCTTCTTCTTTATTGGCGTTGGCACCGCTAACGCGATTATAGCCGAATTAATTATAGCACACCCCTCATCCCTTTTTTGCGCTATTCGGCGCCAGTTGGAAATACCATGTGTGGTTAGGTCCTTCCAACGGAGTGAAGGTGTTGTTGTTGTTGTTGTTGTTGTAACCGCAAAATTATTCTCCAGAGTACTAGCCAGTGTAGCCGCTGCTTCTTGATTCGCTGAACTATGTCCATGTCGCCGTAAAGCACGTACAAGCAAACATCGTTCTATCGTCTGCGGTATTCGCCGTTGTAAATGCGCAAAGGACCATAAATCGTTTGCAAAACGTTTCTCTCGAAGACTCCCAAACGACGCTGTCGACATCGTTCACGCCTCTGCGCCATATAGTTTTTTGGTTTTCGTTCGCCGAGAGAGGACTTTACTTTTCAATTGCCTACTCAGTCGAAGGTAGTATCCGATGGCAAGCGTGATTCTGCGTAGGAGGCTGGCATTATTGTTGGTGTTGATACTGGTTCTTAGATAGACGAAACTATTTACGACTTCAAAGTTATGACTGTCAACAGTGACGTGGGAGCCAAGTAGCGATGTTTGATTACAGGAGATATTTCGTCTTGCCCTCATTCACTACCAGACCCATTTGCTTCGCTTCTTTATCAAACCTGGAGAAAGCAGAACTAAAAGCGCGGTTATTGAGGCTGATAACGTCAATATCATCGGCGTACGCCAGTGGTTGTACTCTCTTATAGAAGAATGTACCTTCTCTATTCAGCTATGCAGCTCTTATTGTTCTCTCCAGCATCAAATTGAAGGAATCGCACGACAAAGAGTCACCCTGTCTGAAACCTCGTTTGGTACCGAATGGCTTGAAGAGGCCCTTCTCAATTCTGACTGCGCTTCTGGTGTTGTCCAGCGTCAGCTTACACAGCCGTATAAGTTTTGCGGGATACCAAACTTAGAAAAAGCGGCGTAAAGGCAGCTCCTATTCCTGCTCGCGAAGGCGGCTTTAAAATC